CACCACCTCCTCCAATCATGGCACTCACTGTCTTAAGACTCACTTCCTGACCAATCAGAGGCCTGGGGGACACAGGCTGGCTTCTTGCTGCTAACTAATCAGGAGAAAGGGAGGGAGTTTCAAAACATAGCAATGTTAATGCAAGAGAATTCTTGTGTATAAAAATGTCTGCTTATGATTATGCTTTTACACTTGTACCCTTTGAGTATCCATGCTATATGTGTCCTTTTTGCATACATTGAATAAAGCCTTCAACCTGGTGAGATTCCTGATTCCTGATTCATGACATCCAGAGTCAGCGAAGGTTGCCAGGCATCCCTAGGTATCCATAGGACTTATAAAAACACCAAATTTCCAGTATCATAAGGACACTTCTAAGTACTACAACATAAAGAAAAATGAATCTTGAGCATTTGGAAATAAATATTGCTTTTCTTCATGGAGATCTAAGAGAAGGTAATTGAGCAACTCTCAGGATTTGAAGACAATAACAAAAATATTGCATGTAAACTGCAAAAGAGCATCTATAGACTAAAGAAAGGAGCTAGGGAATGGAATGAAAAATTGAATGAAAAGTGGTTTATTCAAGGAAAGACTCCCAATACAAAGATAACAAGTGGACATATATTCTGGCTTGCTGATGATGTAATGATTAGTTATGAAGTTATGAGGAAAAATGTGATATTAATGAAATTGTGGAACATCTGAATAAACAGATTAAAATGTTTCAATCTCATTACAAATTAAGGGGTGAGGGGGAATTATTTCTAAAATGTTTCCAAAATTGGACAGGGTCTGTATCACAACCATAATGAATTAACTTCTTTTTTGTTACTTTTTGTTAAGTAATTAATTGTGCCAATGGGGAAACTTCAGGGGCATCTTTCTCCCTCATTGTTGGAGCTATCGGCATGAAACTTTCTATGTTTATAAAATGCATTTACCACTGTTAGCCCATCAAATTTAAGAACATTTCAGTCTTCCATGAATTTTTGAGGAAATTTCAAAGATTTACAAATAACACTTAAAAAACTTACAAGAGCTATCTTTTTGAATTTTCTATACAATGACACAAGATAATCATTCAGAAATATTAATACACCTACTGATTTGTGGGATTTAAAAAAAGTTTTGTTAAAAACATTTTTAAAGCCACAACTATCTTATTGAATGTCTCTCATATTAACCAATATAACTTCAGTTTAGGAATTTCTTCCCAGCCCAACATTGATTTATTTAATAGTGTCAGTCAGTTCTCCTCTTTGCAGATTCAACAATTTATTGGAACTCTGGCTGCTGCTAGGAGGGAAAAATCCTTCGCCTATCCTAATTGGAGTTTTCTGATGCTGAGCAGAATTCTGGGAAATATAGTTGAGGGCAGGAACTTTTGAATTCTTTGCTGCTCGACTTCCCAAACTACATTTCCCAGAATTCTTGCTCTCTCAGTCTCTCTCAGTCTTTTCCCATCATTTGGGAGCTAGCCAAGCAGCAACGGCAATAAATGTATGAGAACTAACCAAGAATAGACTTTGGACTGGAACTTTGGATGTTGATTTGTGATTTGGACCTGGCTTTGTTTTAATTTTAATGTATATTTTAAACTTGTGTTTACATATTTGTAAATGTGTTGTAAATGATTAATGTTGTTGTTGGCATCTAATGACTGCCATTGTAAGCAACCCTGAGTCCCCCCCTGGGGGTTGAGAAGGACGGGATAGAAATGTTTGAAATAAATAAATAAATAAATAAATAAACCTTCATGCTCAGCAAAAATTTCTGGTGACACTGCAAAATCTACCTTTAAAATGTGCTGAATATCTATATGCATTTCCTTACAAATCCACCTTCTGCTCTGTATTTGTGCCTCTTCAAAATCCACAGCACTGTTGGTAACACTTGACTTCCAGTTAGAAGGCTCAAGTGTCTGGGATTCCCAGTTTTTGGTGTTTATTCCACATTTTTTAAGGATAACTTCAAGCTCATTTCGTTTTCCATTCTTGAACGGAGAATAAAGTGCTTCCATTTATTTCCAAGTTTGAGGAATCAGAATTAACATGAATTGGTGCATATTTATTATCCAATGCCTTACCCTTCATGCTCAGCAAAACAATTCTGGTGAACCTGCAAAATCTATCTTTCAAATGTGCTGAATTACCATATGCATTTTTATTACACCCACTAGATCTCTCTGATCTTGATTAAACTTCTCTCTTTAATCTCAAGCAGTTTTAAGATCTTCTCCATTTCCGAAGCAAAGTTTTTAGAGGCATTTGGACAAAACCGCTTATTCAGATGCTTGAATTGTGAGTTTGCTGACTGGAAGAGATCTTGATCTTTGTGTGCTTTCAAGTGCCTTCCTCAGGCAGTTGTGTGCAAGGTGTAAACACAACATGAATTAATTTCTTGTGCATACTTGAGATATTACAAGATATTTCATTCTGTACATGCAAATATATCCAAAGCCAAAACACATCTATTCCCAAGAATTCCAGATAAGGGATGCTCAGCCTCTCAGGGCATCTTGAGGGGTGTGCGCATGCAGTGGGGGAAACCTCAAAGTGTTGTGTGCATTTAAAAGATCGGTTTGGTGCGGGAAATGTCAGACTTGCAAGAGGAGCTGCAATGGCAACTGGACTGCGATATCCCAACAAAGTGGTCATAGTAACTGGGGGCACCCGGGGCATCGGTGAAGCCATTGTCAGAGAATTTGGTGAGTTGAAAGAGAAAAAGAGAAAACTGGGGTGGGAAATAAAATAATACACACGCACACACATATTATATTAATATATTATATATTACAATAACCAAGAAACAAGGCTAGAGGGTTTAGCTACTCTGCAGAATTAATGCAGTTTGGCCTCCCTTTAACTACCATGACTTAATGCTATGGTATCCTGGGATTTGTAGTTCAGTAAGGCACCGGCTATATTTGGCAGAGAAAGCTAAAGCCCTTGTAAAATCAGAGCTCCCAGGCTTTCCACAGCTTTGAGCCACAGCAGTTAAAGTGGTTTTAATTCTACAGTGTAATTATTATGGGAAGGTAAATACTGTATTTAATTGCATAATAGTCACACTTTTTATACCATTTTTTCAGTGAAAAAAAAGAGGGGGTGTGTGAGGCTATCACAAGTTGGCAACTAGTATGCAATGAAATACAATATTACTAGATAACCTATAGTTATAACCTGGCAAGTGTGAAATCATTCATACATACATACACACACAGAATAATTTTAACTTAATTACAATCTATATTTAAAATGTAATATTCGTTTGTGGGATTAACATAACTCAAAAACCACTGGACAAATTGACAGCAAATTTGGGCACAATACACCCTTCAGGCCAACGAGTGACCATCACTCAGAAAAACACTGAAAAACACAGCTGAAGAGACTTAAAAAGCCCCAAAATAAAACTGCATTACAACGCATGTGCAAAACCACATATACAAAGGCAAACACACATATATACACATATACACAAATATATACACACACATACGCATACACAAAACACATATACACAGACTGGGCCACAGACACGCGTGGCAGGGGATGGCTAGTCTATATAAATAAAAATGTAATGTTCGTTTGTGGGATTAACATAACTCAAAAACCACTGGACAAATTGACAGGAAATTTGGGCACAAAATGAAGAACAATTTTAAAAATATAAATTTATTAGTATTTCAATGGGAAGTGTGGGCCTGCTTTTGCTTTTGGCTGATGAGATAGGATTGTTGTTGTTGTTGTGTGCTTTCAAGTCGTTATAGACTTAGGTTGACCCTAAGCGAGGGTTGAGCAAATGACTTTGGAGGGCCGCATTTGGCCCCCGGGCCTTAGTTTGAGGACCCCTGGTCTAGATCCAGAGAAGTCATGCTACACCTCTATTCTGTCTTGGTCAGACCACACCTGGAATATTGTGTCCAATTCTGGGCACCACTATTGGAGAGAGATATTGACAAGCTGGAATGTGTCCAGAGAAGGATGACTAAAAGGATCAAGGGTCTGGAGAATAAGCCCTATGAGGAGCGGCTTAAAGAGCTGGGCATGTTCAGACTACAGAAGAGAAGACTGAGAGGAGAAATAATAGCCATGTATAAATATATGAGGGGAAGTCACAGGGAGGAGGGAGCAAGCCTGTTTTCTGCTGCCCTGGAGACTCGGACATGGAGCAATGGCTTCCAACTACAGGGAAGGAGATTCCACCTGAACATTAGGAAGAACTTTCTGACTACGAGAGCTGTTCAACAGTGGAACTCTCTACCCTGAAGTGTGGTGGAGGCTCCTTCTTTGGAGGTTTTAAAACAGAGTCTGGATGGCATCTTTCTGGGGTGCTTTGAATGTGATTGTCCTGCTCTTGGCAGGGGATTGGACTGGATGGCCCACGAGGTCTCTTCCAACTCTATGATTCTATAATTCTATGAAAATAGAACTGGCTGGGGAGGAATTGAATTCTCCCTGTGGGAAGTCAGGCTATCCGCTCCCTTCACTAAACCACCCCAATATTTAAGCAAAAATGGCCTTTCACAGCCTCCCCTCCCAAAACGCACCCCCACACACTTCCCTAGTGAAATAGTGAAAGGAGCAACTGAAAGATATGAAACTAAGAAAATTTAATTAAATTGCCAAAGGAAAAGATTGGAATTGGATCCAACAGCAAGCAATCCCAACAGCAAGCAATGAGATAGAACACAGAGCTAGCTAGCACACGATCTCTCTCTCTAAGAAGCCAGGATGCCACAGGATGCCACAGGCTTGTCCTGGTATATATAGACCAGTTTGGCAAAAAGATACATGATCTGCTTTCTTGCTCTGATTGGCTCAGGTAGGGTTAAGGGGGGAAATCCCTGTTCATGGTTGCTGCCATGGTGCAGCTGAAAGCAGCTGTTTTTGGTCCCCACATTACCTGTTTTGCCAAGTAAATTTGGACCCCACCATCTGCCCCATTTCTGGACATTTGGTTGCTGGATCTGCCAAATGTATCAGATCCTGTTTGGAAAAACAGCACCATGCATTGTCCTAATAAGTAGTTTGGATCCCCCCTCCAAGTTTTTGGAATACCAAAAACGTTGCGGCTGCTGCTCGTCATCGTCGTCGTCATCATCTTCTCATGACTATGGGTGGGGTACAGCACAGTCAAAACACTTCAATATTATGTATTATGTATATGCACCATGGGTTTTGGTGCATATAGTGATGTGTTTTGATCTATCTATCTATCTATCTATCTATCTATCTATCTATCTATCTATCTATCTATCTAAACACATCACTATATGCACCAAAACCCATGGTGCATATACATAATGAGAGATTTTGGAGTGGGAACCCAAGTCTAAACTCAAAATTCATTTATGTTTCAAATACACCTTATATATAAATAGCCTGGATGTCATTTTGTACAATATTTTAAATAATTTTGTAATTGAAATGTGTACACTGAACCACAAGAAAGCAAAGATGTCAATGTCTCATCCACTTATGTAGATGGTTTTGGATTTTGAAGTATTTCAGATTTTCAAATAAGGGATGTTTTATCAGTAATGGAATAGTTATATATAATTTTATTCCATTAATGTGCATGTGTGAACAGAGTTGTTATATTTTGTCTGGCATTCACTTATCCTCTTTTACCTTCCCAGTCCACCAAGGAGCCAAAGTGGTGTTCTGTGCCCCAGAATGTGAAGGTGAGATTTTTTTCCCCTCATACTTAAACATTATGAGAAAGTCTATTGTTTCCATATTAGTGTGTTTAAACTACAGGGATGTGAGCATGGAGTTGTAACCATCCCTTCTCTGATAATTGGTCATGAATGGGAAGGTTGATAGGACCTGGAGTCCTAGAATAGCAAGTCACCAATCATCATATAGATAAATGAAAGACAGAATCAGTGCTTTTTAAATCCTATTTTTATCTTATTTGAGGCAGAAAGAGGTTCTGCTAAGGGGGAGAAATGCAAGAATGAGAACAATGTCATTTGTATCTGCTTGGATTTGGTTCAAGATCTCTTCATGGATATCAAAATCTGTGGATGCGGAAGTGACAATCCAATTCCTTGCAAATGTACCCATTGCAAGTATGTGTGGTCCCACATTAGAAACATGAGCTGGTATTGAAACTAAGGTCATACCACGTCTACTTCAGTGGATTTGATTAATTTGCATAATTGATTAATATGATGTCTTTGGGGATCTCTAGGTCCACCAGCACAACTATACATAGTGGAAACTGACCATAGAGTTTCACTGGAGGACCTAGATACTTCAAGCCAGGTGATCCCACCTTTAGAAAAACCAATGTTTTTTAATCCACAGTTTCCCCACTTCTGTAGGGGCCCAGAGCCCCTTACTCCAGCAAATGTAGAAGATCTACTGCAATTCCTTACAGATCTTTTTCTCCTTTGGTCCAATCTAAACCAATGCTAATTTCCAGCACTAGGCAGAACTGCTTCCCTGTATTTTCTGTCCTATAGAATCTTGTTATTTGCAGTTGGGAAAGATAGTGTTCTCTGATAGAAAGCGTCTGTTTGTTCACTATAGAACTCTCTAGTACAGAATTCTACGTACAATATTTCACCAACTTACAAGTCCCAGCATTCCACATTATAGAGCTATAGTAGTTACAAAACTAAGTGGTACAAAACTGCTGTGATTGTCCAGTGTGTACAAATAGTAGGGGAGAAGTAGGAAGCATATGGTTCTCTAGTTGTTGCTTAACTGAGACTCCCAGCTTTCCTGACCAGTGGCTATACTGGCTAGGGATGCTGGGATTTGCAATCAAAAAACAACTGTGTGATTTCTGCTTCGTGCTTGCCTGATGTGTTTTCTGAAAACCCACTGTAACAGTAGGAATGTGGGACCTTGGATTAATCTTAGCATGAAGAGTAGATATCGGTGACTGTTGGATCTGTGTCCAGTTGAGTCTCTGTGCTTCAAATTCTCATTGGACACCAAATATGGGCTCAGATACAGGCTTGCATCCTGTTGGTTAGTCTCAACTAAAGGAGACCCATTGACTCATGGTTGAATGGTAAGTCAATCCATTGACAAAGCCCAAGGAAGCAGTATTGTCTTACTCCTTCATCAACTGGAGCTGGAACTGCCTTCCAAACTCCTCATGAGGTCCGTTTGCAACTGTCTTTGCAGAAGAACAAGGGAAGAAGATTGTGCAGGAATTGGAGTTTTGTGGGGGTCCTGGGGAAGTTTACTTTCAGATCTGTGATGTTCGCTGTGAAAAAGCTATTCAGGTAGGCCTATGGGGAAAGATGTTGGTTTGGGAGAGCCTCTTTGTTGTTATGTGCCTTTATGCTATCTCTGACTTATGACAACCCCAAAGCAATGCTATCATAGAGCTTTCTGGGACTGAAAATATGTGACTCGCCCAAGGTCACCCACTGGGTTTCCATGAGCAAGGGGGAATTGAAATCTGGTCTCCAGAGTTGTTGTCCAGTGCTACGACACTATGCTTCATTAGTGGCTTCGAAACCAGTTTTCCCTTAGCACAAATCCATTCTTAAAGCCTGGACTTGAAAATGTAGTTATTTAGATAACATCCCAGGATCCTCCAATGATTGTGGATGGATTTGGAAGATGAAGTCTAAAATGGTGGGAATGATGACTCTCCCAGTTTAGTAGTAGCGCCTTCCCCAATACAATGTTTTTCATATGAGTTGGGTTGCATCTTACCTCTTTCCTGATTATACCTATCTTGGCTGGGGATGGTGGGAGTTGTAATCAGCATATGTGAAATTATGGAAGGCTGCTTGGGGCAGCTTTCAGATGTAAACATAAAAGAATTGTGTTTCATCTTTTGCTAACCACCTCCTATGCTTCATTTCTTCACTTTTGCTAACCTTGTCCATTTCCATAGAATCTGGTTGCTGTGACCATTGAACTTTATGGACAACTTGACTGCCTGGTGAACAATGCTGCACAGTGTAAGTCAATCCCCAATGCCTGCCCCGGAAAAATCAGGGTGGTCCCTTTTTTTGTGCCTGGGGCTTTTTAGTATGTGTTAAAGGACAGGTCTAGGGGCTGTGGATGAAATGCAACTATGCAGTCTGGTGTTTACTGGCATACATAGCCAATGTCTATATTCCTTTGATAGTTAGTTGACAGTGGGTTGTTGTAGGTTTTTTGGGCTATATAGCCATGATTTAGAAGCATTCTCTCCTGAAGTTTCACCTGCATCTATGGCAGGTATCCTCAGAGGATGTGAGGTCTGACATCTTGCTCTCGCCTTTTATTTGTATAGCATCATGTACAGATGTGAGTCAGTCTGCACTCTGGCTGTGGAATTTATTTTAATCATCTTTCAGAAAAGACAAATACAACACAATCACCTGCTTTTTTCCATATACTTTGTCAATTTGTCAACATGTTTTTGCATTCCATTATTTAAACTGTTTTAGGCTGAGCTACGAGTGCTTATTTATTTATTTAGTATCAAAAGCATTGTATAAATTAGTATCCATATATATAAATCTGTTAGGTTTGTTCAACGGGACAGCAAAACTCCACAACCCCCCAACGAAACTTAACCAAAATTGCCATGCCCATAACACAACCCACAAGGTACAAACATATCTACTCAAAATGAAAAACAACACAACAACACACTCACAATACGGTAAAACAACAAAACTCAAAAATCCCCCAACGAAACTTAACCAAAATCCCCGTACCCATAACACAACCCACAAGGTACAAACATATCTACTCAAAATGAAAAACAACACAACAACACACTCACAATACGGCAAAACAACTGAGCATGCGCATTGGCGCCCAGCCGCAAGTTCCCTGGCGCGCACACAGCCTTCCGGCCAACGTTCCCTCTGTGGAAGCCATGCCCACTCCAAGCCCCGCCGCGCCGCTTCCCGCACACACACACACCCTGCCGCACACACACACACACAACCCCACGCTCCATCACTCCCCCCCGCCACCACACACGCACACACACACAACCCCACGCTCCATCCACCCCACCGCCGCACACACACACACAACCCCACGCTCCATCACTCCCCCCCCTGCCACACACACACACACACCCACGCTCCATCACTCCCCCGCAGCCGCACACACACACGCAACCCCACGCTCCCTCCCCCGCCGCCGCACACACACACAACCCCACGCTCCATCACCCCCGCCCGCCGCACACACACACACCACCCCACGCTCCATCACTCCCCCGCCGCACACACTCACGCTCCCTCACTCCCCCCGCCGCCGCACACACACACGCAACCCCACGCTCCATCACTCCCCCCGCCACCATACACACACACACACAACCCCACGCTCCATCACTCCCCCCGCCGCCGCACACACACACGCAACCCCACTCCCCCGCCGCACACACACACGCAACCCCACGCTACATCACTCCCCCGCCGCCGCACACACACACACGCAACCCCACGCTCCATCACTCCCCCCGCCGCCGCACACACACAAACCCCACGCTCCATCACTCCCCCCACCGCCGCACCACACACGCAACCCCACTCCCCCGCTCGCACACACACACGCAACCCCACGCTTCATCCCCCCCTCGCCGCACACACACACACACACAACCTCATGCTCCATCACTCCCCCCGCCGCCCCACACACACACGCAACCCCGCGCTCCATCACCGCCACACACACACGCAACCCCACGCTCCTTCCCCCCCGCGCCGCACACACACACGCACCCCCACGCTCCATCCTCCCCCGCCGCACACACACACGCAACCCCACTCCACACTCCCCCCGCCGCCACACACACACGCAACCCCAGCTCCATCACTCCCCCCGCCGCCGCACACACATGCAACCCCACTCCCCCCACTGCCGCACACACACACGCACCCCCACACCCCCCCCCCCCGCCGCACACACACACGCAACCCCACGCTCCATCACTCCCCCGCCGCCGCACACACACACGCAACCCCACGCTCCATCACTCCCCCTGCCGCCACACACACACGCAACCCCACTCCCCCCGCTGCACACACACACGCAACCCCACGCCCATCACTCCCGCCGCCGCACACACACACGCAACCCACGCTCCATCACTCCCCCCGCCGCCGCACACACATACACAACCCCATGCTCCATCACTCCCCCGCCACACACACACACAAACCCACGCTCCATCAACCCCCCCCGCACACACACACGCAACCCCACACTCCATCACTCCTCCCGCCGCCGCACACACACACAACCCCACGCTCCATCACTCCCCCGCCGCCACACACACACACACCCCACGCTCCATCACTCCCCCCGCCACACACACACACAACCCACGCTCCATCACTCCCCCCCGCACACACACACGCAACCCCACTCCCCCCGCGCGCACACACACACGCAACCCCACGCTCCATCACACTCCCCCCGCCGCCACACACACATACACAACCCCACGCTCCATCACTCCCCCGCCACACACACACACGCAACCCCACGCTCCATCACTCCCCCGCCGCCACACACACACGCAACCCCACGCTCCATCACTCCCCCCGCCGCCGCACACACATACACAACCCCACGCTCCATCACTCCCCCCACCGCCGCACACACACACGCAACCCCACGCTCCATCACTCCCCCGCCGCCGCACACACACACACAACCCCACGCTCCATCACTCCCCTGCCCCAATCTTACCTCCTTTTACTTCACGCCACCCCCAAACCCCACCCCGCCCCTTCCCGCCCTGTCAAAATCTAGGAAAGACAGGAAGGAAGGAAAGAAGGAAGAAAGAGAAAGGGAGGTAAAGAAAAAGGGGGAAAGGAAGGAAAGTTAGAGAAAGAAGGAAGAAGAAAAGGAAAGAAAAGGAAAGATGGAAGGAAAGAAAAGAGAGACAGCAGAAGAGAAAGAAAAAGGGGGAAGGAAGGAAAGAGGTAGAGAAGGAAGAAATGAGAGACAGAGGGAAAGAAAAAGGGAAGGAAGGAAGGAGAGAAGGAAAGAAAAAAGGGAATGAAGGAAGGAAAGAGGGAGTGAAGGAAGGGGGAAGATGTAGAGAAAGAGGGAGGGAAGGAAAGAAGGAAAGAGAGAAGGAAGAAAAGAGACCAGAAGAGAAAGAAAAAGGGGGAAGGAAGGAAGGAAGAAGAAAAAAGGGAATGAAGGAAGGAAAGAGGGAGGAAGGAAGGGGGAAGATGTAGAGAAAGAGGGAGGGAAGGAAAGAAGGAAAGAGAGAGGAAGAAAAGAGAAGGAAGGAGAAGAAAAAGGGAAGGAAAAAAAGAAAGAAGGAAGGAAGGAAGGAAAGGAAAGAGGGAAAGAAAGAAGGAAAGGGAGAAGGAAGCATGGAAGCAAAGAGAGAAGGAAGGAAGGAAAGAGGAAGAAAGAAGAGAAAGAGGGAGGGAAAGAAAAAGGGGGAAGGAAGGAAAGTTAGAGAAGGAAGGAAGGAGAGAAGGAAAGAAAAAAGGGAAAGAAGGAAGGAAAGAGGGAGTGAAGGAAGGGGGAAGATGTAGAGAAAGAGGGAGGGAAGGAAAGAAGGAAAGAGAGAAGGAAGAAAAGAGACCAGAAGAGAAAGAAAAAGGGGGAAGGAAGGAAGGAGAGAGGAAGAAAAAAGGGAATGAAGGAAGGAAAGAGGGAGTGAAGGAAGGGGGAAGATGTAGAGAAAGAGGGAGGGAAGGAAAGAAGGAAAGAGAGAAGGAAGAAAAGAGACCAGAAGAGAAAGAAAAAGGGGGAAGGAAAGAGATAGAGAAGGAAGGGAAGGAAGGAAGGAAAGAAGGAGGGAAAGAAGGAGAGAAAGAGGGAAGATTGGCCACAGCAACACGTGGCGGGTAAAGGTTGTTATTTCTATTATTATTATTATGCTATTGTTCCTATGAGACCCTTTTAGGGGGAATGGGAGAGGTGTCAGGTCCCAGAGGCAATGCATTGCATTATTGTTATTGTTATGATGGTGGTGAAATAAAAGGAAATAAAAAGAGAAAGAAGGAAGCAAACAGGGAGGGAAGAAAGGCAAAGGAAGAAAGGGGGAGGGAATGAAGGAAAGAGAGAAGGATGAAACCAAGTAGTGAAAGAAGGAAAGAAAGAAAGAGGTAGAGAAGGAAGAAAGGAGAGAAAGGGGGAGGAAAAGGGGGAAGGAATAGGTAGGTACCTCTCTTTCATAATAGTCCAGATATCTACCTCAACTTTGATAAGTTTTACTATAGGCCACAGCAACGGCAGGGCACAGCTAGTAAAACTGATAAAAATAGAAGTGTGCAGGCGGCTAAATATCTTTTGACCAAAACGGGCAACGGCATTGTCTGTAGCCTCCAACAATTCCTCCTCTGTACATGAGGCAGGGCACAATGGACAAGCATACAGATGCAGAGTTGTCTGTTCTGCTCCACAGTCACACAAGGTGTGGGATTCTTTTAGGCAGTGCCATTTTGCCAGGTTGTCTTTTGATCTGCCCATTCCACTTCTGAGTCTGTTCAGGGACTTCCAAGTTGCCCATTCTTGGTTTGCCCCTGGAGGAAGACCCTCATGGGGGGCCATCCAGTTGGGATTTCCTGGTTTAGCTGCCCAGAGGGATACCCTTGCTGTTGCTGGGGGGACGCCAAGAGGAGTGGTAGTTCTCATAAAGCTTTTCCTTGATTTGAGTCTACTGGGAGGAAGCCTGGTAGCCATGTAGCGGATGGCTTTCACAGTGTTCAACCTTATTTCTCTCACATTTCGCACCAACTTCCTGTCACACATCAGGGGGTGCAATGCCTGCTAGCTTGTAGAGTTTATCAACAGGTGTAGGTTTAAGACACCCCGTGATTATTCTGCATGTTTCATTCAATGCTATGTTCACCTGCTTTGCATGGGCAGACCTATGCCAAACAGAGCAGGCAAACTCAGCAGTTGAGTAAGACAAGGCCAGGGCTGATGTTCTTATTAATTTTGGGTCTGCACCCCATGTGCTGCCAGTAAGTTTTCGCAGGATGTTATTGCGTGCAGCTACTTTGTGCTTGGTGTTCAAGCAGTGTTTCCTATATGCTAGTGTTCAATCTAAGGTGACACCGAGATATTTAGGATGGAAACAATGTTCAAGTTCTTGACCTTCCCAGGTGACTGTCAATTTCCTGCTGGCTTCACAGTTGCGTAAATGGAAAGCACATACTTGTGTTTTGGCAGGGTTAGGCTTCAGGTGGTTATCTTTGTAGTAGCTGGCGAGATTAGAGTGCACTGCTGTCTTCCCCTCTATCAAGCATGAATCTTGTAGGGCTTCCTTCAGCGGACCGAACAGGTGATAATCCTATGGGGCAAGAGCAGGACTCTGGGGAGGATGTTTTAACATTTAAGAACAATTTTTTGAGGGTGCTGACAGTATGGAGGTGGTGTCTGGATGTTCATTATCATGCAACAACACAATGCCCTTGGATAATAGTCCTTGCAACTAAACACTTTCTCCATACTGTGTCCAAAGTCTAAATATTGGCACCAAACACACCCTCGAACCATAAAAAATTGGGTCACTGATCTGCTTTCTTGCAAATCACAAGGTGATAGTGATTTTTCCTTTCACCACAATTGCAAATTAATTGACGGAATACTTTCAAAACTGCACAGCAGCAACTTGGGAGACAGCAGCCTCATACGTATATTACCGATAAGAAATTAAGTTTTGAGAGAAGATGTTAGTGCTCTTTGGAGCTTACACTCCAAGGACAGGCAACAGAGGGAAGGAAATGTGCTACCGAAAGAACATTCCATTATTTCAATTAGGTGTCTTAGGCTTAGTGAGATACCAGTGAGATACCACTGAAATGTAAACAGAAGCACAGAGGTAGCGTGTTTTGCCCAAGACCACTGCCGAACCCAGGTAGGAAGGCAGAAAGTGAGACTTGATGGTTCTCAACTCAAATTCTTAGTCACTTAATGCCAGTTGCGTTGTCTATTCCTTCTGAGTGTGCCTTTGGACTCAAGCAAGAGGCACATCCTTGCTGGTACAGGATCTAATATGACATGTCAAGATATGAACTCTAAATACGTATTTGAAATAAGTTCTATTTCAGGGGAAGAATCTGGCAAAGTCACTTCTGAGGAAAGCATTCATAGGGTGATCCTGACAGGGGACATGAATGCAGTCTCTTCCTTTTTCTACTGCTTCCCACTTTACCAAGCATTATTACATTTTCTAATCTATATAAATAAAAATGTAATGTTCGTTTGTGGGATTAACATAACTCAAACTGGATGAACTGGCACCAAATTTGGACACAAGACACCTATCGAGCCAACAAGTGACCATCACTCATGAAAACACTGAAAAACACAGCAGAAGAGACTTAAAAAGCCAAAAAACAAAAATACATTACAACGCATGTGCAAAACCACATGTATATGCAAACACACATATATACACATATACACAAATATATACACACACATATACACAGATGGCCAGTGAATCATATCATCTCACAATATGTCCAAAGTATAATGCCTCTGTTAGTGAGAGTTCAGACTTGTTTTGCTCGCAGACCAGCTTATCGTTTTTGGTGTTTTATGGTATACATGAAGCTCTCATGTAGTGCCACATTTCAAATAACACGATCCCCTTCCTATCAATTTGCTCCGCTGTATAGCTTTCTCGATAATGCAATAGATAATTCTGACTTTGGTATCTAATAATGTATTTTTACATTTGTGGAGCCTATCAATGGCAGTTCCTTCATAGTGACCCTTACAAATAAATCACAATGAGAACATTTTTATAAAAACGGTACAATAAACAAAGAGACAGGGAATTATTCTAGCTCTTCTGTGAAATTCTCTTCTTTTTTATATCTACCTGCCCACAGATCCCAGCACCAAACCAATTGATAACGTCACTACAGAAGAATTCCACTGTGTCATGGACATCAATGTTGTCGGCACCTTCTTAGCATCTAAGGTGATTAATATCAAAAAAATTCACAGGAAGCTGCTTTATATAACATCAGACCCTCATTCCCTTGAGTTTAGTGGAAGAGCCATGCAGCTGCTCAGGAAATATTGGACTGTGCATCCCAGCATCTCTAGCCAGTGTAGGCAGTGGGAATTGTAGTCTAGCACTCCAAGATGACCCCAGGTCTGGGGAAGACTGGTAGTAGCTCTGCAGGGATTCAGATGTTTCCCAGATGTACCTAGAAATCCAGTGGGGTGAACCTAAGCCTTTTGCATGCACTTTCGTATCATTGATTGACAGTTACTACTAGAGTGAATAAATCATGATCTCTACCACTGGGTAACCACTCATATAGGTTGTTGTTTGCCCTGAGACAATTATTTAGCCAAAAGTTTGTAGAATACCTTCACCCATATCCAGGATCAGAACTCAGATTATCTGCTTTGAACTGGATTATAGAGGACCCTTCCACACAGCCATATAACCCAGGTCCCTTCCACACAGTATAGAAAATCCAATTTTTTTCAATTTTATTTACTGGTATTTAATTTATTGTTTTATCCTCCTCCACCCGTCCTGTTGGATATACAGTTTGTACAATAAACTACAGAAATTACATTTGAAAAATTAGTCTCAGCTTTTCCACTCCACATCTTAATATATTCTCTAAGCAATCCCTAACAGGATCTCACATATTTTTAATGATCATATCATTTTCTATTTTATCTATATTATTCAATTTACAATTTGATATTTCCACATTTAACATATTAACTATATAATTATACTAATTTGTCAGAGTCCATTTTGTTTTATCTTTCCAATCCCTCGCAAAAACAATTTGAGCACGTGCTATTTATGTGTCAACCACTCTTTCCTTTTGCACATTATACACTCCTGGTATCCCTGCATGTAATACATTTTATTGGCTATTATTATTTGAAGATTTAACATTCTATTAATTTATCTCCAGTATGCCTGTACTTTATCACATTCCCATATCATGCGATTAAACACACAACCATGCCAACACCTGTCTTTTACCCCTCGTAAAAAACGTAAAAGTTGTGCAGGAATCCTGTACCATTTTTGTAGCATTTTCCTTCTTACTTCCCTTAGTACAGCATATTTTTCCTTTACTATAATACTTTTTCCCCTTTGGATATTTTCCTCAGATTTTCAATACCCATTTTCCATGTTTACAATATTTCCTCTATTATTTCCTCTTTTACCATTATAATTTGTTTGTATACAAGTCTCCTGTCACTTTTTTCTCATCTCTCAGGCATTTCCTAATTACCTTCTCAAATGGACTGTCTTGTTCGCTAAGTTTCTCCCTCTGTCTATAAATATTTTGTCTTATAGTCCAACTTTGGATTCAATTTCCTGGTCCTATCTAGTTCTGAATTTCTTTTTGCTCTACAGGATTTCCATCTTCTGTATACAAGTCCTTAACTAGTCTTCTCCCTTTACTTTGGATTAATCTCAATGTTCTGCCTATATTTATATCATTGTTGTGATTAATTTGCCATATTGCTGCCAGCTTATTCTCATTGTATGAAGAAATTATTCTAATTTCTTCTTTCTTTTTTCCACACTTTTTTGTTCCTTTAAACAGTTCCTTACATTCTGTTGCTTCTCTCCTATTCCATTCCTTAAATATATTCTTTTTCTTTAATATTATTTATTATTTTTCCATATTTTTCCCTAGTGTACTGTATTTTTAACCATCTTAATTTGAAATGCATCATGATATGCTTCTAAACTTGGTATTCCCCGGCCTCATTCTTCCTCTTTTGCATTTAACCATTTATCTCTTATTCTGGGCCTTTTTCCTTTAACTGTCCATTTTTCAATTCTTCTATCTCATATCTTTAACACCTCCATTTCTACTGTATTTGGTAATGTTTGGAATAGATATAACATTTTTGGTATTATAAGCATTTTTAAGGCCCTTATTTTACCCACTCTTGTTAATGTTTTCACTTCCTATTTCTTGAATTGTTTCTCTACTGCTTTCCATATTTTCTTATAATTCCCCTTAACTATACTTTTCGGGTTTTTGTTCTTGATCTCCAATTGTTCCCTTGGTGGGGTATTAAGACACAGTATCTCTGATTTGTTGATGTTATCATATAATCCTGATAAATTCTTAAATCCCCCCATTTTTAAAATCATATCTTTCACCATAGATAATTGTTGAGTTGTAATAAGCATTGTATCATCCACAAAAAGATTCAGTCTTATTTTTTTCTTCTCTATTCCGTCCTTTTCTACTTCATAAACTATCCAGTTAGGGCTATCACTGATACTATGAGCTAATATTTCTATAGTTATTACAAATAGAGTTGGGCATAGTGGTCAACATTGTTTGTATCATTTAAGATTGGTATTTCTCCTGTTCTTCCATTGTTCACCCATGTTCTTGCTTTACAGTTACTATACTATCGTTGCAATGTTTTTCAAAAAATTTCTCCCATGATTCACTTTATCAAAAGCTTTATAGACATCCAGTTTAAGAATTCCAATTTTTTCTTATTTGAATTTGCACGATTCATTGCAATTACCACATTTTTTAATGTGATCCCCAATTCTTTTTCCCTCCACAACTCCATATTGACCTTTTGAAAATTATTTTTGACATTATTGTTTCCAGTCTATTCGCCAGAATCTTAGTCAATATTTTATAGTCCTCATTGCATAGATTAATAGGTCTATACAACCCTGTACCCCACTTCAGCTGGCTCAGTTTTTAATAATGTCCTGTTGTATTGTTATTGCTGTTGTTTTTCTGCTTTAACTGTTTTATTTGCTATATATTGTATTGTTGTATTGTTGTATTGTGTTGTGTTGGGCTCCGGCCTGTTGTAAGCCGCATCGAATCCCTTGGGAGATGCTAGCGGGGTACAAATAAAGTTTAATAATAATAATAATAATAATAAAAAGTCTCTTCCCTCCTTCAGTCTGATGGGATTTCTCTTCTTGTCTACAATTCTCAAATATTATTGCCAGTGGTTCTGAAATTACTTCTAGTTGTTTCTTCAATACTCTTGGATGTAGTTCATCTGGCCCTGGAGACTTGAATTCATTTAGAGTAGCCGGGCATTGATAGACGACTTCTTTACCTTTATCAGGTTGCATTTCCTCTATTGCCTCATCTGCTCCATACTGCTCATGTTGAACACTGATTTCCTTTTGGGAGGAGACTGAGACACAGAAGGCAAATCGTTGTTCTGTGTTTTAATATATGTATTTAATGCTCTTGTGGTTTATCTGTGTATTTTAATTGTGTTGTACTCTGTCTGGAGTCACAAGGAAAGGCAGGTAACAAATAAAGTTGTTGTTTTGTTGTTGTTGTTACCTTGGTGAGGGTCCACTCAAAATATAAAGTAAACAAATAATTAAAAAATGAGACTCCAAACCTGAGAGAGTTGTCTCAGTTTGCCTAATGATAAGAGGTTGTTCAGTTATACGGTTGGTATATTCTTCTTTCATCTCAATTTCTCTCTTTTTTATTTGCAGTATGCTCTGCCTTACCTTCGAAAAACAAAAGGGAACATCATCAATCTCTGCAGTATAGTCCATATTATTGGGCAAAAGCACTGTGTACCCTATACCTCAAGCAAGGTAGGCTGGAGCAATAGGACTTGAAATTATCCCCACATCCACAAGGGTTGCCAACATTTCTTAAAAGCTACTGCTGCAGTGACTTTTAGCAGGAAGGAATGAAGCTTGTCTCCAAGCCTGTTAAAGACAGGCCAGGTTGTTATTGTTTCCTTCTAATCAGTTACTGCCCAATGGTCAGAAAGTTACTTTTGGAGACCACGGATGTTACCCCTTGTACCACAGTTGGAACAGCCGAGGTATGAGGAAGGCAGGGCTTTTCTTTGGTAGCCCATCCTTATTAAAACCAGTTTTCTTGACTCCCTTCCTGATTATGGACAGGGGCCAAATGGTTTTTCAACTCACTTTGATTGAATTGTAGGCCTTTCTTTTACATTGTGATATTTAGTGTTTGATAATCTATATAAATAAAAATGAAATGTTTGTTTGTGGGATTAACATAACTCAAAAACCACTAGACAAATTGACACCAAATTTGGACACAATTCACCTTTCAGGCCAAAGAATGACCATCACTCATAAAAACACTGAAAAACACAGCCAAAGAGACTTAAAAAGCAAAAAACAAACCCCCCACAAAAATTAATTACAACATATGCACAAAACCACACACATACACAAACACACATATACAAATATATACACACACAAAACACATATACTCAGACTGGGCCACAGCAACACGTGGTGCGCAAAACCACACACACACACACATATATATATATACGCAAACACAAATATATGCACACACATACAGACACAAAACACATATACACAGACTGGGTCACAGCAATGCATGGTAGGGAATGGCTAGTCTATATCAATAAAAATGTAATGTTCGTTTGTGGGATTAGCATAATTCAAAAACCACTGGATGAATTGACACCAAATTTGGACACAAGACACCTCTCAGGCCAACTAGTGACCATCACTCATAAAAACACTGAAAAACACAGCAGAAGAGACTTAAAACGCCAAAAAACAAAAATTACAATACAATGTATGCGCAAAACCACATATATACATATATACACACATATATATACACACATATACACACACAGAACACATATACACAGACTGGGCCACAGCAATGTATGGCAGGGGATGGCTAGTAGTAGTAGTAATAATAATAATTTATTTATATTCCACTCTATCTTCCTGGATGGTCTTAGGGCAGATTCCAAACATAAAAGGCAAACATTCAATGCCCGAATACAATAACAATACATCCATGCTAACCAAAATTAATACCCCAACATATAACAACAAATTATGACTTAACAACCAAAATTAAATTAAAAAAACACAGTCTGTTATAACAGACATAAGACAAAACATTAAACATCGGACAAAAGCAGCAAATAGATTAATCATTGCTCAAGATATCTATTGAGCTGGTGGGGTGAGCAGGGCACAGATACGGATCATAGCTATTAATCAGAAGTATAATGGTAGTATTACCAACTCCAACTCCTCCTCCTCATAAGCCAGTGAGCAAAGGCACATCTTCAGCTTTATCTTGAAAGCAGGGAGGGAGGGGACCATCTTTAATTCCTTAGGAAGGGAGTTCCAGAGGTAGGGTGCAGTCATTGAGAAGGCTTTTGTCTCATACCCACCAGCTGTGCTTGGGATGGGTGGAGCTGAGAGGAGGGCCTCTTCCAATGACCGCAGTGTCTGAGTTGGTCTATAGTGGGAGATGTGGTTTGTCAAATAGTCTGGCTATTTTAATTTTTTTAAAATGTAGCCTTTCATCAACTCTATTTTATATTGCATTGTTTCAATGTTTTGCTCAATGGACTGCTTCATACGAGGTTCTGCCTCCAAAGACGGTATAGAAAAAATTCAAATACAAGTATAATAAATCAACTCTTTCAATTTTTAGGGTGCTATTAGTGCAATGACCAAAGCCCTGGCCATCGATGAGAGCAAATATTGTGTCCGAGTCAACAGGTAAGACTGTTGTTAGCAGAGGACTATCAACAATTAAGGATTCGGTTTCTTGGATCAATGAGGTTTTGAGAACTGAAACAAATTGTCCTTTTCTTTTTCCTGAAAATTACTAGGACATCATAATGACTCACACATTTTGGTCTTCCACGTGTTTTGATCATCTGCTCCCAGTGTCCCTCCCAGTTGTCTACTCTAGCCAATCCTTTACTGGTTGAGGTGGAGATTTGCCCAGTGACCTCTCCTCACCCTGTCTGTTCTCATCTTGGCAGCAAATTCAAGGTATTTTGAAAAACATTCTTAGGATTTCAATATACCTTAAATCTAGAGATTTCAAAAATAAAAAAGCATTTTAAAATAAGCAGCAACAACAATAGCAGAGCAGAGCAAAGCAGAAGCTTCTGAGCAGGGTGGGAGAGTGCCGTATAAAAGCCGACCCAAATATAAGCCTAGGCACCTAATTTTACCACAAAAAACTGGAAAAATGTATTGATTCAATATAAGCCGGAGGTGAGAAATACAGCAGTTACTGGTAAATTTCAAAATAAAAATAGATACAAATAAAATAAAATAAAAATTACATTGAGGCATCAGTAGGTTAAATGTTTGTGAATATTTACATAAAACTGTAATTTAAGATAAGACAGTCCAACTCTGATTAAACCATTATCCTAACCTTTTTTTAATGTAAATGTGCTTACATATCCTTCCAATAATAATAGAGTAAAATAATAAATGTAAAAAAATAATAGAGTAAAATAATGGAAAGGTAATAGTTACAGTAATAATAGAGTAAAATAATAAATAATTTTATCATAATAAAGTTAAATTAGAAATGTAATAATAATAAAGAGTAAAATAATAAATTTTGTAACAACAACAAAGTAAAATAATAAATAACCTTGATTCGTGTATAAGCTGAGTGGGGCTTTTTCAGCTTAAGCAAATGAGCTTAAGCAATTAAAGGAGCGGAGTCAGGGTTTAAATTTTTAGAAAAAGTTTACTAGAAAGAACTAAATTTCTAAATAGGAAAGTTAGGGAATTATATGCATTTCACTATGTCTGGAACAAGCTGGCATTATGTCTCCGTTATCTCTATGGGGGAAGAAGTCTCTAGTTTAGGAAAGTAGAGGTTTTCCTGAGAATATCAGCCTAAGGGCCTTTCCAGACAGGCCCTATAACCCAGGATATGATTCCAGGTTTTCTGTTTTAAACTAGATTATATGAGTCCGCACTGTCGGATAATCTGGGATAAACAGAAAACCTGTAATCAGATCCTGGGATATAGGGTCTGTCTGGAAGGGCACTTACTCAGGAAATTGGAGGAGGCAAGGAGGGACAGACAAAGAGAGTAATAAGAGGAGGAGCTTTCCCTATAAACTAACATCAGCTGCCTATCTATTTCCCTGTTGAGAACTAGAAACATGTGAAACATAGAAATAAAATTCACAGATAACATATTGAAGCTTTGTGTGTGTGTGTGTGTGTGTGTGGGGGGGGGGGTTAGGGTATTATACTTCAAGGAATCTTGACACAGCTCAGCAAGTGGAAACAGATCTGCTTACTCTTCTGTGATGCCTCCTCCAAACTTGGCTTCCTTCCTTTAAATATTGGAAAATGCGAATCTCTATAACCATTTGGGAAATAGGATTTGTACCCTTTTTTGGAATTATATACAGCAGAGTTTCAGAAGTGTTCCTTTAGTTGCCCCAAAAACATCTCTCCCTTAAAATATATTTTCCTTTAAAATATGCTCTCAAGAGAGAAAATAAGCAGTCTTCTTTAAAAGCAAAATAGTTGGTTTACTCACAAACTTCATGTATACAGCATACAGGCACTTTGCATATGATTCCAATTACAATAGAATTTTAAGTAGTTTCTCTGTGTAGGTAACACAGGGCATTTTCCTTAGAATCAATAGCCTATAGTCCAAGGCATCTCTCTGTTTTGAAAGTCTAATACAGGGGTCCTCAAACTTTTTAAACAGATGGCCAGGTCACAGTTCCTCAAACTATTGGAGAGCCGGATTATAATTTGAAAAAAACATGAATTAATTCCTATGCACACTGCACATACCTTACTTGTAGTGCAAAAAACACTTTAAAACAATACAATAATTAAAATAAAGAATTTTTAAAACAAATATAAACTTATTAGTATTTCAATGGGAAGTGTGGGCCTCCTTTTGCCTGATGAGAGGATTGTTGTTGTGTGCTTTCAAGTACCGTAGTTTCAGACTCAGGTTGACCCTGAGTGAGGGCCATGTTAATGACCTTGGAGGGCCGCATCTGGCCCTTGGGCCTTAGTTTGAGGACCCCTGGTCTAATAAGTCTAGAAGCATACTGTTCCTGCATTGAAGTCTGAAAGCAAACTTCTCTACTGGCTTCTCAAAGCAAACACCTCCACTGAAGTCTACGGGCCCTTCCACACAGCCCTATATCCCAGAATATCAAGGCAGAAAATCCCACAATATCTGCATGGAACTGGGTTATCTGAGTCTGCACCCAGATAATGTGAGTTTTTCTGCCTTGATATTCTGGGATATAGGGCTGTGTGGAAGGGCCCTAAGAGTCTAATGGCTTCTAAAAACAAACTGTTCTTACTGAAGTCTAAAGGCACCTGCCGATCTAAAATTGAGTCCTGAACATGCCCAATTCTGATTACATGGTCTGCAGCCCCTCCCACAACAAAGAAGTTAAGTAAACTGCATACCAACACACCACATATACAATACAGTAAGAAATCTGAATTATATACACAATAAATAACTAGTGGGGGCTTGAGATGGTTGCTATTGCCAACATTTAAAAAATCCTAATGATTTGAATTCTAGCATTTCACCTGGCAATATCTGGACTCCAGCATGGGCAAGGGTGGCAAGCGAAGCACCCGATCCAGAGGAAGTAATCCAGAAAGCAAAAGGTCATCAGGCAAGTGCATGAGGGACCTGGGGCTACTGGATAGGATGGATTTCTACTAGTTTGTACAAAGAACTGCATGTAAAACACTCTGTAAAAATACCATTACAATTCTGCGGGCATGAAGAAAAGCCAGAAATTGCATCCTCCACCTGATGTGCAATTTTGCAGATATACATAATTTAGCTGGGGTTTTTTTTAAGTTGGTTTGTTACATTTGCCAGTTTAACTTTGTGTATTTGATTATTCACGGATTGGATTAACACGTCTGTTGGGTTCTCCAGTGCGAATTCATGACCAAGTTCTCAAGAAAATTGGTAAGGGTTGTGCTGGGTGGTTTAGTAGTATTTTTTCATTTGTGGCTTTTCTAGTTTTGCAAGGGTCCTGTGTCCTAATCCCAGCAAATGTGGAGGTTTAACTATGAATGTTTTTACTGAAAGGGAAAAGGTATTTCAGATGGTCATTTGAAATGTAAGCACTGGAAATCTTTTGGAATATGAGCTTCTAATTTCTGAGACTTCATAAGCTTCTCTTATGTGTCCAGAGGAGGGTGACTAAAATGATCAAGGGTCTGGAGAACATGCCCTATGAGGAGCGGCTTAAAGAGCCGGGCATGTTTAGCCTGAAGAAGAGAAGGCTGAGAGGAGACATGATAGCCATGTATAAATATGTGAGGGGATGTCATAGGGAGGAGGGAGCAAGCTCATTTTCTGCTGCCCTGGAGACTAGGACACGGAGCAGTGGCTTCAAACTACAGGAAAGGAGATTCCACCTGAACATTAGGAAGAACTTCCTAACTGTGAGAGCTGCCCAGCAGTGGAACTCTCTACCCCAAAGTGTGGTGGAGGCTCCTTCTATGGAGGCTTTTAAACAGAGGCTGGATGGCCATCTGTTGGGGATGCTTTGAACGCGATTGCCCTGCTTCTTGGCAGGAGGTTGGACTGGATGGCCCACGAGGTTTCTTCCAACTCTATAATTTTAAACATTTGAGGTACTATTTGTTGTAAAGACAATGAATCTTTGAGGTCGTTGTATGCATGCATATAAGGAAACAAATGGAATAGAGATGTGTTTGTGTCTACCCATCAGATTATCCTCAAGCACTAATTTTGCATCACCTTTTGTCTTCTCCATTGTGTCCATAGCTTATGGGACGGTTGGGGAACCCTGAAGAGATTGCGAAGGCTGCCCTGTTCCTTGCTGCCGATGCCACGTTCTGCACAGGATTTGACCTTGTGGCCAGCGGCGGAGCTGAGCTTGGCTTTGGCCCTAAGAGTCAAGTTACTCCCGGTTGTGGCTCTAAAAACTAGTGGAGTCAACCAAGATGGGAGGATTGCTGTGGCTGCAAAGTAGAATGCCAATCTATGTGATTTCCATTCAGGTAGAGGGCTACCTCGCAAGGTCGTTGTATGCATGCATTGCAGCTCATGCAGAAAAGTTTGTGGGAGGATTTCATTCCTCCTTTTAAATGTTTGCTTGACTATAACTCCTAGCAGCCATCAGCTAATACAGCATACGAGAAGAAAGCACTGGATGTTGTAGTCCAGCAACATCTGGAGGTCCATATGATTCTTGAGTAATCATGAGGTTCTTTAGACAGAGATATAATAAATTCAGATATGATAAGGATGAAGAAGGTGCTTTTCCCCAGGACTCTCTTCTTGTTTGGAAAGCAGAATGGCAACAGGTACAGCTCTTCCTATATCTGCATTACCCATATAAGAAAAGAATAAAAAGCTTTTGGAATTCTAGATCTGTGGATTCCAGCATTTAGTCCTCCAGTTGTTTCCAGTACTTACTCTTCCAGTGTCCCATTCCAACCACATCCTTCAATCCAGAGCTCTGCCAAGGAATAGTTCTCTTCCCATATTATTCCCACATGGGAACGCAAGCATGAAATTTTGCAAATTGCCCCCAAATCAGGACTATAAAATCCACTTCCAAAAGACCTTCCAAAAAAGATAAGTACTTTTATTTTTAAAAGGGGGATTTAAGGCTTTTGGGGAGGCGGGTAGATTCTCCAGGTATACTCCAGGACTAGTCCCAGAAGAACATCTGGACACCCACCCCAGAAAGCGTTTGCTTTCTGGGGTATGTGTGGACAGGGCCCCACGCACATCCACATTTTTTAAACACGGATGCTGCTGGGATAACGGCCTGTCTAGAAAGGCCCCCAGAGTGGTGCACATTGGATGAACTATCCTGTTGGAACAGCTGCCCGCATGTCAAAGGGAAATCCTGCTTAATATTGGGGGCATAGTGAAAGTGTGGGGGCCATTCAATACCTGGATAAATACTTTTTCCCATCCAAGGGAGTGATGGCAATCTCCCCTTGATATTGTAACATCTTCTCATATATGAACAATTCCAATCTGTATACTCAGTAAACATTTAATGCTACACATCTCAAAGAGTCTTGGCTATTTTATTTCAGAGCCCTGTCTTTTTGTTTCTGCTTTCTTTTTGCATTTTTTGGATCTCAGTTAGGCTTTGTACCTAAGAGACTTTCATCTAAATGGCATGGAAAGAAAAGAGTAGGCTAATTAATACCTTTTCAGTTTGCATTTAAAAAACTCTGAGCGATATATGCTATGATTTTCCTTAACACCCATCTCTCCTCTGCACACCACCCCTATGAGGAAGGTCAAGGTCCAAGTTCATCCAAAGAGCTCTATAGCTGAGGAAGAGTTTGAAACTACATCTCTCCAATTAATGGCCAACCGTATTTTTTTTAATGTCCAGATGTTCTGGACTATAATCCCTATTACTTTTAGGCACCATAACTATACAATCCATATCTTATCAACACTGGGAAGAAAAAGAGGTAACAGAAGCAGGAAAGGCTACAACTAACCACTAACACAAAGGAACTATAACCACTAACACAAAGGAACTATAAGCCCCCAATCTAAACTGTAGTGAAAAAAGAACAAGAAAAAAGGGGAAAGGGTGGGGGAGAAGAAAGATAAAGGTTAAGGGTAAAGGTTTTCCCCTGACATTAAGTCCAGTCGTGTCAGACTCTGGGGGTTAGTGCTCATCTCCATTTCTAAGCCGAAGAGCCAGAGCTGTCCATAGACACCTCCAAGGTCATGTGGCCAGCCGGAGTGGTACCTATTGATCTACTCACATTTGTATGTTTTCAAACTGCTAGGTTGGCAGAAGCTGGGGCTGACAGTGAAATCTCATGCTGCTCCCTGGATTCGAACCTGCGACCTTTCAGTCAACAAGTTTAGCACCTTGGTGGTTTAACCCACTGCACCACCGGCTAGTTAAAATGAACTTACTAAGTTTACTAAAAAGTTACCAGTAGCCATTGCTAGAAATACACTGTTTTTCTTGACATTATTTTCTTCAAAAAGAGTTCAATGTAGAATCCTGGATCCATGCACTGGAAAAATGACTGAAAGAAAGACTGTTTGTTCTGATGAATCACACATTTTTGTGTCCAAGCATTAGATGAGATGCTTTGAATTGGATTATATGATTCTGTACAGCCATATAATCCAGTGCAAAAAATATTATCTGGATTTTATATGGCAGTGTAGATGGGGTCCCAGGCATTCAAGCAGACCAAATCAAGGGGTTCCACCCACACGTTTGTCTTACTTTGTCAAAGAGGAGGAATTGCAGGAATCATCCTCATGGGCTGAGCTACAAAGGTTGTCAGTGAGCAAATGCAGCATTAGAGAAACTTGACTTTTTGCACATAAACAAACATAGACACTTTCAGAACATCCAAGAGGGAGGAATATTATTGGCTGTTAAAGAGTTCTCAAGATCAAGAGATAAAATGATAGATTTGTTGATAAGGGATATTCACAGGAATTTGGACAAGACTTTGACTAGCTTTTTGCAGCAGTTGTGAAACATAGTACACTAAGGACACTTCTAAAAATTGCAGCATCAATATTTAGACATAAAGATGGCTTTTCTTCATAGAGATCTAACAGAAGTTATTTACACAGGATCTGAGGACAAGAATAAGAAAAAAAAAGCTTGTATGTAAACTTCTAAAGAGCATCTATAGACTAAAGCATGGAGCTAGAGCATGGAGTGAAAAAAAATTGTCTCCTGCTTTTTGAAAAGGGGTTTATTCAAGGAGAGACTGACAATTGCCCTTACTACAGATACAAAGATAACAAATGAATATATACTCTTGACTGGTTGATGACATAATGATTAGTTATGAAGAAAAATGTGAAATTAATGAAATTGTGGAACATCTGAATAAACACATTGAAGTCATGGAACTGGTGAACATTTCATATTACCTAGGAATACAAATTAAGAGAGAAGTAGTTTTATTCTCAACCAAAATCAGAAAATAATAGACTTAATGGACTAACTGAAACACACCTAATTGGGACTGGCATAGGGACCAGTTATTAGAAACATACATGGGAGATTGAACCTGACTTATTAACTTAGGTGATCCCTCGTAGCCTGAGGATGATAGCCCTCCAAGTGTAGTGTCTTGGAGGTGGGTCCATAGGTGGCTGTGGAGCCCTATTCCTGATCCATGTGTTCTCCCACAGTGAGGACATCGGTTTCCGGGTGGAAACGGTCCCAGTCATGCCCCTTCTTCTTAGCATGTTTCTTCCTTTCACCCTCCATTCTTGCCTCTTCAAATCCTGCAGCACTGCTGATCACAGCTGACCTCCAGTTAGAGCGCTCAAAGGCCAGGGCTTCCCAGTTCTTGGTGTCCCTGCCTCAGTTTTGAGCCAATCTTTAAATCTCTTTTCCTGTCCACCAACATTACATTTCCCATTCTTGAGTTGGGAGTTTAGTAACTGCTTTGGGAGACAGTGATCGGGTATTCAGACAATGTGGCTAGTCCTGTGGAGTTGATGTAGGAGCATCGCTTCAATGCTGGCGGTTTTTGCTTCTTCCAGTATGCTGACATTTGTCCCTGTCTTCCCAAGAGATTTGCAGGATTTTTCAGAGGCAACGTTGATGGAATCGTTCCAGGAGTTGAGTGTGATGTCTGCAGACAGCCCACGTTTCGCATGCGTATAGCGGGGTTGGGAGGACAAAGTGACAAGACCAGCCATATCAGCAGTTGTTGCAATTTTGTGTAGAAAAGCAGCTCTCAAAATAAATATGATTGAAATGCAGCAAAAAGTGTGGTAATAAATTTAAAAGGAACCATACATCTGAAACTTAGCATACAAGCCACCAGCAATCCTATATTGAAGGGATTGGCTGATTTGGCCAATGATGTGGAAGACTGGAAATATACAAGTGAATACTTGTTCTTCTATAGAAATGTACTAATCGATTGGGTCGCACCGAAGCAGACTGCTGTTTCATCCACAGAAACTGAATATGTCTCAGCCTCTGAAGCATGCAAAGAGCTGAAATGGTGATACATGCTACTGTTCTGTCGCGTACTGGGTCTGAACAAATTGTCTTTAATCTATAGGACGTACACTTTAAACCCAGTGGGAAGCCGGGGTGCCTCAAAGAGAGATTCCTAGGGAATTCCTGAAGTAATGGTCTTTATAGTCTTTAAAGGTACAACAAAGTCTTTATTAATGAACAAATAATGAATCTTCAAACAAAACTTCAAGGTTTTCTTATTCTAGTCTTTAAGAGACTGGCACTGACTTGGATTAACTGTACTTTCTCAGCATGAGGAAGAACCCTTTATAATCTCTCCCAGGCTGTCTATTATCTGGACCTCGCTGATTTGGGTCTTACTACCGATCCCAACTACTTCTGGGCATCGAGTAAACCTACCAGCCAAGGCTTGATGATACTTCAGCTGGAATTCAGTGGTTCTGTAATGCTGTCCTGTGGGAACTTCAGAGCTGTTTTCCTCTCTGGTGCTGTGAGGCTGAGAGGCTGTGAGCTCTCAGCCAGAGCCTTTGGGATCCTTTCCTTCTATTCCTGTTTCCCTGAATGATCCCCAGATGATCACCGGATGGTCCCCGGTTGGTTCTGAAGAATGAAGCTTTTCGTATGGGACGAGCTGTCTGCATCCTATAGACTAGCTTCCTTGTGTGTGACTGACTAAAATGGCTCCCTTCTCTTCTGAAAACCCAAAAGGGGGCGGAACTAAGGAACCTAATGACGATGGACAGGTGACCTGCCCTGTAACTGCAAACTTTAACAGGAAGCCACCCTTCTGCAAAATCCCAAGCCTTGGGCTGCAACCAAACACTTGATACAAAGCAAATAAAGTGGGAGCTTCTGGTACAGCTGTACCAGCACAGCTACAACTGGATTTTGGAATAGAAGAACCAACATGATCACCCTCAACTCAAGCATGTTGACACAAAGTATGACCTCATAAAGAATGCATGCAAGTGAGGACTTGTTAGATTTAAATATTGGCCAGCAAATATTGTCAAATAATTTGATCAAAATCAACAATGTTGGTGCTTTGGTTCATTTCCAATTTGAGCAAATAGTACGATTGCCATGTGTAACGAAATGTATAATTAAAATGTAAGTTTTTGGTATGTTTATTATTGTCAGCTGATGGCCTAGGCATTGCCATAGCAACATAGCCTCCAGGCAGAAGAAAAAGCGGTGGAGCCAACTATCACTGAAAAAAAAGAATGTTGGTGTGAAAAGGGTCAGTTGGTCAGTGAGCTGGAGTCAGGGAGGAAGTTAGCTAAAGGCAGCTGAGGAATTAGCTAAGGAGTAGTTAAGATAGTGACTGATAACAGGAAGCTAGTGACAGTAGAGAGGTTTTAAAGGACCCAGTGGTCAGGATCTCTATGTCAGGTTAAAAATAGTTAGAAATCAGTTTTCATGTGTTAATATGAAAGTCCTTTCAGAAAGAGGAAAGGCTTGAATGAAAGTCATGCTGAAACTTTGTTTTGTAATCTATATAAGTAACAATGTAATGTTCGTTTGTGGGATTAGCATAACTCAAAAACCACTGGACGAATTAGTGCCAAATTTGGCCACAAGGCACCTACTAACCCAAGGAGTGACCATCACTAAAAAAAATTGATTTTGTCATTTGGCAGTTATAGTTGCTGGGATTTATAGTTAACCTACAATCGAAGTGCATTCTGAACTCCACCAATGATGGAATTAAACCAAACGTGGCACACAGGACTCCCATGACCAACATGAGCATTGATGGGCATTGACCTTGAGTTTGGGAGTTGTAGTTCACCTACATCCAGAGAGCACTGTGGACTCAAACAATGATGGATCTGGACCAAACTTGGCCCGAATATTCCATATACCCAAATATGAACTCAGATGGAGTTTTGGGGAAAATAGATCTTGACATTTGGGAGTTGTAGTTACTGGGATTTATAGTTCTACAATCCAAGAGCATGCTGATCCCTACCAACAACATAATTGGGGCAAACTTCACAGAACCCCATGACCAACAGAAAATACTTAAGGCCATCCAGTCCAACTCTCTTCACCAGGACAAGAAAACTTAATCAAAGCCCTCCTGACAAAAAGCCATCCAGCCATAGATATAGATAGATATATATGATTTACACACACACACAAATATAGTATCATAGATTTGAAAGGGACCCATAAAGAGGGACAATTATATGTTGTACTAGCTACCCCCTGCCACACATTGCTGTGGCCCAGTCTATGTATATGTGTTTTGTGTGTGTATAATATATATCTATATATATAAATCTGTTAGGTTGGTTCAACCGGACAGCAAAACTCCACAACCCCCCAACGAAACTGTACCAAAATTCCCATGCCCATAACACAACCCACAAGGTACAAACATATCTACTCAAAATGAAAAACAACACAACAACACACTCACAAAACGGCAAAACAACAAAACTCAAAAAACCCCAACAAAACTTAACCAAAATTCCCATGCCCATAACACAACCCACAAGGTACAAACATATCTACTCAAAATGAAAAACAACACAACAACACACTCACAAAACGGCAAAACAACAAAACTCAAAAATCCCCCAACGAAACTTAACCAAAATTCCATGCCCATAACACAACCCACAAGGTACAAACATATCTACTCAAAATGAAAAACAACACAACAACACACTCACAAAACGGCAAAACAACAAAACTCAAAAAAACCCCAACGAAACTTAACCAAAATTGCCATGCCCATAACACAACCCACAAGGTACAAACATATCTACTCAAAATGAAAAACAACACAACAACACACTCACAAAACGGCAAAACAACAAAACTCAAAAAAACCCAACGAAACTTAACCAAAATTCCCATGCCCATAACACAACCCACAAGGTACAAGCATATCTACTCAAAATGAAAAACAACACAACAACACACTCACAAAACGGCAAAACAACAAAACTCAAAAAAAAAAACCAACGAAACTTAACCAAAATTCCCATGCCCATAACACAACCCACAAGGTACAAACATATCTACTCAAAATGAAAAACAACACAACAACACACTCACAAAACGGCAAAACAACAAAACTCAAAAAACCCCCAACGAAACTTAATCAAAATTCCCATGCCCATAACACAACCCACAAGGTACAAACATATCTACTCAAAATGAAAAACAACACAACAACACACTCACAAAACAGCAAAAGAACTGAGCATGCGCATTGGTGCCCAGCTGCAAGTTCCCTGCGCACACAGCCTTCTGGCCAACGTTCCCTCTGCGGAAGCCATGCCCACTCCAAGCCCTGCCGCGCCGCTTCCCGCACACACACACACCCTGCCGCACGCACACACACAACCCCACGCTCCATCACTCCCCCCGCTGCACACACACACGCAACCCCACGCTCCATCACTCCCCCCACCGCCACACACACACGCGCAACCCCACTCCCCCTGCTGCCGCACACACACACGCAACCCCACGCTCCATCACTCCCCCCGCCGCCGCACACACACACAACCCCACGCTCCATCACTCCCCTGCCCCAATCTTACCTCCTTTTACTTCACGCCACCTCCAAACCCCACCCCGCCCCTTCCCGCCCTGTCAAAATCCAGGAAAGACAGGAAGGAAGGAAAGAAGGAAGAAAGAGAAAGGGAGATAAAGAAAAGGGGGAAGGAAGGAAAGTTAGAGAAAGAAGGAAGAAGAAAAGGAAAGAAAAGGAAAGATGGAAGGAAAGAAAAGAGAGACAGCAGAAGAGAAAGAAAAAGGGGGAAGGAAGGAAAGAGGTAGAGAAGGAAGAAATGAGAGACAGAGGGAGGGAAAGAAAAAGGGGGAAGGAAGGAAGGAGAGAAGGAAAGAAAAAAGGGAATGAAGGAAGGAAAGAGGGAGTGAAGGAAGGGTGAAGATGTAGAGAAAGAGGGAGGGAAGGAAAGAAGGAAAGAGAGAAGGAAGAAAAGAGACCAGAAGAGAAAGAAAAAGGGGGAAGGAAGGAAAGAGATAGAGAAGGAAAAGGAGAAGGAAAGATGGGAGGGAAGGAAGGAAGGAGGGAAAGAAGGAGAGAAAGAGGGAAGGTTGGCCACAGCAACGCGTGGCGGGTAAAGGTTGTTATTTCTATTATTATTATGATGCTATTATTCCTATTAGACCCTGGGGGAATGGGAGAGGTGTCAGGTCCCAGAGGCAATGCATTGCATTATTGTTATTGTTATGATGGTGGTGAAATAAAAGGAAATAAAAAGTGAAAGAAGGAAGCAAACAGGGAGGGAAGAACGGCAAAGGAAGAAAGGGGGAGGGAATGAAGGAAAGAGAGAAGGATGAAACCAAGTAGTGAAAGAAGGAAAGAAAGAAAGAGGTAGAGAAGGAAGAAAGGAGAGAAAGGGGGAGGAAAAGGGGGAAGGAATAGGTAGGTACCTCTCTTTCATAATAGTCCAGATATCTACCTCAACTTTGATAAGTTTTACTATAGGCCACAGCAACGCGTGGCAGGGCACAGCTAGTGTGTGTATATATTTGTGTATATGTGTATATATGTGGTTTTGCACATGCATTGTAATGTAATTTTTTATTTTATTTTTTTGCTTTTAAAGTCTCTTTCACTGTGTTTTTCAGTGTTTTTATGAGTGATGGTCATTTGTTGGCCAGATAGGTGTACTGTGTCCAAATTTGGTGTCAATTCACCCAGTGGTTTTTGAGTTATGTTCATCCCACAAACGAACATTACATTTTTATTTATATAGATGTTCCAGAGTGGGCAGACCAGACAATCTCCACATCAACACTCACAAAGAAACAACAAGAAATACTGTTTACCCACAAGCAGAAAGAAATTACATATATTAGAAACCAACACTTTCTCATTATTTTATTTTCCAGATCACCAGACTGCAGGGGACAGCTAGTGTCTTCATAAAAGAATATTCACATCTTTGTAACTAACAAGCATTTATACTTTTGAAAACATTACACTTTTGTCACAAGAATGATACAAATAAACTGTTATTGTTTCCCTTTAAGCAAAGTCTCTCTCAGTCTCATCCCTTACATGATTAGTGGCAGCTTCATTGAGTTAAAGACGTACTTTCATTTCACCATGCTAGTATGCACTGAAGAAGTAGTGCTTATTTATTATCCATTTTTCACATCCTAAATACACAGCAAAACATTTATGATAACATGGCAAAATTTACCTTTAGAATTTATTTAAGTTATCATAAAAAAATTACTATCCACGTGTGGATAAAAACTATGTTGATACCTTAGCAATGGCAACATCAACTTAAACCTTTTGTAAAGACATTTATTTTAGAGATAACTTATTTGGCACTAAATCATTTTATACAATTATAATACATATTTCATTTTAAATTGCAGCATAAGGTACACTTTATGCCTTTAATCCAGATGTTTTTCTCCATTAACCCATTTGAACACCATGCCCCAAATTTTGGGCACACCTTATCCTGTAATTTGTACTGGTTCATCTTCCTATGCCAATTTCTAGTGGTATTTACACTTTCCAAAAAATATTAATGACTCTAATTTTTACACAATTGTGGGCAAAACTCATTTTCTCCAGCGTCACTAATTAGATCTCTTGATTAAATCTCTGATTTAAATCTTAAGTAGTATGAGGAGCTTTTGAGGAGATCTCCACCTCTAAAGGCAAGATACGTGGCTGTGTTTGTCTATTGTTGATGTTGAGTGGATAAAACTGCTTGTTCAGATGCTTTAATTTTGATTTTGCTGACTAGATGAGATGTGATTTTTCTTCGCAAAATTTGAGATATGTTGTGGGCTTTCAGTTGGTTTCCTCAGGAAATATGTGTACAAGGTATACAGGAAACAATTAATTTCTTGCTTAGACTTGAGATATTTCCAAGATACCTCAATACACCAAAACCCAAAAACTCCCCAAAGCCCAAACATATCTCTTCCCAACCATTCCAAAAAAGAGAGGCTTCATTTTGGTGAGTGTGCATGCGCAGTGAGGGAAGCCACGTATGTATTTAAAAGATCAGCTGGATGTGGAGCCATCAGTCAGAACCGTGAGAGGCACTGCGATGGCAACTGAGCTGCGATATCTGGGGAAGGTGGTCATAGTAACGGGGGGCACGAAGGGCATCGGCAAAGGCATCGTCAGAGAATTTGGTGAGAGACAACTGGGGGACAGAGGAAGATATATATAACTTAAACATCTTATAATTCTGGATTTTTTTTATTTGCTTCCCATCACTATGGACCTAACCCCAAATGCGTGTATCCTTAAACAAGGTGCATCTACACTGGAGAGTGAATGCAGTTTGGCACCATTTGAACTCTCTTGGCTCAAAGCAATGAAACACAGGGATTTGTAGAGTGATGACGCACCAGCACTGTTTTGGAAGAGGAGAGTAAAGCCCTCATAAAATTACAACTCTCAGATTTCCATAGCACTGAGCCATGGCAATGAAAGTGGAGCTAAAATGCATTCATTCTACAGTGTAGCTGCACCCTTGATGATGTATATATGGGGAAACGTTGGGGAATAGAAGTTGTTTTATGCTTCTGTAGTTAATTAAAATAATATATGATTAGAAGTAATGTTAAAACAGTAGATAAATTAAATATTTATCCATAAACATAAAGGTAAAGGTTTTCCCTGACATTAAGTCAAGTTGTGTCAGACTCTGGGGGGTGGTGCTCATCTCCATTTCTAAACCAAAGAGCCGGCATTGTCAGTCTCCAAGGTCATGTGGCCAGCATGACTGAATGGAGCGCCATTATCTTCCTGCAGAAGCAGTACCTATTGATCTACTCACATTTGCATGTTTTCAAACTGCTAAGTTGGCAGAAGCTGGGGCTAACAGTGGGAACTCACTCAATATCTATCCATATTAATCAATAATGAGGAAGGAAATATATAGATAATCTATAATTGCAGTTTTTTCCCATCCCACCCCCTAATGTACTTTTAACAGAATCAAAGATTCCAAAAGAAACTGCATTATACTGGGATAACGATTTGAACAATTTGAACATCTTGCCTAAAACTGAAAAATGTAACTCTGAATAAATCATTATAATTATATCTATTCTTAAATAGGTATTGTTACAGTTACTTAGACTTCAGTGTAGTTAGGCTGGATCTACACTGCAGTATAATGCAGTTTCAGAATTCAGTTTAACCACATTGAACTAGATTATATGGCAGTGTAGATGCTCAGTTCAATGCAATTAAATTACTTTTTGAAACTGCATTATTTGCAAGTGGAGATCCAGCCTTTGACTTAGGAGCTCATCACATCAGGAAAATTCCCCCTTGTCAGGCATGTAGCCCGGGGGGGGGGGGGGGGCTTGAGGGGCTTCAGCCCCCCCCCCCCCCCAAATTCTCATGGTGGTCCGCGAGAAGGCCTTACTGGTGCATTATTTAAACTGTTATGTTTATTCATATCATGATCTGATCACCATACTCAATATATCCCATATGCATGGGGGTATTGGGGTAATGATACAAAAGGTTTGCTAGGCTAGACCCTCTTTCACTCAGACTCAGCCCCCCCGAAACTCAGCCCCCCGAAACCCCCCCTGAAAAAAATTCAGGCAGGCTCCGTGCCAGCTGCATTGGCGAATTATTCTATGAGAGGGAAAGCCTGACATGGAAGACTACCCAGGTTTAGATAGAGGAAATTACTACAGGATGATATAGAAATAGTACTCGACCCCAATAAAAATACATAATATGGAAATTACTACAGGAATGATATAGAAATAGTACTCGACCCCAATAAAAATACATAATATGGATAAGAGCCGTTAAAAAAAATGTTAGAGGGGTTGGCAAGAAACAGGAACATTAACTCACATGTGGTGGCAATGTAAATATGTACATAGGTTCTAAGGAAAAGTTCTAATAGTATTGTCGAAGGCTTTCATGGCCAGAATCATTCAGTTCTTGTGGGTTTTTTCGGGCTATATGGCCATGTTCTAGAGGCATTTCCTGGCAGTGGGTCCATAGGTGACTGTGGAGCCCTATTCTTGATCTGCATCTTCTCCCACAGTGAGGGCATCGGTTCCCAGGTGAAAGGCGGTTCTGGTTGGGGTTGGCTTGATGCGCCTTCCTCTTGGCACGTTTATCTCTTTCGCCCTCCATTCGTGCCTCTTCAAATTCTACATCACTGCTGGTCACAGCTGACCTCCAGCTGGAGCGCTCAAGGGCCAGGGCTTCCCAGTTCTCAGTGTCTATGCCAGAGTTTTTAAGGTTAGCTTTGAGCCCATCTTTAAATCTCTTTTCCTGTCCTCCAACATTCCGTTTTCAGTTCTTGAGTTTGGAGTAGAGTAACTACTTTGGGAGATGGTGATTGTGCATTCGGATGTGGCGGGCCAGCGGAGTTGATGGCGGAGGACCATCGCTTCAATGCTGGTGGTCTTTGCTTCTTCCAGCATGCTGACATTTGTCCACCTGTCTTCCCAAGAGATTTGCAGGATTTTTCAGAGGCAACACTGATGGAATCGTTCCAGGACAGATGGCAAGCTATTTAATCTCAGCAGACTGAAAGCCAAAACTAAGGTTCTAACAACATCTGTTATAGAACTCCAATATGCTGATGACAACTCCATCTGTGCACATTCAGAAGAAGACCCACAAGGCACTCTAAACACCTTCGCAGAAGCATACGAGAAGCTCGGCCTGTCATTGAACATCGAGAAAACCAAAGTGTTCTTCCAGCAGGCACCAGCCGATCCATCTGCAATGCCAGAAATACAGCTTAATGGGAAGAAATAAATATATGAATTATATAATTGTATTTTGTAATGAAATGGAATTAAAATGTGATACTATTATTATTATTATTATTAATAATAATAATAATAATAATTTTTAAAATGATGAGGCGCTCCTTGGAAAGGGATGCTTTCCAGTGTGTGATAGGCAAGTGGGTGATGGGGTTGATGCAGAACAATTTGGCGATGAATTCACCCTGCTGCCCCATGATTTGCCCCGCTGCTCTACAGATCTTCCTGCTGTTCCCCGTAGGACATAGAGGTCCGTAGTGGTGGGAAGTGCCTGCTCAATAGGCTGATATATAGAAACAAGATGAAATACAAGTTGAGTATCCCTTATCCAAAATGCTTGAAGTGTTTGGGATTTTGGGGGGACTTTGGAATACACATAATAATGTGTGACTGTAGTTAGTCGATTTTGTAGATTCATTTGTTCTCTTTGTTTTCCTTCCCAGTTCTCCAAGGAGCCAACGTGGTTTTCTGTGCACCAGAATCTGGTGGTAAGCATCTCCAAGTAGGAATGTTCCTCTTGTGAACTCAAGCTATAGTCCTTGTAGTGGAAGTACTACATTTTAAATGCATTTTCAAAGAAATGTAGGATGAATGGAGAAACCCAGGAACCCAAGGAAAGCACTGGTTGGTTTCACTTGCCCAGCATCCATGACCCAAAGAGAGATGCCTGCCAAAATTTAATAGAACAGCCTTCCCCAACATAGCACACTCTACTATCTCTGAGTGTACTTCCCCTGGCTGAGTATGATGGGAGTTGAAGTTCAATATATCTGCAAAGGGTGAAGTTGTGGAAAGCTGTTCTGTCAGCCTTCAGATGCAACGTCACAGGAATTGTCCTTTGCCTCCTTTCTCACCACTTTTCCTGATTCAGATCCCTTATTCTCCTTTTACAGATTCTGGTTTCAGTGTCCTCACCTAGCCTCCTTGAGGTCACAACCCATTGGCAGGCGGGAGGAGGTGTCAGAGCATCCATAATTTTGCAGACTCCTTTGAAGTGGATGCACAAATACAGGCCAGAGAAAATGAAAGTGTACAAGGACAGAAATGGAAAGGAGGAAAAGGTCCTATGGCACATGTCTTCTTCAGTGGTAACCCTTCCGAACCTGGAGCTAGTAACCTCCAAATTTCCCTACTTTGGCAGGAGTCCCAAGCCCCTAACTCCGGAATAGAGGGCTTACATTAAAACAGTGGTTCTTAATCTTTTTTCTTCACCATGGACTCGCTTTTAAATCTGTTTTGTGGCTGTAAACTCCCATGTCTTAACTCAAGATTTAGGTACTAGTTTGCACCAAACAATTGTTTCAATTTTCTCCTGGCTGTCCTTTAAATTTAGAGAGAAGGAGATATAAATCATGCACACACTTCTGTCTAGCTACATTCAGGGGCGGCTCAACTCATTACGCAAAGTAAGCATTCGCAGTATAGTTGATTTTGCCCAGGGGCGCTCTTGAGGCACACTTGGGGGAAAATAGACCTTGACATATGCGAGTTGTAGTTACTGGGATCTATAGTTCACCTAAAATCAAAGAGCATTCTGAACTCCACCAATGATGGAATTGAACCAAATATGGCACACAGAACTCCCATGACGAACAGAAAATATATATTAATGATTGGGTGGGTGGGGGGTGCCAAAATACTGTTTGCTTACCGTTGAAAATTACCTAGGGCCACCTCTGGCTACATTAATAGCCAGTTGGAGGATATTCTGCACTTGGTGGCAACTTTTAAAGAAATGGGACACTCGGTAAATATTGGCATGAAGAGTAAATATCGGTGACTGTTACTGTCCAGTTGTTTCATCAAAACATTGAGTGTCTCTGCCTCAAATACTCATTAGACTCCAAGTATGGGGCTCAGATAGAGACCTGCAGCTTCTCAATGAGTCCCACCCAGGCATGTAGCCAAGGGGGGGGGGGGGCTTGGGGGGCTTCAGCCGAAATTTCATGGTGGTCCGTGAGAAGGCCTTACTGGTACATTATTTAAACTGTTATGTTTATTCATATCATGATCTGATCACCATGCTCAATATATCCCATATGCATGGGGGTATTGGGGTAAAAAAAACAGAAGGTTTGCTAGGGTAGACCCTCTTTCACTCAGACTCAGCCCCCCCAACCTCCCCCCCCCCCGAAAAAAAACAAAATCCTGGCTATGGGCCTGGTCTCACCTAAAGGAGATCCATTGAATCGATGATTAAATGGTAAAGCCCTATGAGGCAGAATTTTCTTGCACTTGTTCCTTCATCACCTGGAGTTGGAACTGCCCTTCAAATTCCTCACAAACTCTGTTTGCGGCTGTCTTTGCAGAAGAACAGGGGAAGGCCATTGAACAGGAACTGCAGGATTGTGGGGCTGCTGGGGAAGCTCACTTTCAGATCTGCGATGTTCGCTATGAAAAAGCAATTCAGGTAGGCAGGGACTGTGGGGAAAGATGTTGGTTTGGGAGACCTTCCTTGTTGATGTGTGTCTTCATATGGCAACCACAAAGTCAAGCTATCACAGGTCTTTCTGGGGCTGAAACCTAAGGTCACCCAGTAGGTTTCCATGGCCAAGGGGGAATTGAACCCTTGTCTCTACAATCATAGTCCAGCACCACGACAACATGCTTCTTTGGTGGCTTCAATTTTTTTCCTTTAGCACAATTTTATTCTTAAAGCCTGGACTTGAAAATGTAGTTCTTTAAAGGATATCCCAGAATCCTCCAGTGACAGGGGTGTTTGATGGATTTTGAAGACGAAGTCTAAAATTGTGGGAATGATTAATGTCATAATCCAGTTTAGTAGAAGCACCTTCCCCAATACAATGTTTTTTATATGAGCTGGGTTACACCTTACCTCTTCCCTGATTTTACCTATCCTGGCTGGGGATGGTGGGAGTTGTAATCAGCACATGTACTCTGTGGACGGCTTTCCAGGCAACTTTCAGATGTAAACCACCTCCCATGCTTCATTTCTCCCCTTTTGCTAACCTTGTCCCTTTCCATAGAATCTGGTTGCTGTGACCATTGAACTTTATGGACGCCTTGACTGCCTGGTGAACAATGTTGGAATCCGTAAGTCATTCCCAAAACACTGGCAGGGAAGGTTCATAAATCAGGTGCCTTGTTTCTTGGACCTGATGGCTTTTTTGTATGTGTTAAAGGCCAGATCAAGGAGCTGCCAATGAACTGCAACTTTTGTTGTTCACTGCTGTAGAAGGCCATCATGTATATTGTGTTTAATTGCATAATAATCCCCACCATGTAACAGTCACATCCCCTTTTTGGGTGGCATAATTGGTATTTTTGTGTTTCTTCATAATAGTCACAAAGCCATTTGGGGCTCACTATCCCTCCCCTCCTTCTCTCTCCAAATGCAAGGCAGTTTTCTAAAAATCTGAAATAGAGGTTTCTAGAAGTCAGGACTGTCTTCCTTCTTCCTTTCTACAAAGCTCTCCATGTCAAATTTTTCAAAGTGCCTTGCCTTTGGAGAAAGAAGGAAGGGACAGAGAACTACCAAAGAGAAACAAAGCTATTTGAGGCTGGATCATCGCTCCTCTTTCTGCTGTTTCAGAGGTTAGGGCAGGTTAACAAAAGAAAGAAACCAAAGAATTAAAGGCCTTTTCATCATGTTATAGTCACAACCCAATTTTCAATTAAAAAAGGCATCAAAAGTGCAACTATTATGAGATGAAATGCTGTCTTTATTTGACAATTGGTTGACATGTTCCTTTGTCCTATTATGAGAGGATACACCACTGCTCCTTGGGGCTTACACTCAAGAAATCAAGGCCAGGCAAATGGCAGAGGACAATGCGCCACAGAAAGAATAGCCAATTATTTCAATTAAATGTTTTTTAGCCTTAGGGCCCATCTACACTACCAGATAAAATCCAGATTATCTGCTTTGAACTGGATTATATGGCAGTGTAGACTAAGGGTGGATCCAGACAGGACTTTATCCCAGGAGAAGTGCGCACTTTCCTGGGGGCCTGTCCACACCTACCCCAAAAAGTGTGTGCTTTCTGGGATGGGTGTCTAGATGTTCTCTCGGGACTAGCCAGAGAAAATGTCTGGAGGCCTTACCCCCCCCCCAAACCCCCAGAACCCATAGAAAATGAATGAAAACATACCCGGCCTCCATTACAGGCTTCGTCCAGCTCTCCTGGCACATAGATATGATGCGCCCTGAGAGTGTGGGGACGGGTAGTAATTTTCCTCCCTTCTCCCTCTCCTCTGCTCTCCTGGTGCATCATTTCTACGTGCCGGGAGAGCTGGACAAAGCCCATAATGGAGACCGGGTAAGTTTTCATTCGATTTCTAAGGGATCTGGGATCACGGGCTCAGGAGGGTGAGTATTCACACCGTTTACTGGGCTTATTTAGCCTGATAAAGTGTGGGAATATTGTCTGGACTGCAGTATTCTGCAGTCCAGAACCGGAAATAGCAGGTTTATCCTGTGCCTTCCATTATCTAATTAATTTGCTACAAACCAGGGTTTTCCTGGTTTCTAGCGAATTAATACAGGACTGTCCAGAATGTTGTCTGGACAGCCCCTCCTTTATCTCGGTAGATACTGCAATAAAGGTACTGTCTGGACGGGCCCTATTGTAATCCAGTTCAAAGCAGATATCCTGGATTATTTCCGGCAGTGTAGAAGGGGCCTTAGTGTGATATTAGATTTCTTGATGTAAGCAGAGGGAGGGGGGAATGGTTTGTTCAAGACCACTGCCAAACTCGGGTAGGGTGAAAAGTGGAAGTTGATGGTTCTTGGCTCAAATTCTTAGTGCCAGCTGCCTTGTCTGATCCTTCTGAGTGTGTCTTCTGATTTAGGCAAGAGGAACATCCTTCCATATTTGTAGAACCCAGCTAGGATTTCATCATGATTTACTAAAGTTCTGGTTTACTGGAATAAGTGCATTAAAAAAGGTTAAAGAAAGAAAGAAACAGGAAGGTATTCTGGTTCTTACTTCCTATGAAATTCTTTTCCTTTTCATATCTGCCTGTCCACAGATCCCTCTAATAAAACAATCGATGATTTCACAGCAGAAGATTTCCGCAACCTCATGGCCATCAATGCTGTCAGCTACTTCTTAGCATCTAAGGTGATTAAGATCATGAAATTAACAGGAAGCTGCATTATTTAAACTTATGTCCTTAGTCTCTTGAGTTTAGTGGTGGAGCCAGGCAGCTGCCCAGGGGTTTTGGATTGTGCATCTCAGCAGCCCTAGCCAGTGGAAGTAGTGGAAAGGCATTCTCAGAATTGCAGCCTAACAATCTGACCCAGCTGAGAATGATCATCAAGCAAAATGAGCTAGAGCTGCCATCATTCCTGTATGTGAGCAACATGGAAATTGTAGTCCAGCACAAAGACCAGAGGCCTGAGGAATACTGATAGCACTATGTAACAATTTTTTTTGTTCCTGGGTTATAAATGTATTATTTATTTATTTATCTACAATATTTTTATTCCACCCTTTTCACCCCGCAGGGCACTCAGGGCAGATTACAATGTACATATACATGGCAAACATTCAGTGCCATAGACATACAACATATATAGACAGACACACAGAGGCTGTTTAACATTCCAGCTTCATGAGGGTATTCTGACCAGCAGGGGAGCTGTTGCTTCACCATCTATTTGTGACACTGATGGAGTACTTCCTCATTCTTTGCATTCTTGATGGAGATTTTATGGTGATGTAAATTAGTTAAATTAGCCTCCCTGCATAAGCTGTACCTATACTTCCTATTTGACAGATGCAACTGTCTTTTGGGCTGCAAAGGTCGACAGCAAGCTACACAATTGGTCCAAAGCTCTCTGACCCAGGCTGGCTTCAAACACATGACCTTTCGGTCAGTCTCAACCAGTTCAACATTGTGTTGCTATGAGTTTTTTGGGCTGTATGGCCATGTTCCAGTAGCATTCTCTCCTGATGTTTTACCTACATCTGTGGCAGGCATCCTCAGAGGTTTGTTCAGAGGTCTGGAAATGAGGCAAGTGGGGTGTATTTATATCTCCACAGATTTCTCGCATTTCTTCTATTTGCAGTATGCTCTGCCTTACCTCCGAAAAACAAAAGGGAACATCGTAAACATTTCCAGCCTTAGCCATGTTATTGGAAGCAAGCAGTCAGTAACCTATGGTGCAACCAAGGTAGGCTGGGGAAATATGACTTGAAGTTAGGTGTAACCCCCTCCCCCCCACACACACACATTGTTCTAATGCACTGGTTCTCAACCTTCCTAATACTGTGACCACTTAATACAGCTCCTCATGTTGTGGTGACCCCCAACCACAACATTATTTTCGTTGCTACTTCATAACTGTAATTTTGCTACTGTTATGAATTGTAATGTAAATATCTGATATGCAGGATGTATTTTCATTCACTGGACCAAATTTGGCATAAATACCCGATACACCCAAATTTGAATATGGATGGGCTGGTGTGGGTGGGGTGATTTTGTCATTTGGGAATTGTAGTTGCTGGGATTTATAGTTCACCTACCATCAAAGAACATTCTGAATTCCACCAATGATGAAATTGAACCAATCTTGGCACACAGAACTCCCATGGCCAACAGAAGATACTGGGAGGTTCTAGTGGGCATTGACCTTGAGTTTGGAAGTTGTAGCTCACCTACATCCAGAGAGCACTGTGGACTCAAACAATGATGGATCTAGACCAAACTTGGCACAAATACTCAATATACCCAAATGTGAACACTGGTGGAGTTTGGGGAAAATAGACCTTGACATTTGGGAGGTGTAGTTGCTGGGATTTATAGTTCACCTACAATCCAAGAGCATTCTGAACCCCACCAATGATAAAATTGGGCCAAACTTCTGACACAGAACCCCCAAGAACAACAGAAAATACTGTGTTTTCTGATGGTCTTTGGCAACCTCTCAGATACCTTTTCACAACTCCTGCAGGGGTTCCGACTCCCAGGTGAGGGTTGCCAGCATTTCAAGCTTCTGCTCCACTCACTTTAAGCAGCAAGAAGTGAGGCTTGTCTCCAAGCTACTGTTCAAAGCTACAAGAACATGCTATTAGGCAAACTTTGGCCCCCCAGGTGTTCTGGATTTCAATTCCCACAATTCCTGGGAGTTGCAGTCCAAACATCTGGAGGGCCAAAATTTGCCCATGCCTGTGGTATTGTTATTGTTTCTTTCTAGTCAAATGCTACCCAGTGGTAACTAAAATTACATTTGGAAGCTGCAACTGTTGCCCCTTGTGCTACATTTGGAACAATTTAGGACCTTCCACAAAACCATATAACCCAGAATATCAAGGCAGATAATCCAGAATATCTGCTTTGAACTGGATTATTTAAGTCCACGTTGCCATATAATTCAGTTAATTGTGGATTTTATACAGCTGTGTGGAAGGGGTTTGAGAGATGAGGAAAGCAGGGTTTTTCTGTAGCAACTCCATCCTTATTTTAAAGACCCCAATTTTCTTGACTCCCTTCTTGATTATATTTATTCAAACCATTTTGACTGAGATGTAGACCTTTCTTTTGCACTGTTATTTTGATTGATCTGCCTGTTTTAAAATGTTTTATGTATGTTGCTATCAGCTGTATGTTATATTTTGTTGTTTCAATGTTTGGCCTGTTGGACTGCTTCATATAAAGTTCTGCCTCTAAAGGCCATATAGAAACATATACGTATCATAAAATAAATCATTCTACTTGTAGGGTGCGGTTAGTGCAATGACAAAAGCTCTGGCCATTGATGAGAGCAAGAATTGTGTTCGAGTCAACAGGTAAGACTATTGTTAAAAGGGAGCTATCAACAATACCGGGCTTCGGGATACTGGGATCAATGATATTTTAGAACTGAAACAAGTGCGACTTTATTCTTTTCATTGAAACATGCTAGGATAATGTCAATTGGCCCTAAACATTGGTCTTCCACATGTTTTGACCATCTGCTCCCAATGTCCCTCCTCCCTACTGTCCACACTAGCTAGTTCTTTACTGGATGTGATGGACGTTTGCCCAATACCCTTTCCTATTGGCCACATTATAATTCAAACTATCTGAAGTGCCAAATTCTGGAGTGCCAAACAACCCTAGCTATTCTCATTTTGGCAGCAAATTAAAGTATTTCAGGAAACATGCCTGGAATTCCAACATATCTGAATGCTGGGGGATTTTTAAAAAGCATTTAAAAATAAGCAGCAACAACAATAGCAGAGCAGAAGCTGCTGAGCATGGAAGGAGAGTGAATGAGGCCAAGCAATTAAAGGAGCGGAGTCAGGTTTTAAAAGTTACAAAAAGGGAACTTTTTGTGGGAAGAACTACATTTCTAAACATGTAACCTGGAGATGTTGGAAATTACAACCTTCTTCAAGCCTCCTCTAGTACTGGTAATTTGTTTATCTATAATACTGTTGCTTACTTATTGTATGTATGTTCTGATATGCTTACTATTTACTTACTATTTTTGATGCCTCCTTTGAACTTGTCTTCTCTCCTTTAAAAATATCCAAACAATTTGAATTCTAGCATTTCACCTAGCTGTATCTGGACTCCAGCATGGGCAAGGGAGGCAAGCGAAACACCCGATCCAGAGGCAACAATCCAGAAAGGAAAAGATTTTCAGGCAAGTGCATGATGGGCCTGGGGCCACTGGATAGAGTGGATTCTAGTTCATACAAGGAATTGTAAGTACAACACTCTGTAAAAATACCACTAAAATTCAGCATGCATGAGGAAAACCCAGATTCTGCATCTTCTACCTGATTTGCAGTTTCACAATTGTACCTATTTTAGCTGTTATTTGAAAAACAGTTGGTCTTTTATATTTGCAGGTTTAACTTTTGTGTATTTAATTATTCACAGACTGGATTAACATGATCTGTTTGGTTCTCCAGTGTGAATTCATGACCAAATTCTGAAGAAAATTGATAAGGGTTGTGCTGGAGTACCCCAAAATTCCTAAGGTGGTTTAATAGTATTTTTTTAATTTGGGGCTTTTCCAGTTTTGCAGGGGTCCTGTATCCTAATTCTAGAAAAGGTGGAGGTTTGACTGTGGATGTTTATTCTATTTTCACTGGAAGAGCAAATGTAGTATGGATGGCATATGAATTCCGAACAATAAGTATTATTTGGAACATGCTTTTCTAATTACTGAGACCTCATAAGTTTCTCTTATAGGCTTAAGGATCGGAAACTTGTGGGGTGTTATTTGTTGTGAATCAAGGCAACAACTCTTTGAGGAAGAAAAAAAAGGATTTGTGTATGTGTTTGTGTCTGTGTACCCATGAGATTATCCTGAAGCACTAATTTTGCACCACCCTCTTTGTTCTGTATTATTTCCATAGCTTATGGGACGGATGGGGACCCCTGCGGAGATTGCAAAGGCTGCCCTGTTCCTTGCCGCCGATGCCACATTCTGCACAGGATGTGACCTTGTGGCCAGTGGTGGAGCTGAGCTTGGCTTTGCCCATAAGAGCCCATTTACTCCTGGATGTGACTCTATAAACTAGTGGAGTCGACCAGAAAGGGAGGGTTGCATTACCTTCAAGACAGAATGCCAATTTTCATGCTTTTCATCCAGGTAGAGGGCTACCTCAAAAGGTAGTTGTATCCACTATCCATGTATTGTAACCCATACAAAGAAGTTTGCTGGAAGATTCATGCCTATTTCTATATGGCTATATCTCCCAACACCCAGCAGCTAATTCATCCTATGTGAAGAAAACACTGGAAATTGCAATCCAGCAACATCTGGAGGGCCACATGATTCCCATGTAACACTTCAGAGGCATAATAATTTCATATATGCTACAAGGATTAAGAAGGTGCTTTGCCCCAGAGCTCCTTTCCTGTTTTTGAAAGCAGAACTGCAGCAGGTACAGCTTTTTAAATCTGTGCATAACCATAACTTAAAAGCCTGTGGTCTTCTAGAGTTGTGATTTCTTGCATTTAGACCTCCAGGTGTTTTGGTGCCCTATTCCAACCACACTTTGTTTCTTCAACATAGACTCACCCTCTTAATGTTTCACAAAAAAGTTAAAACCTGGCTATATGAGCAGGCTTTTCCCAAACACAGTGTAGCTATTAAACTGATCACGGAACGGCTGGACAACGTGACTGGATAATGACTGGTAATGAAATGCGGAGGACTTATGGTTTTTATTATGATTATTGATGTTAATTGTAATGAATCTTTTATCCATGTTAAATGTTTTTAATGTTTATCTTTGTACTGCTGTGGGCATCGAATTGTGCCGCTTTGTAAACCACCATGAGTCGCCCTTGGGCTGAGAATGGCGGTATAGAAGCATAGTAACCAAATAAATAAATAAATAGACTGTGCCAAGGAATAGCTCCCTTCCCATATCATTTCCAGATGGGAACTCAGATATGGGATTTAGCAAATTGCCCCCCAAATCTGGGCTGTAAAATCCACTTCCAAAAGACCTGACTCCCAGATTTTTTTTAAAAAAGCCAGGAGACTCCAGAGTGATGCAAACTAGATGAACTATCCCTGCTGGAACAGATGCCTGCATGGGAAAGGAAAATGCTGCTTAATATTGAGGACATAGGGAAAGTATGAGGAAGGTTCAATCGCTAGATGAATCCTTGTTCCCACCCAAGGAAATGAGTGTTAAAATTTCTCCTTGATGTTGTAACACTAAAAACAAATATATCTTTTCATATGTAAACAATTCCAATGTGTATACTCAATAAACATTTAATGTTGCACATCTCAGAGAGTAGTTGTTTTATTTCAGTACCCCGTTTTGTTTGTTTGTGTTTTCTTTTGCCCTTCTGGACCCCAATTATACCTTGTATTGTAAAGAGACTTCCATCTAAATTGCATGGGAAGAAAAGAGCAGATGTAAAGCTTAATTCTTATCTTTTGAATTTGCATTTAAAAGAATTCATAGTGACATATAATAATAATAATAATGATAATAATAATAATAATAATAATAATACAACAAACTTTATTTATATACCTCCACCATCTCCCCAAAGGGGACTCAGTGTGGCTAACATGAGGCCAAGCCTGAAAATACAATACAGCAAAATAAAATACAAAACAACGGAAAAACATATCATAATAAAATACATAAAGTAACAAGGTAAAATAAACAGTGCAAAATAACATAATGAAAAGTTGAACACAATGGGCAGGCCAAATGCACAAGACAAAATGATAAAGCCCTGGAGGAGATAGAAGTGGAAAAAGTGTATTTGTGAGGGAGGAGCCTAAAAAGGATGAACAGTGGAGTTAGGCCTTCATTAAGGATGGGGAAAGTGCATCATGAGTTGGAACAGACAGAAATGGGATATATGGTCACTCTCCAAAGGCATATGCTATTCTTTTCCTATATGCTATTCTGTTGACTACTTTTGCTACTTTGGCAGCCACCTCTCCACAAAAAATTGACATTGATGCAAAAATACAACGCCTTCTGAACTCTGTGAGTACAGCCTTTTTTCAAATGAAGATGAGAGTGTACGAAGATAGAGACATCCGTAGAGGTACCAAAATGCTTTTCAATAAAGCTATTGTCCTTCCAATTGCAAAGCATGTATAATCTACAAACATCACTCTCGACTTCTGGAACTATTCCGACAGCATTACCTCCCAAAATCCTGCAAATCTCCTGGGAGGACAGGCCGACAAACACCAGCATTCTGGAAGAAACAAAGACCATCGGCACTGAAGGATGGTTTTCCACCATCAACCTCACTGGACTGGCCATGTTGTCCGAATGAGCGACCACCATCTCCGAAAGCAGTTACGTTTTTTCCCAAAGTAAGAATGGAAAATGGAATGTAGGTAGGCAACAAAAATATTTAAAGATGGGCTTAAAGCTAACAAAAAGTGGTATAAACACCAACAACTGGCAAACCCTGGCACTTGAGCATTCTAACTAGAGGTTGGATGTTGAGGAGGCATGAACAGAGGGCAAAAGAAAAGTGGAATACCGGTAGATAACAAATGAGATTTTAAAATGGGTAAAACTAACTTTAAAATGTGGTATAAACACTGAGAACTGAGAAGCCATGACACTTGAAAAGTCTAATTGGAGGTGAACTATTACCAATGGTGCTGTGGATATTGAGGAAGCACGAATAGAGGGTGAAAGAGAAAAACATGCTGAGAGGAAGGCACGTCAAGCAAGCCTTTGTCATGACTACCTTCCACCTGGAAACATTAGCCCGCATTGTGACAGGCCCACACAAATCCAGAATAGGTCTCCACAGTCACTTATGAACCCATCACCAAGACTCTACCATTGGAAAACAATCATTCTTGGCCACAAGGGATTGCCTGACATCTTAGACCCGTGGTTCTCAACCTGTGGGTCCCCAGATGTTTTGGCCTTCAACTCCCAGAAATTCTAACAGTTGGTAAAGTGGCTGGGATTTATGGGAGTTGTAAGCCGAAACACCTGGGGACCCACAGGTTGAGAACCAGCTTTTCACTTTCTTTCAAGTTTATCACATGTAGAAAAATGCTTCATGCCTTGACAACCCCAACATATATCTGTAGAGAGCTTATTTGGAAAAAAAAAAAGATCACCTGAACATCATATTATTGTATGTACGTTCTCTTTGAAATCACTGTAAGATAAATTTTATGTCTATAATCCAGATTTTGCCCATATACCCATTTGAATACCATATCCCCAATCTGAGGCATACCTTCTCATACACTTTTAGAGGTTTGTTTTTCTAAATTTTAACCAGTAGATTTCTGCTTCTGAGGCTGAGGTAAAATGCTGTTTTTTGTATTTTCAGTGGGAATTGTATAAAACTGCTTATTCAGTTGATTTAATTTTGGTTTTGCTGACTGGACAAGTATGAGCTATGATGTGGTTGTTGTGTAGCTTCAAGTGGCTTTCTCAGGCTGTTGTGTATACAAGATGTAAATGAAAATACATTAATTTCTTGCTTAGACCTGAAATATCACCAAGATATCTCATTCTGTACATGCAGAAATATCCAATATCTGAAAAAACCCAAAGCACATTCCAGATAAGGGATGCTCAACCCCTCAGGGCATCTTGAGGGGTGTGCACGCGCAGTGGGGGAAATCACATGGTGTTGTGTGTATTTAAAAGACCAGCTGGATGTGGGGTCATCAGGCAGAATTTTAAGAGGAGCTGTGATGGCAACTGGGCTGCGGTATCCGGGGAAGGTGGTCATAGTAACGGGGGGCACCCGGGGCATCGGTGAAGCGATCGTCACAGAATTTGGTGAGTTGAGAGAGAAGACAAACTGATGGTATTATTTAAAATCATATATCATAAGTAGAGTTTATTTTAAAAAATCAACAAGATTAAAAGTGCAATCACACTGCAGATTAAATTCAGTTTGTCAGCACTTTACCTACCATGGCTCCATGCTATATAATCCTGGAATTTCTAGACTGGTAAGGCACCAGTTCTCTTTGGCAGAGAAAGCCACTGTAAAACCACAAAGCCTAGAATTCTGTAGCATTGAGCTATGAAAATGGTGTCGAAGTACATTAATTCTACAGTGTAGATGCACTCTGTATAATCAATAATAAAGAGGGAGATGCGGTAGATAACCTATAATTGCAATCTGGCAAGTGGGAAGACATATACTGTATTTCTTTAATTGTAAGATGCCACTTATTGTAAGACACACCCTAATTTCAGTACCATCACCAGCAGCAACAAAAATAGATAGGAAACACTTGTAATTATATTTTTAGATATGTTTATATATGAAATATGCATCTCAGAACTGAAGAAATGCAGTATATATTACTGTATATATAGCCTATATAGTATATAGGGTATGAGGATGGAATGTAAGAGGGCAATGTGCATTTGTGTGATGACAAGGTATTTCCCCTACAGTATAACTCCTCTGGCCTGGTATTAAATTGCTGTGGTTAGATGGGTTGGAAGTTATTCATTTATACAATATTTTCCTTTAAATGTTAAACATTTGTCAGCAAACAAATAAGTATTTATTCAACACCGGCAGGGGTGGGAAATGCTGGGCGGTGAAATTTAACAGCATGCCAATGACTCCCAACCCATCCTCCCTGAACCTGCTGTTCTGAAGATGTGTTGGTCAGCATTTCCAATCATTCCCTTCCAGGATGATGTCGGTGTAAGTTCTAGTTTAACCCATTTAGGCATCATGTTGGAGTTGGATAGTATATAGACAGCATGAAATACAGGTTAAATATCCCATATCCAACATGCTTCGGACCAGAAGTATTTTGGACATTTCCATAGAATACTTGTATTTGATGATGATGATGATGATGATGATGCTACATTTTATTTGTTATCTGCCTCTCCTCCTGGCTTGAGGTAGGATACAGCACAGCCAAAAATATACTGTATATATCAAAACACACAATTATAAACTAGACACATAATGAGATATTTTGGATTTGGCACCCAAGTCCAAAAATAAAATTCATTTTTGTCTCATATACACCTTATATACATAGCCTAGAAGTCTTTTGTATGATATTTTAAACAATTTTGTGTATGAAATGTGTACATTGAAACATCAGACAGCAAAAGTATCAGTGTCTCAGACATCTATGTGGACAGTTTTGGTTTCTAATTGAATATTTAGTATAATCCATTTTTTTTCTGTTTTTAATCCATTAAACAGAGTTGTTAGATTTTGTCTGGCATTCATTTACCCTTCATCTTTTTCTTCCCAGTCCACCAAGGAGCCAAAGTGGTTTTCTGTGCCCCAGAATGTGAAGGTAAGCTCTCCCCTCCCCAATACCAAATCATTATGAGAGAGTCCATTCATTATCCAATGTTTCTATATTAATTTCATTAAACTACAGGCAGAGGCGGCCCTAGGTAATTTTCAATGGTAAGCAAACAGTATTTTGGCACCCCCCCCCCCCAAACCAATCACTGATATATATTTTCTGTTCGTCATGGGAGTTCTGTGTACCATATTTGGTTCAATTCCATCATTGGTGGAGTTCAGAATGCTCTTTGATTGTAGGTGAACTATACATCCCAGTAACTACAACTCGCATATGTCAAGATCTATTTTCCCCCAAGAGTGCCTCAAGAGTGCCCCTGGGCAAAATCAACTATACTGCAAATGCTTACTTTGCGTAATGGGTTGAACCGCCCCTGACTATAGGGAATATGAGCATGGGGGTGTAACCATACTTTCTCTGAAGGATTACATTAAATGAGTATGTAAATCAGAGACAAGGAATGGTCCCTAATTTACATGTCTGGAAATCATTTCCCCATTTCTGGATTGATTCTTATCATTGGTTGTGAATGGGAAGGCTGATAGGATCTTCCCATTCACCAATTCAGATATAAACTGATGAAAGTTATAATCAATGATAGTAAAATGGTGTCCCTTATGTAAAATGGTAAAATCAAGGTTTATTTTTGGGATTTTTTGGGAGGAGTAATAGAATCATAGAATCAAAGAGTTGGAAGAGACCTCATGGGCCATCCAGTCCAACCTCCTGCCAAGAAGCAGGAATATTGCATTCAAATCACCCCTGACAGATGGCCATCCAGCCTATGTTTAAAAGCTTCCAAAGAAGGAGCCTCCATTTTTAAACTGTAAATGGTTGTTTCTGTGGATACAAAGGATTGACTGTCTTTGCTGAATTTGGTAGCTGTATCTCAAATGCCCTATCATACAGAAATGACAAATTAATTCCCAGCATATGTACTCACTGCATCCATATCTGGTCCTGCGGATTATAAATTTGAGGTGGGATTGAAACTAAAATCATACCATGTCTACTATGATAATACAGTTCGCCTCCACATTTGCAGAGTTAGCTGTTGTGCATTTGATTATTTATACATTTGATGAATACAATGTCTCCAGTTCCTCAATTGCAACTGTTTGGCAGATTTCTAGGGAGGTGTTCTTTGGTCAAAATAGTAGGGCTTTTTAATTTGCAGTTTCCCCAGTTTTGCAGATGTTTGGAGACCCATTGAATCAATGATTAAATGGTAAGTCAAGTGAGACTTACACTTTCATCAGCAGGAGCTGGAATTGCTCTCCAAACTTCTCACAAACTCTGTTTGCGACTGTCTTTGCAGAAGAACAGGGGAAGGCGATTGTGCAGAAACTGGAGTACTGTGGGGCCCCTGGGGAAGCTTACTTTCAGATCTGTGATGTTCGCTGTGAAAGAGCTATTCAGGTAGGTGGGAGCTCTGCAAGGAAAAGTGCCGGTTTAATGCTATGTTTAATTTTTATTTATTTATTTGATAAATGTATATCCCGCCTTTCTCTGAGCACAGATCCAAGGTGGTTGAAACAGAACAGAAACATACAATACAAAAGTGAAATCAACCCATTAAAACATAAATATTTGAAACAGAAAACACAGTGTAAACCATGTGAACATTAAAACCAAGATAAAAACCCAGAGATTCCACTATCTCTTGCTTGGCTTTATTAAATGCTTTCTTGAAAGGAACACCTTCAAACTCTTCCGGAATGCCATTAAAGAAGGGGCCAATCTTAATGCTTCAGGCAGTGTGTTTCATAGTGTAATGGCCACCCCCGAAAATGAGCCTTCCCTGGTCCTCTTAAAATGCATGCCAGAAGGTACCTGGGTCCATACCAAGATCTGCCAGCTGGACGTTAGTTGTCTGCCAGGTTTCTATGAGGGGACATGGTGTCTCAAGTAGCCTGGACCGAAGCCGTGTAGGACTTCATAGGTTAAGACCATCACCTTGAATTGGGCCTGGAAACAAACTGGCAACCAGTGGAGCTATCTCAGTAGAGGGGTGGTATGTTCTCTGAGAGTAGCTCCTAGTAGAAGTCTGGCTGCCGTCCTCTGTTTGATTTGGTGTTTCTGAACACTTTTCAAGGGCAGACCCTTGAAAGCGCATTACAGTAGTCCAAACGGGATGTCATCAGTGCATGTACCATGGTACCCATGTTTGAGTTCTTCAGGAATGGTCGCAGTTGGTGCACAAGCTATAACTGCAAAGTCAGCCCTAGTCACCACTGTCACCTGGGCTTCAAGATTTAAGGCAGAGTCCATAATCGCCCCCAGACTGCGGACCTGAGATTTCAGGTGGAGTGTAACCCCATCCAGCTCAAGTTGGTACCTTATTCCTGGATCAGTAGTACTTCCATCTTATCCAGATTGAGTTTCAACTTGTTTATCCTTATCCACTCCATTGCCACCTCCAGGCAACAGTTAAGGGCGCATTCCTTGGCATCAGGTGAAAAGGAGTAGTAGAGTTGAGCATCATCTGCGTACAGATGATACCAAACTCTGAAACTTCAGTTGATCTCTCCCAGTGGTTTAATGTAGATGTTAAACAACATCAGTGATAAAGATGATCCCTCCAGGAGCCCACAGTCCAGGGGCCATGGAGTCGACCAGGACTCCCCCAGAACCACCTTCTGGGTACAGTCTGGGAGAAAGACTGTAACCACTGTAGAACAGTGCCTCCCAGTCCCATCTCTGCAAGTTGCACCAGAAGGATACTATAGTTGAAAGTCATCGCTGAGAGGTCCAGAAGAACACTCCCTTTGTCCAGCTCTCCACAAAGATCATCCACCAAGATGACCAAAGCCGTCTTTGTCCCATATCCCAGCCTGAAGCCAGTTGAAATGGATCTAGATCAGTGGTTCTCAACCTGGGGTCCCCAGATGTTTTTGGCCTACAACTCCCAGAAATCCCAGCTAGTTTACCACCTGTTAGGATTTCTGGGAGTTGTAGGCCAAAAACATCTGGGGACCCCAGGTTGAGAACCACTGATCTAGATAATCAAGCTCATCCAGGAAGGAGTTGTCTGCCCATCACCCACTCCAAGATTTTACTAATGAATGGCAAATTTGACACAGGCCTGTAGTTGTCAAGCATGGTAGGATTAAGGGATTGGTTTTTTTCAGCAGTGGTCTCACCACAGCTTCTTTCAGTGCTGTGGGGACCTTGCCTTGGTGGATCAAGGCATTAATTAACTCCCCTATTCAAAGAATGCTTCCCTTGGCTTGTTTTATTAGCCAAGAGGGACAGGGATCAAGAATGCAGGAGGTGGCTCTAACTTCTCCCAGGATTCTGTCGGTATCCTCGAGTAAGTCAAGGTGAAAAGAATCCATAAGAACATGACCAGGTGGTGCCGTGGCTACATCCACTGGAGCTGTAACAAAAGTAACATCCAAATCAGCACGAATCTGACTAATCTTGGAGGCAAAATGGTGGGCAAAGTCCTCACAGTGTGCAGTGAAGGCAATCTTGGTCAGGGGAATATCACTCCGATAGACCACCATGACCCCCGTCTCTATCCCCCTTGTCTTGCCTGCTATTGGGCCACAGAGCTCAGAGGACAGAGCTGGGAGAAATGTACTCCCCAACTCTCATCCAACCATGTGATGCATGCCAGATTGGTCTGGCCACCCATGATCAGATTCTGAATGGACGCAGTTTTTCCATTAACCAATCTGGCATTCACCAGCAGCAAGCAGAGGTATAGAAGTTGGCTATCAGGGGAATCCAGGGTATTTGAGAGTGTATCTAGGGGGCATGCTATGTGCTTTTGGGTTGTTTTCCACTTATGCCAACCCTAAAGTGAAGCTATCACAGGACTTTCTGGGGCTGAGAATGTGTGATTCACCCCAGATCACCCAATCGGTTTCCTTGACCAGGGAGAAATTGAACCTGGTCTCCAGAATCATCGTCCAGCGCCATTACACTATGCTTCTTTAGTGGCTATGAAACCATTTTTCCCTTGGCACAAATCCATTCTTAAAGCCTGCGCTTCAAAATGTAGTTCTTTGGATGATAACTCCCAGAATCCTCCAGTGGCTGTGGTGTGTGATGGTTTTTGGAAGATAAAGTCTTTAAAAGTACGGTTTCCTAGCTTCGCTTAAAATTTGTTCTGGGGTTGTTAATTGTGGGAATGATTACTGTCAAAACCCAATTTAGTTGTAGTGCTTTCCCAACTACATTGTTTCCACATTAGATGAAGGTTACACCCTACATCTTTCCTGGTTGTACCTACCCTGACTGGGGTGGGATGAGGGTGGGAGTGTGCATTGTGGAAAGCTGTCCTGACAGCTTTCACATGTAAATATCTAGGAATTGTGTTTCATTTTTTGCCAACCGTCTACCCTGCTTCATCTCTCCCCTTTTGCTAACCTTGTCCCTTTCCACAGAATCTGGTTGCTGTGACCATTGAACTTTATGGATGCCTTGACTGCCTGGTGAATAATGTTGGAGTCCGTAAGTCATTTCCAAGACACTGGTGGGGAAAGGCATGATGTTGGAAGAACTGGTGTCTCTTGGGTTTTTTGGGGCCTTAGGGTTTTTAAAGATATGTTAAAGGCCAACTCAAGGGGCTGTGAATATAATGCAACATTGAGACTTTGATGTTCACTGACAGAGAAGGCCATAATGAGGTATACCATATTTCATTGCATAATAGTTATACCCCAATTTTTGGGGTGGCAAATTGCTATTTTTTTGTGTTCCTTCATAATCAATGCATAGAGCCATTTCGGGGTAATTCCCTTCTTTCTTAATCTGAAATCAAGGCAACCATCCAAGCAAGATATGCCAGACAGGCCCATAGTTGCCATCACTCATATAGATGAGGAAGATGGGAATTGTAGTCCAGCACTTCACAAAGCCTCCAGGCCTTAGGAAGACTGATAGTCGTTGTGCAAAAGTTCAGATGTTTCCCGTATGTACCTAGAAATGCAGTGGGATGGACCTAGGCTTTTTGCAGTTACTTTGAGTGGCAGATAGTGCAGAATGAATAATTGTAGGTTACATACCTGTGACCATCTTTCTTCGAGTGGTGCTCTGCGAATTCACACTTGTGGAGAGACTGCGCCTGCGCGGGCTCCAACGGAAACTTCTACTTTTAAAACTTTTCAAGTTTTGGCGGTAACCCCGCCCAGCCCCGGCAGGGGATAAAAGGGCGCCCCGCGCACACCGATCCAATTCCTACGCCGCCACGGTAGCAAGAAATTGGAGGTTTGCTTAGAGGGGAGGCTGGGCGGGTTAGTGTGAATTCGCAGAGCACCACTCGAAGAAAGATGGTCACAGGTATGTAACTTACCATTTTTCTTCGTGGTCTCTGCGAATGCACACTTGTGGAGACTAGCAAGCTCAGGTCCCGGAGGCGGGTAGAAGGCAATTCGCAGAGCACCACTCGAAGAAAGATGGTCACATGTATGTAACCTACCATTTTTCTTCGTGGTCTCTGCGAATGCACACTTGTGGAGACTAGCAAGCTCAGGTCCCGGAGGCGGGAGGAAGGCAAACCGACTATTCAAATCAAGGGCCAAACAATTTTATTAAGTGCAAAAAACAGTTACCAACCAGAGATTGTAATCACTTCCGAAGAAGGGCATAGTGCATAACAAGAGGTTGCAATCACTTCCAAAGAAGGGCACAGTGCATAAACTTATGGGAGTACGTGATCCTCCCGGCCACGTGACGGTGACCAACAATTGAATAAACTTATGACCCTTGAAATAAACCACATGGTGATTATCGAATACACTCATTATAATGAGGGCACATTAAGCAGTAATACAAAAAACAGTTGCTAACAAGTGCACAACACATTTGCAAGGCAAAGCCAGCGATAAAGACACAGAAAAAACCCGTGATGGGCCCATCAGGCCATAGTGCAGTGGTTGCCTGCACCTCAGGCAGTAAGGCATCAAGTGTAAAGGTGCAATTATATTCACTGGTAACGAGATTCAAGTAATAACATGGTAATCACATTCACAGTAACACACGGTATCGAAAGAACACTCGGTACCGATAACGCCCTCTGGAAAAATCAAGGCGGGCATGAGCCCAGAACTGCCCTCCCAAAGGCCATGTCAGGTGTATACCTGGTATTGAGTCTATAGTGCGACACAAATGTCTGAGGATTCTTCCAGATGGCCGCTTTGCAAATAGCGTCCAAGGGAATCCCCTTAAGAAAAGCTGTCGATGCCGCCATGGCCCTGGTCGACCGAGCCCGGACGACCGAGGGGGGTTGTTGTCGAGCCAGTCTGTAACAGAGCTCGATGGTCGAAGTGATCCAGTGCGACAAGCGTTGCGCCGTGATCGGCAGGCCCACCTTATCGAGGGCGTATGCAACAAAAAGTCTCTGTGATCGACGAGACTGAGCAGTCCTGTCCCTATAACACAGTAATGCTCTCCGCACATCGAGCATATGAAGTCTCCTTTCCCTCGGGGTCGAGGGGGACTGACACAACGAGGGAAGAACAATGTCCTCATTGACATGGAAGGGGGACACGACCTTAGGGAGGAATGTCACATCTGTGCGGAGAACTGCTCTATCCTCGTGGACAACAAAATAGGGTTCGTCCACCCGCAATGCTGCCAGCTCCGACGGCCGACGGGCTGAGGTGATGGCGACCAGGAAGGCCACCTTCCATGACAACAACCGAAGTTCAATCGAAGACAAAGGTTCGAAAGGCGGTTGCGTGAGCCGAGCCAGCACGAGGTCGAGGTCCCAACCCGGAGTCGGGGAACGGACCGGGGGGTGCAAGTTGTTGAAACCTCGCAGGAAAGATCTCACGGAGCTGTCTCTAAACAGGGAAGCTTCTCCCGTCCGTTGAAGCTGCCACGATATGGCCGCCAAGTGGGACTTGAGCGAAGATAGCGACAAGCCTCGCTCGGTAAGGTGCAGCAAGAACGAGAGAATTGCCGGTACCGACGGTCGATGATCGTCTAGGCCCTTCTCAGAGAGGAAGGCCTGGAAGCGGCTAAGGCACGCTGAGTAGCACTTCTTGGTTGCTGGCTTGTGAGCTGCCTCTAAGATCGGGAGAACCCCTGGACACAGGGATCTCAACACCGGATCCTCCACGCCGAAAGATGCAGAGAAGCGAGGTCGGGGTGGAGAAGCTGACCGTCTTCCCGGGAGAGCAGGTCCTGCCGAAGTGGAAGGCGTTTCATCCGTCCCTCGGACAGTTGGAGTAGGACCGAGAACCACGGTTGTCGTGGCCATTCCGGCGCTATCAAGATGCAGTCTGTTTGCGCCGACTGGATCCTCTCGATCACCCTCGGGATGAGCGGGAATGGCGGGAAGAGGTAGAGCAGATGCTTCGACCAGTCCAGCAGGAACGCGTCTCCGAGACACCCCGGTACCGTGTTCGGAGCAAGTCGAGCACCGAACTGAGGCAGCTGAGCGTTTCGCGGCGACGCGAAGAGGTCTGCGGCTGGGAGGCCCCATTCCCTGAAGATCTCCGCCAGGACATTGGGGTTCAGCCTCCACTCGTGGGATGTCGCCCTGGTCCTGCTGAGTACGTCGGCCTCGACGTTGGCTTCGCCCGGGAGGTGCAAGGCTGTTATCGACACCGACCTGGCTACACACCAGTCCCAGAGCTCCAGTGATAGCTTGAGGAGTTTTCTCGAGCCCGTTCCTCCCTGCTTGTTCACGTAGAACATTGCCACCATGTTGTCCGTGAGGATCTGGACAGACTTTCCCGCGACCAGGAGGGCAAAGGCTCTCAGGGCCTTGAAGATTGCCAGCAGTTCCAAGTAGTTGATGTGGGACTGCCTCTCCTGAGGAGACCAGAGGTCGTGCACCGAGAGTTCTCCTGTATGGCATCCCCATGCGAACATCGAGGCGTCCGTCGTGATCGTGACGGTCGGGGGTTCTGGATGAAAGGGAATGCCCTTGCAGACATGTTGGCGTCCCATCCACCAGGTCAGCGAGTCCTTTACCGACCTCGGCATCAGCAGGCGTTTTGCGGCACTGTCCCGCATGGGGTTGAAGTGGTCCAAGAACCATCTCTGGAGGGGACGGAAGCGGAGTCTTGCTAATGGTGTCACCATCACCGTGGAGGCCATGTGTCCGAGGAGGACTTGTACTTGCTTCGCCGAGACCACTCGGGAGCGACGCACCTTTAATGTTTCGGCTCGAAGAGCCCTGAATCTCTCCTCTGGAAGGAAGACTGTCTGGGAGAGAGAATCGAACATGGCGCCGATGAACTTTATGCAAGTGGTGGGCTCGAGGTGGGATTTTTCCTCGTTCAACTGGAGGCCCAGGTCCTTGAGGAGGGAAAGTGTCCTTGCCACCTGCGCCCGCAGAAGGTCCGGTGAGCGTGCTGCCAACAACCAGTCATCTAAATAAGGGAAAATCCGGATTTTTTCCCTTCTGAGGGCTGCTGCGACCACCGACATGCATTTCGTGAAGGTCCTCGGTGCCGTCACGAGACCGAAAGGGAGGACGTTGAACACGTACGTCTGTCCCGCTACCCTGAAGGCCAGGAAGCGTCTGTGATGTTTTCTGATGGAAAGATGAAAATAAGCGTCCCGGAGATCGACGGACGCGAAGAAGTCCCCGTATCTGAGGAAGGGGAGAATGGACGATACCGTCACCATCCGAAACTTTCGAGGTTCGATAAAGGAGTTCAAGTCTCTGAGGTCGAGGATGGGGCGAAGGGAGCCATCCGGCTTTGGGACAGTAAAGTATCTGGAGAAGAAGGCTCGATGGTTTTGCGAGTCCGGGAGAGGGGAAATTGCCCCTTTCAGAAGCAGGGTATTGACCTCTGCCAGGATCGCCGAGGATGGCTCGGTATCGACAATCAGCCCTGTTGGTGGGAGCTCTTCGAACTCCAATGCATAGCCTTCGTCGACAATCTTTAAAACCCATGCATCTGAGGTGATATTTTCCCATGCAGGGAGAAAGTTCGTCAGGCGATCTCCGAACGGTGTCGAGCCGGATGGAAGGATGAGGGCGGGTACCATTGGGAGGGACATGGGAGCAACATCGGTAACGGAACTGTAAACGGTATCGTCCGCCAGCGCGTCAAATGCGGCGCCTGGCCTGGTTGCCTCCTGAAGCCTGACGAGAGCGTGAACGCTGCTGCTGGTGCTGCCTTCATTGTTGTTGGGGCTGTTGAGGGTGGGTTTGTTGGGAGGTCTGCAGGGGACGGGCTGGGTGGCGGTACTGTATGGTACGGTACGGGACCGTGTGCCGGCGTTTGTACTGGAACCATCTGGTTCTTTGTGCCTGGTTCTGATTCTCAAACCCGCACTTTGAGGCCAAGGTCTTGAAGTCGTGATTTGACTTCAGTTTGTCGTCCGTCCCGGCGTTGAAGAGTCCCAGGGCATCAAACGGGAGGTCCTCGATCACCTGCCTCGACGATGTAGAGAGGCCAGAGGATCTTAACCAGGCATGTCTCCTGATTGCCACGGCGTGAGCAATCATCTTGCCCGCGGTGTCTCCCGTGTGCTTGGCCATCTGCATCTGGTGATGCGCCAAAGAGTTTGCCTCCTGAGCCAGGGTGTTCATGGCAGCACGATCCTCCTCAGACATCCTCTGGAAGAAGGGCTCAGCTTTTTCCCAGAGGATTTGCTGGTATGCTCCCATGCAAGCTCCGTAGTTGGCCATGCGGGCCAGCAAGAGGGCACCAGAGTAAAGCTTCCTGCCCACTGCATCGAACCTCTTTCCTTCGCGGTCGGATGGCGCCGAGGACTGCCTTCCGAACCCTTGAGCTGCCTTCACGACCACCGAGTTAGGGTCGGGATGGTGTTTTAGCCACTCCAAGCCCTCATCATCAGTTTGATACCAAGATTCAATCTTCTTGGAGGTTGGAGGGATGGAGGAGGGGGTCTTCCAGGAGCCCTGGATCACTTCGAGGAGGTAGGGAAGGAAGGGTAGGAGAGGAGCGGGTGGAGACTCCCTCTGCACCCTTTTAAACACAGGGTCCAGCACTGCTTTGGAAGTCTGTTTGACCTCCAGGCCCAGAGCCTCAGCCATGCGAGCCATTTGATCTGCAAAGGCTCGGACATTGTCTGTAGGAGATGGAGGATCCGCCTCATAGGCGTCGTGGGTAGGTGATCTCTCGATCCCGAGAGACAATACCGATCCCGAGTGTACCGATCCCGGCAACTCGCCATCTTCCTCTTCATCATCAGGAGGCAGGGATTGGGGAGGAGGGGATGAGGAAGCATCCCGGCTTTGAAGCTGCAGCTGGGCCACTGGAGGAGCTTTTGAGGCCGAAGCCTGAATGGCACGGGCCAGCCTCATTGTCTGCCTGCCCCTTTCTGGAGTCTCCAGTACCGGGAGAGGTCTCCTGTCTGGCTGTCACAGTAGTCAGCGCCGTGACCGGCGGGAAAAGCTCCTGTCTGGCTGCCACGTGTCGAGAAGGTGCCTCGATCACCGTGTCCACCGAGATCACCGGGGACGCGGGCTGTTCCGAAGGCTGCTCCGGCAAGGGTTGCGGCTCCTGAGCAGGCTGTGGGGCCGGCTGAGGTTCAGTAGGCTGCGACGGCGATGATCTCGCCGACGAGGTGGCCGAGGAGGCAGTGGTTTGTTTTCGGGAAGAGGAAGAAGACGAGGGTGGAGGCGGCATCGTCTTCTTCCTCTTTGCCGGTGGCTGAGCAGTCTTTGACAGCGATTTGCCCGGGGTGGGCGGAACGGAGGATGAGGTAGAGGCACGCCGAGACTCTTCCTGAGACCGGCGAAAGGCAATGCGAACCGCCGTGGAAGATGGCGGAGTCGCTGAAGTCGACCTCGTGGACCTGATCGATCTCACCGACGCCACCGAGCTGGTCGATGAGTGTCGTATGCGTACGGTCTCGGTAGTGACCGTGCATGGGGCCTTCTGCTTCGTAGGTTTTGGAGCCTTGGAAGCTACCGACGCTGAGGCCTTCGAAGCTGTCGACATAGCTGCTCTCGGCCTCTTCTGCGCGGCCTTCCTCGGCTGTCGGGGTTCGGCCTCTGTCGAGGGACCGACAGATGTTGTTGTCGGAGCTCTCGACGTCGAGGTTGCTGTAGAAGGCCTAGACACCGTGGCCGACGTCGACGCCGATGCCGATGATGCAGGTACCGGGGCCAACGCCTGTTGGTACAGCAGGTACCGAAGTCGATGCGCCCGGTTCTTACGGGACTGCGCCGTCAGTGCCTGACAATGACGACACGAGGAGGTAATATGCGCCTCCCCGAGGCACAGAAGGCAAAGAGCGTGCTTGTCCGAATCAGGGATCTTCTTCGGACATTTCGCGCATCTTTTGAAGCGAGTTGTTGACATAATACAGTCAACAACTCGATGAGAACTCGAAGGAGAATTCAAGAGATGACTATCCAACAATATTATCGAACACTAACAACACTAGAAGTACCGAAGTGAGCCGTGCGGCGGAAAAAAAGCAATTGGATCGGTGTGCGCGGGGCGCCCTTTTATCCCCTGCCGGGGCTGGGCGAGGTTACCGCCAAAACTTGAAAAGTTTTAAAAAGTAGAAGTTTCCGTTGGAGCCCGCGCAGGCGCAGTCTCTCCACAAGTGTGCATTCGCAGAGACCACGAAGAAAAAATTATGTTCTCTACCACACTATTTAGGTTAATGTCTTCCCTGAGATAACTGATAATTGTCAGGCACTGGGAAAGCTATTCTTTGGGGCCACGGTTTGTAGACACTCTCCACAACCAAAGCCATGGGACTGCTCTTCCGTAAAAGCTACTTTTCTGAGCTCTGAAAAACAACACACACTTTATAGACAAATTGTTCCAGGTGTAATAAGGAGCTGTTGTGTGGCATGAAAACTGCTCAGAGAAATCATCTGACAGCAAGGAATAGTGCTACTTGTATTCCGATTAAATCCAAATATATTTCTAAGTGCCTTCAAAAACAGCTTTGGTTAAGAATAGTGTGTCTGTGTCTCTTCTGGATGAATGCCTAGAAGAGCTTTGTTGGGCTCTGCTGCAAGAGGGACCCTGGGGCTGAGTATTGCCATCAGCTTTGCTGCCTGCTCAGCCCTGGGCCTTCAGCCAGAATCTGAATAGCAACTGTCATCCAGAGGACCTTTCATTCTTATTCTTACTTGGGTGATGTCTTCCCCGCCTTCCAGATTACAAAGTGAATACATAATTGAATAATCAAAAACATGATACCCAAAACCTAAGACAGCAGTCTCTCTCTGTCCAATGATAGAGGTGGTTGAGCTATATATGGACTCAGTGTGGACCAGTTTCAAATATCTGTATATTCTTCTTCCATCTTGATTTCACCTACTTTTTTCCATTTGTAGTATGCTTTGTCTTACCTTCGTAAAACAAAAGGGAACATCATAAATATCTCCAGCATTGTCGGCACTTTTGGAGATGTGGAATCCGTAATTCTTGCCGCAACCAAGGTAGGCTGGAGCAATAGAACCTGAATACCCCCCCCCACTCCCCACCCCCACATTGTTTAACATTTCTTACAAGGTCGTGTTAGAAGCCACAAGAACAGTTCAGGTTATTATTGTTCTCTTCTGTTGTCCAATGGTCAGAAAAAATATTTTTGGATACTACAAATGTCAACCCTTTTATTAGATATTGGAAAGTATGGTCTTTCTGTGGTAGCCCCATTCTTATAAGAAAATTAAAATTTCTTGACCGCTTTCTTGATTATGATTAGGAGGCTGATATCTGAAATGTAAGACTTTCTTTTACATTGTGATTTTTATTGATCTGGCTGCTTTAAATGTTTTATGTGGGTTTTAATCAACTGTCTTTGATATTGCCTTGTTTCAATGTTTTGCCTGACGGACTGCTTTGTCTGAGGTTCTGCCTCCAAAGGCCATATAAAAATATTTCAAATATAAGTATAGTAAAACAAATCATTCAACTTATAGGGTGCTGTTACTGCAATGACAAAAGCTCTGGCCATCGATGAGAGCAAATTTTGTGTCCGAGTCAACAGGTAAGACTGTTGTTAATAGAGGGCTACAGTATTAACAATATCAAAAAGGAGCAAGATTCTGGGATCAGTGATCTTTTGGGAACGGAAACAAATAGGGCCTTATTCTTTTCATTGAAATGAATATTTTCATTGGGATAATTTTAGTTGTTGTTGTTGTTCATTCGTTCAGTCGTCTCCGACTCTTCGTGACCTCATGGACCAGCCCACGCCAGAGCTCCCTGTCGGCCGTTACCACCCCCAGCTCCCTCAAGGTCAGTCCAGTCACGTCAAGGATGCCATCCATCCATCTTGCCCTTGGTCGGCCCCTCTTCCTTTTGCCTTCCACTTTCCCCAGCATAATTGTCTTCTCTAGGCTTTCCTGTCTCCTCATGATGTGGCCAAAGTACTTCATCTTTGTCTCTAGTATCTTTCCCTCCAATGAGCAGTCGGGCTTTATTTCCTGGAGGATGGACTGGTTGGATCTTCTCGCAGTCCAAGGCACTCTCAGAACTTTCCTCCAACACCACAGTTCAAAAGCATCGATCTTCCTTCGCTCAGCCTTCCCTAAGGTCCAGCTCTCACATCCGTAGGTGACTACAGGGAATACCATGGCTTTGACTGGGCGGATCTTTGTTGTCAGTCTGATGTCTCTACTCTTCACTATGCCAGTGAGTCCCTTCAAAGCATGGGGGTTCTGTGTGGGAAATTTGGCCCAATTCTATCACTGGTGGGGTTCAGAAGTGAACTATAAATCTCAATGACTAAAACTCTCAATGTCAAGATCTATTTCCCCCAAACTCCACCAGTGTTCATATTTGGGCATATTGAGTATTTGTGCCAAGTTTAGCCCAGATCTAAATCATTGTTTGAGTCCACAGTGCTCTCTGGATGTAGGTGAACTACAACTTCAAAACTCAAGGTCAATGCCCAACAAACTCTTCCAGTATTTTTTGTTGGTCACGGGAGTTTTGTGCACCAAGTTTGGTTCAATTCCATCATTGGTGGAGTTCAAAATACTCTTTGATTGTATGTGAACTACAAATCCCAGCAACTACAACTCCCAAATGACAAAATCAAATTTACACGTATCGTGTATTTGTGCCAAATTTGGTCCAGTGAATGAAAATACATCCTGCATGTCAGATATTCACATGACGATTCATAACAGCAGCAAAATTACAGTTATGAAGTAGAAACACAAATAATTTTATGGCTGGGCATTACCACAACATGAGGAACTGTATTAAGAGGTCGTGGCATTAGGAAGGTTGAGAAACATTGCTTTAAACTAACCTCAGCTGCCTATCTATCTCATTGTTGAGGACTATAAAAGTGTGCAGGATATGGTTGACTTCCAACATTGAAATGTAAATATAAGAATCACAGGTGACATGGAAACACTGGGAAGGGAGGTGTTATACTTCTAGGAATCTTGACACATAGTTCACCATATGGTAATAGATTTGCTTATTGTTCAGTGGTGCTTCCTCCAAACCTGTCTTCCCGCCTTTTTAAAAAAATCTAGCATCTCACCTTCCAATATCTGGACTCCAGCATGGCCAAAGTTTGCAAATGAACAACCAGATCCAGAGGCAGTGATCCAGAAATATAAAGATGCTCAGGCAAGTGCATGATGGGCCCAGGGCTACTGGATAAGGTCGTTTTCTAGTTTATGCAAGGAACTTGTGAGGAGGAGTGAGGATTTGATTATTCACTGATTGGATTAACACGGTTTTTCTAGGGCCTTTAGTGTGAATCTATAGTCAACTTCTGATGGAAATGACATGAGTTGTGCTTGAGGTCCTCAAAATACCTAGAATGGCTTAATAGGGTTTTTTTTAATGCAGCTTTTCCAGTTCTGCAGGATTCTTGTGCCTTAATCCCAACAAAAGTGGAGGTTTGACTGCAGATTTCTTTTTTCCACTGGAACGTCAAATTTCCGAGACCTTATAAACTTGTCTTATAGGTTTTCAGGCCGGAAACTTGGGAGGTGTCATTTTTTTAAATTGAAAGCAATAACTTACAGAGGTGTGTGTGTATCTGTGCTCACTCATGGAGGTATCCTGAAGCATTAATTTTGCACCATCCTCTTTCTTCTCCATTGTGTCCATAGCTTATGGGACGGATGGGGACTCCTGCGGAGATTGCGAAGGCTGCCCTGTTCCTTGCTGCCGATGCCACATTCTGCACAGGATTTGACCTTGTGACCAGCGGTGGAGCTGAGCTTGGCTTTGCACATAAGAGTCAAGTTACTCCTGGATGTGGCTCTAAAAACTAGTGGAGTTGACCAGGATGGGAGGATTGCAGTGGCTACAAGGCAGAATGTCAATCTATCTGATTTCCATCCAGTTAGAGGGCTACCTCACAAGGTAGTTGTATTGTAGCCCATACAGAGAAGTGTGCAGGAAGATTCATACCCCTTTCTAAATGTTCATATAACTCCCAACACCTAGCAGAAAACACTGGAAATTTCAGTCCAGCAATATCTGGAAGGCTACATGATTCCCATGTAATCATAGGGCACTTCAGAGGCATCATAATTTCATATATGCTACAAGGATTAAGGAGGTGTTTTGACTCCAGAGAGATGCAAACTGGATGAACTATCCCTGTTGGAAGAGATGCCTGCATGGGAAAGGGAAATACTGCTTAATATTGGGGACTTAGGGAAAGTGTGAGGAAGGTTCAATCCCTGGATGAATCCTGGTTCCCATCCAAGGAAATGAGTGCTAAAATTTCTCCTTGATATTGTAACACTAAAAACAAATATGTCTTTTTTCATATGTAAACAATTGCAATGTATATACTCAATAAACATTTAATGCTGCACATCTCAAAGACTAGCTGTTTTATTTCAGTGCCCCATCTTGTTTGTTTGTGTTTTCTTTTGCCCTTCTGGACCCCAATTGCACCTACATCTAAATGGCATGGGAAGAAAAAGAGCAGATGTAAGGCTTAATTCTTATCTTTTCAATTTGCATTTAGAAGAACTCAGAGCGACATGTGCTATTCTTTTCCTTCCCACCCACCTCTCCTTTGAACTCCAATCGTATATAGAAAGTTGAGGCTAGGAGAGGAATCATTAGAAGTTCTTGTGTCAGAACATATTTAGTATAAAATATTCACAGTGGAACCTGGGAATCACTCAACCAAGTTAATCAACCTTAAGTCCATCAGCCTCTGTAAGAGATGAATGCTCGACAGTGGTTAAATATTTAGTTCAGGTGCGTTTAAAGCTAGCAGTATGCCCCCAATGGGGAACAGTTTATGCTCATATACCTTTTACTACCTCAGACCTTCTAAAGTGGAAATCACAGTCAGGGAACTATAGAGAAAATCTGAATAAACCAGCTGATTAAAGAAAAGCCATTTTCACAACCCACAATCCTAATTGTTCAGACATATAGGCACTGCTGAGTACCTTTCTAACATCAGAAGAAAGGAATTTAGTCACAGGGACTAGTAGTGGCTGAATGGGAAATCCTCTGCATGGGGCCAATGCAATTCCAGTGGCAGATCCTGTGACCCAAAGAAGGATGGGAGTAGACAGTCATGACAGATATAGACGATACATTCTGAAAGGTCTTAGGCGAGCAATTCCTAAGTGGCAAGACCAAAATAAAGCAAGACTGTTAAAAAAAAAACAGATGAATTTTCCTCTGAATAAATGACAAAGTTAAGGGAAGGAATAAAAACATGATGTAGATCCTGATGCTTGGAGAAATCACAATATTATCAATACATGGTTTGTGCAGAATGCCAACCTGGACATCAGAAAAAAAACCTTCAGAAACAGGAAGCCTGGAGAATGATGAGTAGTGACCATAGCATTCAAAGTGTATAGTACCAAACCAGAAGCAGCACATTTATTTATTTATTTATTTATTTATTTATTTATTTATTTATTTATTTATGACATTCCTACCCCCTCTTTCTCCACCCCGGAGGGAACTCAAGGTGGTTTACACATAAGCAACTATTCAATGCCATTAAAAATAATATATAGTTAAAATGAGCATTTTAAATAGGACTATAAAATACATAAAACATTTAAAAACATTTAAGACAGTACATTCACAATTAATTACATAATCCTCAAGCATAATCTGGGCTGTTCCAATGGTCATTTCACGTCATTCTGTATCTATCTATTGCACAAGTTCTCCAAAGGCTTGGTCACAGACCATATTTTCACTCTCTTATGGAAGGTCAGGAGGGAGGGGGCTCAACTAATATCCCTAGGGAGGGAATTATACAGCCAAGGAGCCACCATGAAAACGCCCTGTCTCTTGTCCCCTATGCTACAATGGTAAAAAAGGCTCAGAAATTCACATTGGGGGGAAACTGAACCATTTGTAGCACATGACATTGTTTGGAAATTAAGTATTGTTGGAAATTAAGAGCCCATTATGGATGTCATCAGGATGATAGAACAGGATGTTGTCCATATAAGCTGTATGAGCTGTGATGTTGGAAATAATTTACCTGACTGCCCTGGCCTTCGACTCAGTGAATCATAATGCTCTCTCGACCATACTCTTAAAAATCAGATGCCCTGATAAATTTGTGAACATCCTGTGGCTCCTCCACGAAGGCATGACGGCAACAATCTTTGACAGCAACGGTTCCTAATGTGACCCATTTAAAGTGGATCTCAAATAGGGATGGGTTATTGTCCCAACTTTATTTTCCATCTTCATAGCCATGATTCTACACCTTGTTGATGGGAAACTTCCCATTGGTGTAGAAGTCACACATTGGACAGATTGTAAATCCGTCAACCTCAGCAAGCTGAAAGCCAAAAGTGAGTTCACAATATCTTCTTATAGAACTCCCCCGGGCTGAGAACAGCGGTATATAAGCAAAGTAAATAAATAAAATAAATAAATAACTCCAATATTCTGACATTAATATAGTATGTGCTCTTTCAGAGGAAGACCTATAAGCCATAGTAAACACCTTTGCAGAAGAATATGAAAGGCTTCAATAGCACACATAATATTGAAAAGAAAGACTCAAAGTGCTCTACTAGCAGACACTAACGAATCCCTCTGTAATGCCAGAAATAACGCTTAATGGTTTAATGCTAGAAAATGTTGACCACTTCTGCTACTTTGGCAGCCACCGCTCCACAAAAATTGACATTGATGCAAAAATACAACACCTTCTGAACTCTGTGAATACAGCCTTTTTTCAAATGAAGAAGAGAGTGTTCGAAGATAGAGACATTCGTAGGGGTACCAAGATGCTTTTTAATAAAGCTATTGTCCTCCCAACTTCAAAACATGGATAATCTCCAAACATCACTCTTAACTTTTGGAACTATTCTATCAGCATTGCCTCCAAAAATCCTGCAAATCTCCTGGGAGGACAGACCAACAAACATCAGCATTCTGGAAGAAATAAAGTTCTCCATCAGAAATAAAGACCATCAGCACTGAAGGATGGTTCTCCACCATCAACTTTGTTGGACTGGCCATATTGTCTGAATGGGTGACCACCATTTCCGAAAGCAGTTGCTTTATTCCCAAAGTAAGAATGGAAAATGGAATGTAGGTAGGCAACAAAAAAGTGGTATTAACAACAAAAACTGGTAAAGCCTGGCACTTGAGCGTTCTAACTGGAGGTTGGATGTTACCCAACGGTGCTAAGGATGTTGAGGAGGCATGAATAGAGCGCAAAAGAAAAGTGGAATACCAATAGATAACAAATGAGATTTTTAAATGGACATAAGACTAAATTTAAAATGTGGTATAAACACTGAGAACTGAGAAGCCATGACACTTGAAAAGCCTAATTGGAGGTGAACTTTTACCAATGGTGCTGTGGATTTTGAGGAAGCACGAATAGAGAATGAAAGATAGAAACATGCTGAGAGAAAGACAAGTCATGCAAACCCTTGTCATGACTGTCTTCCACCTGGAAACATTTGCCCACATTGTGACAGACCCATGCACATCCAGAATAGGTCTCCGCAGTCCCTTACGAACCTATCACCAAGACTCTACCATTGGAAAACCATCATTCTTGGCCACAACGGATCGCCTGACAACCAATAGCTTTTCACTTTCTTTCAAGTTTATCACAAGTGGAAAATGCTTCGTGCCTTGACAATCCCAGCATCTATCTACAGAGAGCTTATTTAAAGCAAAAGATCACCTAAACATCATATTATTGTATATATGTTCTCTTTGAAATCACTGTAAGGTAAACTTCACAATCTTAGGCATACCTTCTAATACATTTTTAGATCTTCATCTTTTCAAATCTTAACCAGTAGATTTCTTTTTCTGAGGCTGAGGTAAAATGCTGTTTTTTGCATTTTCAGTGGAAATTGGATAAAACTGCTTATTCAGATGATTTAATTTTGGTTTTGCTGACTGGACGAGTATGATCTATGATGTGGTTGTTGTGTAGCTTCAAGTGGTTTCCTCAGGATGCTGTGTATACAAGATATAAATGAAACATACATTAATTTCGTGCTTATACCTGAAATATCACCAAGAAATCTCATTCTCTACATGCAAAAATATCCAATATCTGAAAAAACCCAAAACCAAAACACATGTTCCCAAGCATTCCAGATAAAGGGATGCTCAACCTCTCAGGGCATCCTGAAGGATGTGCATGCGCAGTGGGGGAAACCACATAGTGTTGTATGTGTTTAAAAGGCCAACTGGATGTGGGGTCATCAGCCAGACTTGCAAGAGGAGCTGTGATGGCAACTGGGCTGCAGTATCCGGGGAAGGTGGTCATAGTAACGGGGGGTACCCGGGGCATCGGCGAAGCCATCGTCAAAGAATTTGGTGAGTTGGAGAGAAAACAAACTGGTGGTGGTAATTAAAATCATATATTATATGTAGAGGTTGTTTTAAAACAATCAACAAGACTAAAAAGTGCATCTACACTGCAGAATAAATGCAGTTTGTTATCACTTTACCTACCATGGCTCAATGCTATGGAATCCCGGAATTTCTAGATTGGTAAGGTACCAACTCTCTTTGGCAGAGAAAGTCATTGTAAAACCAGAATTCCCAGGAATCTGTAGCATAGAGCTGTGACAGTGGCATCAAAATGTATTAATTCCACAGTGTAGATGCACTCTGTATAATAAATAATAAAGAGGGATATGCAGTAGATAATCTATTATTGCAATCTGGCAAGTGGGAAGACATATACCGTATTTTTATAATTGTAAGATGCCATTGATTGTAAGACACACTTAATTTCAGTACCACCAGCGTAGCAACAAAAATATATAGAAACCACTTGTAATAATATTTTTAGAGATGTTTCTATAGAAAACATCTCTAAAAATATAATTTTCTGGTGGATTGAAACCGAAACAGCGCAAAACTTGCAGGAAAATTACTGAACACTCAAGAGACAAGACACATAAAGGGACTTGAACTGAAGAGTCCGGGAAGGTCCGCAAGGTATGGAACACGGTAAGGAACACTGGCCTTGGCCAGAAAGGACGCCAGCCTGGGCAGTGAAATTTAACAACATTATAATGTAATACAATGTACTACCACTACCAATAATAATAATAATATATTATAATTAAATATTTTATATTAAATGTAATATTGCTAATAATATTACAGTATAATGGTATAGTACAATATAGTAATATATAATGCTGATATTGTGTTATGCTAATAATATTATATATATATATATATATATATATATATATATATATATAATCTTGTAAGCCGCTTTGAGTCCCCTTCAGGGTGAGAAGGGCGGCATATAAATGCCATAAATAAATAAATAAATAAATAAATAAAGGAATATTTAGTGTAATCAATTCTTTTGTTTTCACTTCATTAATATGCAGGTGTTAGATTTTGTCTGGCATTCATTTTCCCTTCTTCTTTTCATTTCCAGTCCACCAAGGAGCCAAAGTGGTTTTCTGTGCCACAGAAAGAGAAGGTGAGATTCCCCCACCCAATACTTAAGCATTATAAGAGATTCCATTCACTATCAAGTGTTTTCATATCAGCTTGCTTAAACTGCAGGGAATATGAGTCTCCTTCAGCATAGAGTTGTAACCATCCTTTCTCTGGACTATGTAAATCAGAGAAAGGGAATGGTTCCTGAGCTACATTTCTGGAAATCATGTCCCCATTTCTGGATTGCAGCACTCATTCATTCTTATCATTGGTTGTGAATGGGAAGGCTGATAGGACCTGGAGTCCAAGAATACCAACTCGCCAATTCAGATGTAAACATGACAGTAAAAGTAAAATGGTATCCCTTATATAAAATGGTAAAATCAAAGTTGGAATATTTTAAGCTGTAGATTGCTGATTCTGTGGATACAGAGGATTAACTGTCTTTGATGAATTTGGTAGTTGTATCTCAAATACCCTATCATACAGAATTGGCAAATTAATTCCCAGCATAAATTTGTGTGGTCCCACGGATTATAAATTTGAGCTGGGATTGAAACTAAAGTCATATCATGTTTGCTACAATAATACAGTTTGCCTCCACATTTTCAGGGTTAACTTTTGTGCATTTGATTATTTGCACACTTTATAAATACGATGTCTCTAGTTCCTCAAGTGCAACTCTTTTGCAGAAGGTGACCACAGAATTGAACCTAGAGATTTCTAGAGAGATGTTCTCAGGTAAAAATAGTAGAGTTTTTTATTTGCAGATTCCCCATATTTGTAAATATTTAGAGACCCATTGAATTAATTATTAAATGGTAAGACAACTCAGACTTACTCTTTAATCATCCGGAGCTGGAATTGCTCTCCAAACTCCTCACAAGCTCTGTTTGCAACTGTCTTCACAGAAGATCAGGGGAAGGCGATTGTGCAGGAACTGAAGCATTGCGGGGGCCCTGGAGAAGCATACTTTCAGATCTGTGATGTTCGCTGTGAAAGAGCTATTCAGGTAGGTGAGGACTCTGCAGGGAACGGTGCCATGTTGGGAGAGCTATTTTATTGCTATATGCCTTCAGATTGTTTCCACTTATGCAAACCCCAAAGCAAAGCTATCATGGGGGCTTTCAGGGGCTGAGAGTGTGTGACTCATCATTATATATATATATATATATATATATATATATATATATATACTTACCGTATATATATTCTGCTCTATCTCCCCGAGGGGACTCAGAGCAGATTACAGTACATACACACACACACACACACATAAATACACACCGCCTTTTATACAGTGAGCAATGACATACAATACACAAACAAAGGCAAAGGTTTCCCTTTCCATCTCCGGCGTCTGGAGGCAATGCTCAACTCTGGCCATGGGTGGTGCTCATGTTCCACTTTCCATGCAAGGAGTCTGTTGTCCATAGGTTGTGTTTTCCCGGCATGGCTGCATGGGCGCCTTTTACCTTCCCTATTGATCTACTCACATTACATGTTTTCGAACTGCTGGGTTGGCAGGAGCTAGGGCTGACAGCCAGGAGCTCACCCCAACCCGTGGCTGCAAACTGCCAACCTTCCAGTCAGTAAGTTTTTCTGTAGCTAGCAGTTTAACCAGTGGGTTTCCATGATCAAGGGCAAGTCAACTCCTGGTCTACAGAATTAATGTTCAATGCCACTTCTTTGGTGTCTTCAAAACCAGTTTTCCCTTGGCACAAATGCATTCTTAAACGCTACAACTGAAAATGTCGTTCTTTAGATGATAACTCCCAGAATCCTCCATTGGCTGTGGTGTTTGAAGTATTTTGGAAGTCTTTGAAAGTAAGGTTTCCCATCCTCACTTAAAATGTGTTCTGGGGGTTGTTAATTGTGAGAAAGACGACTGTCATAACACAGTTTAGTTGTAGCGCCCTCCCAAATACAATGTTTCCACATGAGATGGGGATTACACCTGGTTGTACCTAGCGGGCGGGGAGTGGGTGAGCTGGGGGGGATTGTGCTTTGTGTGTCATCTTTTGCTAACCATCTCCTTTATTTCATCTCTCTCTTTTTGCTTACTTTCTCTCTTTGCAAGAATCTGGTTGCTGTGACCATTGAACTTTATGGATGCCTTGACTGCTTGGTGAACAATGTTGGAGTTCGTAAGTCATTTCCAAAACACTGGTGGGGAAGGGCATATTGGAAGAATGGGGGTCCCTTCTTTTTTTGAGTGTGGAGCCTTTTTTGGATGTGTTAAAAAGCAGGTGTACGTTCTGTGGTTGGAGCGAGACTTTGAGGTTTTGGTGTTCATTGAGTTAGAAGGTCCTCAGGGTCCATTGTTTTTTGAGCACAAAACCTTTTTTAAGATATGTTAAAAGCCAGCTCATGGAGCTGTGGATGAAATGCAACTTTGAAATTTTGGAGTTCACTGATATAGAAGGCAATAATGTGGTGTACTGTAGTTCATCACATAATAGTTGCCACTGCGTAATAGTCACACTCCCATTTTTTGGGTGGCAAAATTGCTATTTTTTGGTTTCTTCATAATAGATGCATAGAGACATTTGGGGCTGATTCCCTTCCTCCTCCGGAGTGTGCTTTTGGATACAGACAGGAGGAACATAGTTCTACATTTGTGAAATTTATCTACAGTATTTCCCTCATAGTTGCCCTTACAAATAAATCATGATGATAGGTATCTTGATTTACTGAAGTCCCATACATAAGTCCTAGTTTACTGGAATAAATGCATTTTTAAAGAGCAATAACTGGTTCTTACCTGATTTGAAAATCTCTTCCTTTTCATATCCACCTGCCCACAGATCCCCCTTACCGAACAATTGATGAATGCACGGCGGAAGATTTCCACAACCTCATGGCCATCAATGCTGGCAGCTACTTCTTAGCATCTAAGGTGAGTAATATCAAGAAATTTGTGGAAAGCATCATTATATAACATCAGTCCCTTGGTCCCTTGAGCTTATCAGTAGAACCATGCAGCTGCTCAGGAACATTTGGACTGTGTATCACAGCATCCCTAGCCAGTGTAGGCAGTGGAAAGGCATTATCTGAACTGCACTCCAACAAACTGACCCAACCGAGTATTATCATCCAATTATGCAACATGTGCCAGATGGGTCCATAGTTGCCATCACTCATTTAGGTGAAAAGATAGGAATTGTAGTCCAGCACTTTAAGAGGACCCCAGGCCTGAAGAAGGCTGATAGTAGTACTAAAGATTTTCAGATGTTTCCCAGAAGTACCTAGAGATGCAGTGAGAAGGACCTAGACTTCTTGCATTTACTTTCTTTGAGTAACAGTTAATGCCAGAATGTTCTTTACTACTGGGTAACTGCCCCTAATGTAATGCAAGGTAAAGGTTTTCCCCTGACATTAAGTCCAGTTGTGTCTGACTCTGGGGGTTGGTGCTCATCTCTATTTCTAAGCCGAAGATCCAATGTTGTCATAGACACCTCCAAAGACATGTGGCCGGCGTGACTGCATGGAGTGCTGCTACTTTCCCGCCGGAGCGGTACCTATTGATCTATTCACATTTGCATGTTTTTGAACTGCTAGGCTGGTAGAAGCTGGACCAAACAGTGGGAGTGCATGCTGCTCGCCAGTTTCGAATCTGCGACATTTCCATCAGCAAGTTCAGCAGCTTGGTGGTTTAACCCACTATGCCACCAGGAGCTCTGAAAAACAGCACACACTTTAAAGACAAATGGCTCCAGGTTTAATAAGGATGTGTCATGTGACATGAAACTGCTAGGAGAAATTGTCTGATGGCAAGGTTGGGTGCTATCAGTTTGCTGATGACACCCAAATATGCTTCTCCATGCCTTCAAAACAGCTTTAGCTAAGGATAATGTGTCTCTTCTCAATGAATACATAGAGATAATGGGCTGTGTGAAGAAAAAACAAATTAAAACTTAATCCAGATAAGACAGATATGCTTAAGAGATTAGAGGTGTGTCAACCAGTTCTGGATGGTGTTACACTCCCCTCGAAAGACTGTGTTTGCAACTTTGGCATGCCTCTGGATTCGTCTCTTCAACTGTAGCCCAGGTAGATGGGACGGTCAGAAAGTCTTATTACCAGCTTTGGCTGATATGCCACTGCACCCCTTCCTAGAGTTGGAGGAACTAAAGATGGCAATGCACATGCTGGTAACCTCAACAACAGGGGGTCTGAAATGCACTGTATATCAGGCTTCCTCTGTAACAAGCTCCAGTTGGAAACTCCATTTAGTTCAGTGTTTCTCAGCCTTCTAATGTTACTCCCCTTACTACCATTCCTCATGTTGTGGTGACCCCCAACCATAACATTATTTTGGTTGCTACTTCATAAATAGACTCAAACAATGATGGATGTGAATGGTGGAGTTTGGGGGAAATAGACCTTGACATTAGGGAGTTGTAGTTGCTGGTATTTATAGTTCACCTACAAAGAGCATCCTGAACCCCACCAATGATAGAACTGGGCCAAACTTCCCACACAGAACCTCCATGACCAAGAGAAAAGGGATTTGTAAGGAACTGACAGTGATTTAGGGGAGTTGTAGTTCACCTACATCTGGAGCGCACTGTAAACCCAAACGACTCTGCCAAAGATGTTCCTAAGACCATCAAAAATATGTGTTTTCTGTTGTTCTTTGGCAACCCCTCAGACCCCCCCCCCTCCACCCCCCACAACCCCTCACTTGAGAAACACTGATTTAGTTGAAACCATGGCAGCCAGGCTGGTTATAGGAACATTTAGAAGTGTAATATGCTAAAATGATTCCATTGGTTGCCAGTTAGTTTCCTGGCAAAGTACAAAGGGTTGGTTTTGACCTTTAAAGTTCTACGTGTTATGGGTCCAGCTTACCTATAGTATTGACCATCGACTGCAAAATCTGCCCTATACAGTTATGCCTTCAGCTAGAATCAGAATAGCAGCTGTCATCCAGAGGACCTTTAATTCTTATTATTCTTATTACTAGTCCTACCTGGATGATGTCCCTCCTACTCTCCCATGGAGAACAAAGTGAATAAACAATTGGAGAATTAAAAAATATGACACCCCAAACCTGAAACAGCTGGTAGAGGTGGTTGGGCTAAACATGGAATCAATGTGGACCAGTTTCAAATGTTCGTATATTCTTCTTCCTTCTCAATTTCACCTACCTTTTCCATTTGCAGTATGCTTTGCCATTCCTTCGTAAGACAAAAGGGAACATCATCAATATGTCCAGCATTGTCGGCAATTTTGGAGACAGAAAATCCCCAATTTTTGTCGCAACTAAGGTAGGTTAGAGCAATAGGACCTAAATACAGGGGTTCCACCACCCCCATATTGCTATAACATGCTTCTGTTAGAACCCATAAGAACAGTCCATGTGCCATCACACCCAGACACTATAAAGTTAAAACTAAGATGTGCTTCTCTCTTTATCCGGGTGAACTGCGGGTGCCTTTCTTAGAAGGTCAAGATTCTCAGCAATGGAGGCCAGTCCAGATTTGAACATCAACAGAACATTTATTTTTCAAAGTCCTTGACAGACTTGGCACAGGTTGATGAAGTTACAAACACAGTCAATTTGGGAAACCATATAGATGTTCTTTCTTTCCTTTTTCCTCCAGTTACCGAGTTAACTTTTCCACAACGGTAGAAAAATCCTGGGATCTTTTACCTTAACCCTGAGCTGTTATCTTTCAGAAAGAGCAGGTCTTCCCCTATCTAAGCTCAAGATTAGTTTTGGAGATGAAGTAATGGAGCCTCTCTCAATGGCAGAGAAATCCTGAGATATTCCCTGCCCCAGCGCTGAGCTACTGTCCTTTAGAAAGAGCAGGTCTTTCTCTGTCTGAGCTCAGCACCAGTTTCAAAGGCGAGAAGGTAACCTCAACCTTAACCGCAACCTTAACCTCAACCGTACTCACAATGGCTTGTCTGAGCTGCCTAGCTTGGCCACCAGCACATCTGAGGCTTTTTCTATACTAAAGAAAGCAGGAGAGCTTTTCCAAAATAGAGATCTCATCCCCAGGAAAAAGGGCGGTCTCTAGACCAAAAGGATAATTTTTAAACCAATAGCTGCAAAAGGCTTACAGGCTGGCTTCCAGCCTCTGTTAATATTTGACTATTAGGGTGCTGCTAAGACTGTAGCAATCCTGGGGAAAATGCAAAGAGATGCTATTTCAAGCAACTAAGGGGCAATGTAAACCAAGCTCCTGGAAGACGGAACAGTCCAGGTTATTATTGTTTGCTTCCGCTGTCCCATGGTCAGGAAAAATATTTTTGGATACTACAAATGTTACCCCTTCTACTAGATATAGGAAAGCAGAGCCTTTTGGTCCTAGCCCCATTCTTATAAGAAAACCCAATTTTCTTGACTCCCTTCTTGATATCAGAAATCTAAAGGCCTTTCCACACAGCCCTTTATCCCAGAATGTCAAGGCAAAAAATCCCACAATATCTGCTTTGAACTGGTTTTCTGGTCCACACTCAGATAATGTGGGATTTTCTGCCTTGATATTCTGGGATATAGGGCTGTGTGAAAGGGCCCTCAGTATTTCTTTTGCATTGTGATTTTTATTGATCTGGCTGCTTTAAATGTTTTATGTGGGTTATCATCAATTGTTATGGTATTGCTTTATTTCAATGTTTTGACTGACGGACCACTTCGTATGTGGTTCTTCCTCCAAAGGCTGTATAGAAACATTTCAAATATAAGTATAATAAAATTAATGATTCAACTTGTAGGGTGCTATTACTGCGATGACAAAAGCTCTGGCCATCGATGAGAGCAAGTATTGTGTCCGAGTCAACAGGTAAGATTGATGTTAATGGGGGCTATTAACAATTCAGTGGTTAATGGATATTAAATATGACACCACTTGAGGGGACACCTGGCTTTCCCCTCAATCTGCAGCTGATCTTACCCCATACCCCACTTGAGGGGAAAGCAGGACTTAAAATAATCCCATGCCAGGTTCAGGAAGCAGGATTTTGGGAAAGAAATGTCAGTGGTTGACAACAGATAACCCATAGAAAAACTCCTTACTCAGCATCACTGAAGCGATTCAACTTGGGCAAATCTGACTGGTTTGGGTTGTTTTATTCAGTTATATCCTGGCTCATGAGTCCAGAAGATGATCTCTGACTATCTTCTCCACATTTCCTTTTTTTGGACTGTTTCAGACGTTACCCTAGTGCAGTGGTTCTCAACCTTCCTAATGACTCGACCCCGTAATACAGTTCCTCATGTTGTGGTGATCTCCAACCACGAAATTATTTTCATTGCTACATCATAACTGTGATTTTACTACTGTTATGAATCGTCATGTAAATATCTGATATGCAGGATGTATTTTCATTCACTGGACCAAATTTGGCACAAATATGCCCAAATTTGAATACTGGTGGGGTTTGGGGGAGATTGATTTTGTCATTGAGAGTTGTAGTTGCTGCAATTTATAGTTCACCTACAATCAAAGAGCGTTCTGAACTCCACCAATGATAGAATTGAACCAAATGTGGCGCACAGAACTCCCATGACCGACAGAAAATACTGGAAGGATTTGGTGGGCACTGACCTTGGGTTTTGGAGTTATAGCTCACCTACATCCAAAGAGCACTGTGGACTCAAGCAAGGATGGGTCTGGATCAAACTTAGCATGAATACTTAATATGCCCAAATGTGAACACTGGTGGAGTTTGGGTAGAAATAGACATTGACATTTGGGAGCTGAAGTTGCTGGGATTTATAGTTTATTTACAATCAAAGAGCATTCTGAACCCCACCAGTGATAGAATTGGGCCAAAGTTCCCACACAGAACCCCCATGACCAACACAAAATACTGTGTTTTCTGATGGTCTTTGGTGACCTCTCTGACACCCCCTCGTGACCCCCAGGTTGAAAAATGCCCTAATGGATGCTGACAGGAAGTTCCCCTGCGTCGTACCCTCAATTGACTCTTAATTGTTTAGAAACAGGGAAGGAAGGGCAGTGTTTATCATGTGGGAACAGATTTGCTTACTCTTCTGTGATGCCCCCTCCAAACTTTTATTCCTTCCTTTAAAAAAAATTCTAGCATCTCACCTGCCAATGTCTGGACTTCAATGTGGGCAAGACTTGCAAATGAAGACTCTGATCCAGAGGCAGCAATCCAGAAAGGCAACGATTTTCAGGCAAGTGCATGATTGGTTTGGGGGTACCAGATGTGGTGGTTTTCGAGTTTTAAAAAGGAACTTGTGAGTAGAAGTGTGAAAACTGATGGAAAGTGACAAGAGTTGTGTTTGAGGTCCTCAAAGTTTCTAGAAAGGCTTAATAGAGGGGTTTTTTTTTTTTAGTTGTGGCTTTTCCAGTTCTGTGAGGTTATTATGCCTTAACCCCAACAAAATGTGGAGGTTTGAATGCACATATTTTTAGTTTTAACACATATTTGTCTTATAGACATTTGGGCCAAAAACATGTGGGGGTTTGTTTCCTGAAAAAAATGACTTTCAGACATTGGTATGTGTTTGTGCATACTCATGAGATTATCATCAAGCAMTAATTTTGCATCACTCTGTTGCTTCTCCATTGTGTCCATAGCTTATGGGACGGATGGGGACCCCTGCAGAGATTGCGAAGGCTGCCCTGTTCCTTGCTGCCGATGCCACATTCTGCACAGGATTTGACCTTGTGGCCAGTGGTGGAGCTGAGCTTGGCTTTGCCCATAAGAGTCAAGTTACTCCTGGATGTGGCTCTAAAAACTAGTGGAGTCAACCAGGTGGAATGCCARTCTATCTGACTGYCACCTCACAAGGTAGTTGTATCCATGCATTGCARTCTATGCAGAAAAAAWTGCAGGAGGATTCATGCTTCCTTCTCAATGTTTGTTTGATTATAACTCTCAGYAGCTAATACAGTCTATGTGAAGAAAGCACCGGATGTTGCAGTCCAGCAACATTTGGAGGGCAACATGATTGTCAGGTAATCACCCAAGTAATATAATACATTCAGATATTATAAGAATGAAGAATGTGCTTTGCCCCAGGGCTATCTTCTTGTTTTGGAATGGCAACAGGTACAGTTTTCCAATCTCTCCATTACCCATATAAGAAAAGGCTAAAAGTAAAGTTACTCCTGGATGTGGCTCTAAAAACTTGTGGAGTCAATCAGGATGGGAGGACTGCATTGGCTACAAGATTGAATGCCAGTCTATTTGATTTCCATTCAGGTAGAGGGCTACCTCACAAAGTAGTTGTATCATATATTGTAGCCCATGCATAAAAGTTTGTGGGAGGATCCATTCCTCCTTCTAAATGTTTGTTTGACTATATCTTCCAGCAGCCATCAACTAATATAGCCTATGAGAAGAAAGCGCTGGATGTTGCAGTCCAGCGGCATCTGGAGGGCCGTATGATTCCCATGTAATCATGAGGTACTTCAGACAGAAGAGATACCATAAATTCAGATATGATAAGAACGAAGGTCCTTTGCCCAAGGGCTGTTTTCAAAAGCAGAATGGCAACAGGTACAGTTTTTCCAAACTCTGCATTACCCATATAAGAAAAGTTCAAAAACTTTTGGAATTCTAAATTTGTGGTTTCCAGCATTTAGTCCTCCAGTTGTTTTGGTGCCCCATTTCAATCACATCCTCTGCCAAGGAATAGGTCCCATCCCATATCATTCCCAGATGGCAACTCAGATTTGAGATTTAGCAAATTGTCCCCAAATCTGGACTGCCTTCCAGATCAAAAAGATCAAGAAACTCAGAATGATGTAGATAGGATGAGCTATCCCTGTTGGAACAGTTGCCTTCATTGCAAAGAATGCTGCTTAATTTCAAGGGCAAACACTGCCGCCACCTTTCTTTTTTGCCTATTTGTACACATAGAAAACCCTTAATAAAATTTATAAAAAAAATATTGGGGGCAAAGTGTAAATATGGGGAAGATCTCCTTGGATGAATTCTTGTTCTCCTCCTGACTGCTGCTATCTCTCCTTGATATTTTAACACTAATAGCGAACATATCTTTTCATATGTGAGCAATTCCAATTTGTATACTCAATAAACATTCAATGATACACATCTCTAAGAGTCTTGGTCGCTTTCTTTCGGTACCCTGTTTTGTTCGTTTGTGTTTTCTTTTGCCCTTCTTGGATCACAATTACAGTTTTACAAGGAGACTTTCGTCTAAATGGCATGGGAACAAAAGAACAGGTGTAAAGCTTGGTTCTTATCTTTTCAATTTGCCTTTAAAGAACTTGGAGGAACAAGTGAGAAGGGAAATTCTTTTCCTTCTCATCCACCTCTCCTCTGCACACCAACCCTATGAGGAATGTTGAGGCTAGGAGAGGAATCATGAGATATACTAGTGTCAGAACATTTTTAGAGGAAAATATTCACAGTGGAATCTGGGAACGAGATCGCTCAACAAAGTTAATCAACCCTACGTCCATCTGCCCCTGTCATGGATGGAATACTTGACAGTCGGTGAATATTTAGTTCATGTGCCTTTTAGGCAGGCAGTAGACCGCCAAGGGGGAACAGTTTATGTCCATGTACCTTTTACTACCTCAGACCTTCTAAAGTGGAAATCACAGTCAAGGAACAGTCAAGATGCGTTCATACAGGTAAGTTGGGCCAGAACCGTTTATTTAGTTCAGGTGTCTTTAAGCCTAGCAGTATGCCCCCAAGGGGGAACGATTTATGTTCGTGTTCATGTACCTTTTCCTACCTCAGACCTTCTAAAGTGGAAATCACAGTCAGGGAACTATAGAGAAAATCTGAATAAAACAGCTGATTAAAGAGAAGGTATTTTCACAACCCACAATCCTAATTGTACAGATATCTAGGCATTTCTGAGCCCCTTGCTAACACCAGAAGAAAGACATTTAGTTGTCTCAAAGTCACAGGGACTAGCAGTGGCTGGATGGGAAATCCTCTGCAGCAGCAGGTCCTAACTGAGACCCAAACAGGGATGGAAGTAGACAGTTATTACATAGATAAAGACAACACATTCCGAAAGGATTTAGGCAAGCAATTCCTAAGCAGCAAGACCAAAATAAAGTGCGATTGCCCAAACACCAGATGAATTTCCCTCTGAATAAATGACAAAGTTTAGGAAGCAATAAAGACATGATGTAGCCCCAGATGTTTGGGGAAATTGCAATGTTATTAACACGTGGTTTTTGCAGAATGCCACCCTGAACAACAGAATAAAGCTTCAGAAACAGGAAACCTGGGAAGCCATGAGTAGTGACCATATCATTCAAAGTGTATAGTAACAGAACAGAAACAGCAAAGCAGGAGGATAAAAGGAAGTCACAGTAGCAGATGGAATAGGGGTGTGGGAGGAGGTCAAGGATAAGGCAGAGGCAGAGGAAAGGTTGTTGAAAATAAGGTTAAGGAAGTAGGTAGAGATAGAGGAATAGATGTGTCAAAGTTGGGAGCTAACCAATTTGCCATATGTAGAGAGGAAGACCATTGGGAAAGTGAGTGTCCCAAGCAGGCATGTAGCCCGGGGGGGGGGTGCTTGAGGGGCTTCAGCCCCCCCCCCCGAAATTCTCAGGGTGGTTCGCGAAAAGGCCTTACTGGTGCATTATTTAAACTGTTATGTTTATTCATATCATGATCTGATCACCATTCTCAATATATCCCATATGCATGGGGGTATTGGGGTAATGATACAAAAGGTTTGCTAGGCTAGACCCTCTTTCACTCAGACTCAGCCCCCCCCCCGAAACTCAGCCCCCCCGAAACCCCCCCTGAAAATTTTTTAGCCCCCCCCCCCCGAAACGAAATCCTGGCTACGGGCCTGGCCCAAGTGAAAGCCAGTGGTGTTTGAGGGAGAAAGGCAGATGGAAGAGGATACAAGGAGAAGATCTAGATAACTGAGGAGGGGAAAAATGAATCACATTGAATCTTAATGCTCTCTGGACTATCCTCTTGAAAATCAGATGCCCTGAAAAATTTGTGAACATCCTATGGCTCCTCCATGAATGTATGACGGCAACGATTTTGGACAGCAAAGGCTCCCAATGTGACCCATTTAAAGTGGGATCAGGTGTCAAACAGGGTTATTGCCCCAATCTTATTTTCCATCTTCATAACCATGATTCTACATTTTGCTGATGGAAAACTTCCCATTGGTGTGGAAGTCACGCATCAGACAGATTGCAAATTCCTCAACTTCAGCAAGCTGAAAGACAAAAGTGAGTTCACAATATCTTCTCTTATAGAACTCCAGTATTATGACATTAATTTAATATGTGCTCTTTCAGAGGAAGATCTACAAACCATTGTAAACAGAAGTATATGAGAAGCTTCAATACCACATTTAATATTGGGGGAAAAAACCTCAAAGTGCTCTATCAGCAGGCACCAACACATTCCTCTACAATGTCAGAAATAAAGCTTAACGGTGAATGCTAGAAAATGTTGACCACTTCTGCTACTTCGACAGCCACCTTTCCACAAAAATTGACATTGATGCAAAAATACAACACCTTCTGAGCTCTGTGAGTACAGCATTTTTTCAAACAAAGAAGGGTGTGTTCGAAGATAGAGAGATTCGTAGGTGTACCAAGATGCTTTTTAATAAAGCTATTAGCCTTCCAACTTAATTGTACTCCTTCAAAGCATGGATAATCTACAAATATCACTCTTGACTTCTGGAACTATTCCATCAGCATTGCCTCCAAAAATCCTGCAAATCTCCTGGGAGGACAGACCAACAAATATCAGTATTCTGGAAGAAACAAACACCATCAGCACCAAAAGATGGTTCTACACCATCAACTTTGCTGGACTGGCCATGTTGTCTGAATGCCCAGCCACCATCTCCCAAATCAGTTACTTTATTCCCAAAATTAGAATGGAAAATGGAATGTAGGTGGGCAACAAAAATATTTAAAGATGGGCTTAAAGCTAACAAAAAAGTGGTATAAACACCAAGAACTGGTAAACCCTGGCACTTGAGCGTTCTAACTGGGGGTTGGCTTTTATCAACAGTGCTGTGGATTTTGAGAAGGCAGGAATAGAGGGCAAATGGAAGAAACATGCAAAGAGGAAGACACATCAAGCAAGCCCTTGTCATGACTGCCTTCCATCTGGAAATCTGTTAGAGAATGTAAAAAATCAGTTTGTATGTGTGTTAACTGAAAAATGCAAAGTACAAAGCTGATTGGTTGGGTTACGTCCAATAAGCTAGCTGAGCCTGGGATTTTTGGCAACAGTTACATATCTAGGTTTTAGCTGTGCAGAAGCTTACAGTGAGTCAGTTCTTGCTTCATGAGCTGCTGGAAGAAGATCTTTCACATGGATACCTAAAGACCATTTGAATCTTTCTCAAAGGACATTGTGTGAGTCAATGCAACCATTCACATGATTGTATCTATGTTGCTCTTTATTACAAAGAGTAAACTCCTTGTTCTTTACTGATAATCTGTGTGGCATATTTCTTTTTCTGACAAGCCAGTGTGTGTACTGGTAAAACATGAACTACGTGTGATTTTCATTCCGCCACAAAATCTATGTCCTCATTTTGAAAGGCCATGTGGATCCAAAATAGCTCTTCATAGCTACTTACAGACCCACCGCCAAGACTCTACCCTTGGAAGATAATCATACTTGGCCATGAGTGAGTGCCCATGATGACATCTTAATTAGACCAATAGCTTTATACTTTCTAAGTCCATCATGTGTGGACTTGCCTTGACAACCACATCATATATTTGTCGAGAGCTTATTTGGAGCTAAAGATCACCTATACATCATCTTACTGTATATATGTTGTCTTTTTAATCACTGTATAAGGTAAATATTATGTTTTTCGACCTCATCACAAAGGCCAGGTGAAGCGTACCACTTCACATGGTTTTGCGACCAGGCAGACAGCAGGGTGAATCTGTCACTCTGTGCGTAGCTCCCTCTCCGCGATGCTTCCCCTATCACACGTGGGAAGTGTTGTTCTCACTGTGAGAACAGACTCTCATGTTGGCACAGAAGCATACAAGGATGTTTCCACCCTGACTGGGGGCAAAGCCTCTGTCAGAAATCAAATGATGTTGCGTGATGGTTGGCATGGGACTTCATTCCCAAAACAGGGTGGAAGCGTCCTAGGATTCTAAAATTGCCCCATCTGATGAGGCTCAATTCAAGATAGTTCCCATTGAGCCATTTGAACATCATGTCCTGAATTTTGGGCAGAGCTTTTCTTGTAATTTTGACAGGTTCATCATTTTAAATCTGAATCATTAGATTTGCGTCTGAGAGCAAGGTAAAATGCTGTTTTTTCTGTATTTTTAGTAGTAGTTGGATAAAACTGCTTAATCAGATGCTTTAATTATGGTTTTGAGGATTAGAAGAGATGTAATTTTGTTTCATAAAGCATGGGATATGATATGGTTGTGTGGCTTTATGTGGTTTCTGTTTTGTGTACAAGGTGTAAATGAAACACATATTAATTTCTTGCATAGACTTGAGATGTCACCAAGATATCTTATTCTGTACATGCAAATATATTAAAAATGTGGAAGAAAATCCAACGCCAAAACACATTTGTTCCCAGGCATTCCAGATAAGAGATGCTCAACCTCTCAGTGAATACTGAGGGGTGTGTATGCTCAGTGAAGGAAGCCACACGATGCTGTGCATATTTAAAACATCATCTGGATGTGGGGACATCAGGCAGAACGGAAAGAGGAGCTGTGATGGCAACTGAGTTGCGGTATCCTGACAAGGTGGTCATAGTAACAGGGGGCACCAGGGGCATCGGCGAAGCAATTGTCAGAGAATTTGGTGAGTTAAAAGAGACAGAACTGGGAGTGGAAATTAGAACCATACATGCTAGTAGAGAAAAAAGCCCGTGTAAAACTTGAACTCTCAGGATCCCATAACATTGAGCTATGGCAGTCATGGTGGTATCTAATTGTATTAATTCTACAGCGTAGATGCATCCTGTAATCAATAATCAATAATGAGATGGACTATATATGGTGTCTGTGTTTGTGTGTGTGTATAAGCAATAATTTGTAGCTGAGTATGATTGTCTTACAAGAGTAGAGTCTTGGCGGTGGGCCCATAAATGACTGTAGAGACTATTCTGCTTCCATATGGTCTTTCACAACGAGGACATGGATTTCCAGATGGAAGGTGGTTCAGACAAGGGTTTGCTTGATGTGCCTTCATCTTGGCACATTTCTCCCTTTTACCCTCTTTTCATGCCTCTTCAAAAGTCAGAGAACTGTTGATAACAGCTGACTTCCAGATACAACCTTTGAACAGCTGACCTCCAGTTACAACCTTAGAAAGTGCCAGGGCTTCCCAGTTCTCTGTGTTTATACCAATTTTTCTTAGGTTAGCTTTTAGCCCATCTTTAAATCTCTTTTGCTGTCCATCGACATTGCATTTTCTCTTCTAGAGTTGAGACTGAAGTAACTGTTTTGGGTGACGTCGATCAGACATTCAGGCAACATGGCCAGTCCAGTTAAGTTGATGGTGCAGGATCATCGCTTCAGTCCAAGTCATTTTTGCTTCTTCCAGAATGCCTGTCCTCCCAAGAGATTTGCAGGATTTTTCAAAGGCAACACTGATGGAATCTTTTCAGAAGTTGAGAGTGATGTTTGTAGGCAGTCTATGTACCGCAGGCATACATAGAGTTAAAAGTACAATAGCTTTGCAAACAAGCATCTTGGTATACCTGTGAATGCACAAATCCTAGAATATTCTCTTAACACACTCTATGTGGTATATGTGATATGGTGCTAGAATGTAAGAGTCTATAGGAGGTATGGGCAAACTTTGGCCCTCCAGGTGTTTTGGACTTCAAAGTCCAAAACACCTGAAGGGACAAAGTTTGCCCTTGTCTCGTCTAAACTCTGTGTGTGTGTGTATGTGTGTGTGTTCATGTGCACATGTGTGTGCTGAATAAGGTATTTCCCCTCCAGTGTAACTTGTCTAGCCTGGTATTAAATTACTGTGATAAGATGGGTAGGGCATTATTCATTTATATGATATTTTAATTTAAATTTTAGACATTTGTCAGCAAACAGAGAACTATTTATTCAGCACTGGCTGTATGCCACATAATTCCCATCCTATCCTCTTGAACCTGATGTCCTGAAGATATGTTGGTCAACACATCCCATCATCCCTGTCCAGCATAAGATCGGTGGGAGTTCTAGTTTAACCTAACTGGACATCATATTAAAGTAGGTTGGTGTAGGGATGAGATGTAAAACAAAGCGTATTCCATATCCAAAATGCTTGGGACCAGAAATATTTTGGATTTTTCCTCCAGATTTTTGAATACCTTTATTTGATGATAATGATGATGATGGTGATGGTGGCAAATTTTATTTATGATCCGCCTCTCCTCATGGGTTGAGGCAGGATACAGCAGTCAGAACACTTCAACATAAATACATACAACAAAATATGTATCACAATGCTCACTAATATAAAATGCATACACCAAACACATGGTGCATATATAAGATTCAACTCTAAGTCTAATCACAAAATTAATTTATGTTTCATAAACATCATATACATGTAGCATGGAAGCCATTTTATATAATATTTTAAATCATAATATTTGTGCCTGAAGTATGTAGGCAAAAGTGTCACTTTTTTAGCTACCTATATGGACAGGTTTTTTTTTTTTTTGCAATGCTTAATCTGTAATGGAACATATGGTATAATCCATTTTTTATTTTCAACACATTAATGTGCAGGTATGAACAGATTTGTTAGATTTTGTCTGGTATTCATTTACACGTCTTCTTTTCCTTCGCAGTCCACCAAGGAGCCAAAGTGGTTTTCTGTGCCCCAGAAAGTGAAGGTGAGAATTTTTTCCTCCATGCCACAACATTATGAGAAAGTCCATTCATTTTCCAATGTTTCCATATTAGTTTGGCTAGGAACCCCAGTGGTGCAATGGGTTAAATCCTTGTGCTGGCAGGACTGCTGACTTAAAGGTCAGTAGTTCGAATCCGAAGAGCGGGATGAGCTCTTCTCTGTCAGCTCCAGCTTCTCATGTGAGGACATGAAAGAAGCCTCCCACAGGAGGGTAAAACATCTGGGCATCCCATGAGCAACGGGTTTGTAGACGGCCGATTCTCTCACACCAGAAGTAACTAGCAGTTTCTCAATTCGCTCCTGACACACACACAGACAAGTTTGGCTAAACTACAGGGAATATGAGCATGAAGTTGTAACCATCCCTGATCTACATTTGTGCAAAGCATTTCCCTATTTTTGGATTGCGGCACTCATCCATTCTGATCATTGGTAGTGAATGGGGAGGATGATTGAACCTGGTGTCCAAAAATGCCAATCTTGACGTAGAAAATGAAAGACAGAGTCTGGGCTTTTTTGGTCCTATTTGAGGCAGAAATGTAAGAGGTGCTGCTAAGGGGAGAAATACAGGAATGAGAAAGCTGTATAGTGAGTAGTTTGTATCTGCTGAATGTTGGTTCCAGAACTCCCTGTGGATACCAAAATCTATGGATACTAATTGTACACAGCAACTTATAAAAATTGTACCCCTTATCAGGCCCGTAGCCAGGATTTTGTTTCGGGAGGGGGGGCTGGGTTTGGGGGGGGGGTGAGTTTGGTTCGGGGGGGCTGAGTCTGAGTGAAAGAGGGTCTACCCTAGCAAACCTTTTGTATCGTTACCCCAATACCCCCATGCATATGGGATATATTGAGCATGGTGATCAGATCATGATATGAATAAACATAACAGTTTAAATAATGTACCGGTAAGGCCTTCTCGCAGACCACCATGAGAATTTCGGGGGGGGGGCTGAAGCCCCCCAGCCAGCAACTTATAAAAATGGTACCCCTTATATAAAATGCAAACTTAAGATTTGCTGCTGAGATATTTTTAAATTGTGGATGGTTGGTTTTGTGAATACAGAAGGTCAACTGTATTTGTTCAATTACCTCAGCAACTTAAAGTCTCAGCATTACATCATATAACAATAATAATAATAATAATAATAATAATAATAATAATAAAGTCTCAGCATTACATCAGATAGTTAACATGGTATGACGCTGCTATGACTGTGCAGTTTGAATAAATGTTAGGAGGGAACTAGGAAGCTGGGAGTTACAATCAAATCTGGAGCATTGTGATTTCTACTTCCCTTGGATAATATTCTGCACATGGTGGAGACTTGTTGAGAAATTGTACACTGAATTAATAATCATAGGGCCCTTCCACACAGCCCTATATCCCAGAATATCAAGGCAGAAAATCCCACATTATCTGAGTGTGGACTCAGATAACCCAGTTCAAAGCAGACATTGTGGGATTTTCTGCCTTGATATTCTGGAATACAGGGCTGTGTGGAAGGGCCCTTAGCATGAAGAATAGATATTGGTAACTGCTGGATCTGTGTCCAGTTGTTTGGCTAAAACATTAAATCCCTGTGCCTCAAATTCACATTGGCCACCAAGTATGGGCTCAGAGAGAGTAGCCTGCATCCTGCCAATTAGTCTAAAATAAAGGAGATCCATTGACTCAGTAGTTGAATGGTAAGTCAACCCAGAGACAAACTTCTAGGAGGCAGCATTATTGTCTTGCTCTTACTCCTTCATCAGCTGGAACTGCTGTCCAAACTCCTCAGGAAGTCTGTTTGCAACTGTCTTTGCAGAAGAAAAAGGGAAGGCAATTGTGCAGGAACTGCAAGATTGCGAGGGCCCTGGGGAAGCTTACTTTCAGATCTGTGATGTTCGCTGCGAAAAAGCTATTAAGGTAGGCAGGAACTCTGTGGGGAAATATACTGGTTTGGGAGAGCATCTCTGTCACTTTGTGCCTTCAAGTTGTTTCTAATTATGCCAATCCCAAAGCAAAGTTTCTGGAGCTGAGAGTGACTCACTCAAGCTCACTCGGTGAGTTTCCATGGCCAAGGGGGAATTGAACCCTGGTCTCCAGAATCATCGCCCAGTGCCACTACACCAAGCTACTTTAGAGACCCCGAAACCATTTTTCCATTGACATGAATCCATTCTTAAAACCTGGACTTGGAAATGTAGTTTTTGGATGACAACTCCCAGAATCTTCTAATTGCTGTGGTATTACATGAATTTTGGAAGACTCTGTGCCTTTTTTTTCCCTTTGAAGTCTAAAAAAGCAATGCTTCCAAACCTCACTTAAAATGTGCTCTTAGGAGAATGATGGGTTTCATAGTCCGATTTAGGAGTAGAGCCTTCCCCAAAACAAAGGTTCCACATGAGTTGGGGGATATACCCTACATCTTCCCTGATTGTACCTGTCCTAGCTGGGGATACTGAGAGTTGTAGTCCAGTATACATACAAAGTAGAAAGCTCTCCAGGCAGACATAAACATGCAGGAATTCTGTTTCCGCTTTTGCCAACAGTCTCCCCTGCTTCATCTCTCCTCTTTGGTTAACTTTGTTCCTTTCCATAGAATCTGGTTGATGTGACCATTGAACTTCATGGATACCTTGACTGTCTGGTGAACAATGTTGGAGTCTGTAAGTCATTCCCAAACCACTGGTAGGGAAGGGCATGTTGGAAGAATGGGGGTCCCTTGTTTTTTGGAATCGCTTTTGGATGTGTCAAAGAGCAGGTCTAGGGTCTGTGGATGGAATGAGACTTTGAGGTTCTGATGTTCATTGAGGTAGAAGGCCATCATGTATATCGTATTTCACTGCATAATAGTTGTACACCAATTTTATGTGTGGCAAAATTAGTATTTTTGTGTCCCTTCATAATAATTGTTGAGTCATTTGGAACTGATTCTCTCTCCCTTCCTTTCTTCTCTAGCAGCAAGGCGATTTTTAAAAAATCTTAAATTGAGGTAATTGGAACTCTGAACTTTCCCCCTTTCTTCCAAGAGCTCCTCTTCAGATTTGCAAACTGTCCTGTTTTTGGAGAAGGAAGGAAGGTAGCTGTTTGTTTGAGGCTGGAGAATCCCTCCTCCTCCTGTCTCAGAGGTTAATGGAGATTTTTTGTGTGTTTTTTCAAAAAAATCCAGAAACCAGAGAATCAAAGTCTTTTAAAATCAAATAATAGTTGCACCCCTGTTTTTTTTCTATCAAAAAGGGATAAGAAGTGTGACAATTATGTAATGAGCCCCCTGGTGGCGCAGCGGGTTAAACTGCTGAGCTGCTGAATTTGCTGACTGAAAGGTTGGTGGTTCAAATCTGGAGAATGGGGTGAGCTTGCGCTGTTAGCCCCAACTTCTGCCAACTTAGCAGTTTGAAAACATGCAAATATGAGTACATCAATAGATACCATTACCTACTTCTGCAGAAAGGTAACGGCATTCCATGCAGTCATGTTGGCCACATGACCTTGGAGGTGTATACAGACAACGCCAGCTCTTCGGCTTAGAAATAGAGATGAGTACCACTCCCTTGAGTTGGACACAACCAGACTTAGTGCCAGGGGAAACCTTTACTGTTACCTTTACTATTATGTAACGAAATACAGTGTTTATTTTACAATTAGTTGACATGTTGCTACATCATCAATATTCTTGGTGTTGTATCAAATTATCAGAGGCTACATCACTGCCCCTTATGGCTTACATTTTAGAAATCAGTGCAAGACAGAAGGAGAGGGAAGGAAATGAGCTATGGAAAGAACACCCCATTATGTCAACTTAAAAAAAACCCGAGCTCTTAAAAATGGCGAAAGATCGAACATTTTGGGGGTTTGGAACTTCAAGGTGCTAAAGTGGGGATCTTCTGAAGTTACACAATTTCTAATATATAAGTAAAATAAAATGAATTTTTTTTTAAAAAAAACCCTGCAAGGCTAGGATCAAGTGGCTGGATTTTGGGATACTACCAGCACATCACTGCTTTGTAGGCTAAATCGATTAAATGTGGGTGAATCTGGCAGATCCCATCCCACATGTTTTTGACTGTTTTCTCCTTTTTCAAAGCAATTGCTGAGCTCAGGAGACAATTTCTGCCTTCTTCCCCCCAACCTAAATATCAGAACACTTCAGTATCCCTGCATCGTGTGATAGGCTCCGAGTAACTATGTTTATAAAATGCTTTAGAAGTGTTAAGCAGTGCGGGAAGTGTGTGTGTCTGGGAAAACGTCCAAAATATCTTTAGGCTTAGTGTGATATTAAAAAGTAAAGGTTTCACCTTGACATTAAGTCTAGTCTTGTCCAACTCTCAGGGGTGCTGCTCATCTCCATTTCTAAACTGAAAAGTCAGCGTTGTCCGTAGACACCTCCAAGGTCATGTGGCCAGCATGATTGCATGGAGCGCTGTTACCTTCCCGCCAGAGCGGTACCTATTGATCTACTCACATTTGCATGTTTTCGAACTGCTAGGTTGGCAGAAGCTGGGGCTAACAGTGGGAGCTCACCCCGCTCCTCGGATTCAAACCTGCAACCTTTCGGTCAGTAAGTTCAGCAGCTCAGTGGTTTAACCCACTGATTCACCAGGGGCTCCTAATGTGATATTAGATGCACTGAATTGTAGACTTAAGCAGAAAGAGGGTGAGTTTTGCCCAGACCACTGCCAAATTTGAGTAGGAATGTGGAAGTTGATGGTTGTCAGTTCAAGTGCCAGCTGCCTTGTCTTATTTTTCTGAATGTGCCTTTGGACTCAGGCAAGAGGAACATCCTTCCACATTTGTAGAACCTATCTACAGTAGTTCCTTCATACTTGCCCTTACAAATAAATCATGATAATAGGACTTAATTACAATTTACTTAAGTCCTCATTTAGCAGAATAAGTGCTTTAAAAAAGATAAGATAAAATAAACAAAGAAACTGGGAATTATTCTAAATCTTACCTCTAATTCTCTTCTTTTTCATGTCCACCTGGCCATCAGATTTATCTTACAAAACAATTGATGATTTCACTTCAGAAGAATTCCATGAATATATGGACATCAATGCTGTCAGCTATTTCTTAGCATCTAAGGCAAGTAGTATCAAGAAATTCACAGGAAGCAGCATTATATATCATCAGAACCTTGGTTCCTTGAGCTTGGCGGTGGAGTCATGCAGTTGCTGTGCATTGCAGCATCCCTAGCCAGTGTAGGCAGTGGAAAGGAACTCTCAGAATTGCAGCCCAACAACCTGACCCAGATTATTTTTTTTTTTCGTGTCAGGAGCAATTTGAGAAACCGATGGCGCAATGGGTTAAACCCTTGTGCCAACAAGACTGCTGACCAAAAGGTCAGTGATTCGAATCCGGGGAGCAGGGTGAGCTCCCGTCTATCTGCTTCAATTTTCCATGCAGGGACATGAGAGAAGCCTCCCACAGGATGGTAAAACATCCGGGCTTCCCCTTGGCAATGTCCTTGCAGACGACCAATTCTCTGACACCAGAAGCCGCCTGATCCAGATGAGACTTATTATCACATGTGCCAGATGGGTTCATAGTTGCCATCACTAATGTAGGTGACGAAGATAGGAATTGTAGTCCAGCACATCAAGAAGACCCCAGGCCTGAGGAAGGCTGATAGTACCTCTGCAGCAGTTCAGATGTTTTCAGATCTACCTAAAGCTGCAGGGATGAACCTAGGGCTTTTGAATATACTTTCTTATCGGATAAATCATGTTCTCTACCATGGGTTAACTACCCTTACTTAGGTTGCTGTCTACCCTGAGATAATTGTCAGACACCGGGAAAGCTATTTTTTGGGGCCACAGTTTCTAGAATCTTCATAATCATACTCATGGGACTTGTGGTCCAGCAATATACCTCTTCCTATTTTGCAGTAGGCACAATGGGTTGAACCCTTGTGCCAGCAGGACTGCTGACCAAAAGGTCAGTGGTTTGAATCCAGGGAGAGTGAGGATGAGCTCCCTTTGTCAGCTCCAGAACCCCATGTGGGGACATAAGAGAAGCCTTCCATAAGGATGGAAAAACATCAAAAACATCAGGGCATCCTCTGGGCAACGTCCTTGCACACGTCCAATTCTCTCACACCAGAAGCAACTTGCCATTTCTCAAGTCGCTCCTGACATTAAAAAAGCTTCTTCCTCCTCCTCCTGTTCTTCTTCTTCTCTTCTTCTCCTTCTCCTCTTCTTCTCTTCCTCCTCCTTCTCCTCCTCTTCCTCCTCTCCTCCTCCTCTTCTTCTGCTTCTCCTCTTTTCCTCCACTTCTCTCTTCTCTTTCTTCCTCTCTCCTCCTCTTATTTCCACTTCTTTGCTTCCTCCTCCTCTCTTTCTTCTTCTCTTCTTCCTCCTTATCTTCTTCTTCTCTTCCTCCTCTCCTTCTTCTGCTTCTTCCTCCTCCACTTCTTCTTCTTCTCTTCCTCCTCCTCCTCCTCTGTTCTTCTCTTCTTCTTCCTTCCTCCTTCCTCCTTCTGCTTCTTGTTCTTCTTCCTCCTTCTCCTCTCCTTCCTCTTCTTCCTACTTCTCTTCCTCTTTCTCTTCCCCTCTTCCTGCTGCTTCTCCTCCTCCTCCTTCCTCCTCCTTCTTCTCACTACTTCCTGGGTGATGTTCCCAACCCCAAAGTACAAAGTAAAAAAAAATGATAGAGTTATTAAAAACATGACACTTCAAACCTGAGGCACCTATCTCACTCTGCCCAATGATAGAGGTGGTTGAGCTATGCATGGACTCGGTGTGGACCAATTTCAAACGTTGGTTTAATCTTCTCATATTTTTTTTCTCCATTTGCAGTACGCCCTGCCTTATCTCCGAAAAACAAAAGGGAACATTGTTAATATCTCCAGCACTGTCAATATCGTTGGAAACAAGCAGTCCTTACCCTATGTAGCAACCAAGGTAGGCTGGAGCAATAGGACCTGAAGTTAGAGCAGGCATGAGCAAACTTGGGCCCTCCAAGTGTTTTGGATTTCAACTCCCACAATTCCTTTTTTTAAAAAATATTTTTTATTGTTTTATAGTATATGCAGAAAACAAAACAAACAAACAAAAGGAAAAAAGTAAACAAAGAAAACATATGCAAAAAAATTACAAAAGAGTCAACATTCAGCGCTCATCAAACATATGTACAATCAGATTTGGTTGTACAATTATTTATACCTTAACATTACCTAACCCTCTATCCCCCACCCGTGAACCCCACCCCCTGACCTCCGACACCCCTCAAAACAGGATCGCATTCCAAAACAACAACTACCCAAATATCTTCTTTCACTGAATCCCCTTTATGGCAATCTTCAAATTTACCTTTGTCTTGCTTGTCCCCCTCAGCTGCTTAAAGTCCAAAATACCTGGAGGTCCCAAGTTTGCCCATGCCTGAGTTAGAAGCACCTTCTTTCATTGTTCTAATGTGAGGGTTGTCAATATTTCAAGCTTCTGCTGTAGTCAATTTTAGCAGCAATAAATGTATTGTCAAAGGCTTTCATGGCTGGAATCACTGGGTTGTTGTAGGTTTTTCCGAGTTATATGGCCATGTTCTAGAGGCATTTTCTCCTGACGTTTCGCCTGCATCTATGGCAAGCATCCTCAGAGGTAGTGAGGTCCTCACAACCTCTGAGGATGCTTGCCACAGATGCAGGCAAAAACGTCAGGAGAAATGCCTCTAGAACATGGCCATATAACCCGGAAAACCTACAACAACCCAATCAAGCTTGCCTCCAAGCTGCTGTTCAAAGCTACAAGAAGAAGCCATATTGTTATTATTCCCTGCCCAGTGGTAGCAAAATTGACTTTTGGAATGATAGAGGTACGAGGAAAGCAGGGTTTTTTTCTGGCAACCCAATCTTTTTTTTTTTCAAAACCTTTTTTAAAAACTCCTTTCTTGATTATGGATAGGAGGTCAAATGGTTTTTCTACCCATTTTGACTGAAATGTAGACCTTTCTTTTGTAATGTGATTTTTATTGATCTTTTTACAATGTTTTATGTAGGTTTCCATTCACTGTAATTTATATTGCATCGTTTCAATGTTTCGAATGTTGAACTGCTTCGTATGAGATTCTGCCTCTAGAAATATTTCAGATATAAGCATAATAATCATTCATCTTATAGGGTGCTATTACTGCGATGACAAAAGCTCTGGCCATCGATGAGAGCAAGTATTGTGTCCGAGTCAACTGGTAAGACTGTTATTAATAAAAGACTATTAACAATTAAGGATGAAGATTTTGGGATCAATGCTCTTTTGAGAAATTAAAAAAAAATGTACTTTATTCTTTTCACTGAAACATACTAGGATAATGTCAGTGATGTGTCAGTAATGGGCCACAAATTTTGATCTTCTACATATTTTGGTCTTCTGCTTTCAGTGTCCCTCACTAGCTGGTGCTTTACTGGTGATGATTGAGGTTTGGCAAATGCCGTTTCCTATTGTCATATTATAAATCAAAATATCTGGAGTGCCAAATGTATCCAGTCAACCCTGGCTATTCTCATTTTGGCAGCAAATCCAACTTGTTTCAGGAAAACATGCTTGCGGCTCCTCCTACACTGCCATATAATCCAAATTATCAAAGCAGATAATCCACATTATCTCCTTTGAGCTGGATTATATGATTCTACACTGCCATATAATCCAGTTCAAAGCAGATAATCTGGATTTTATATGGCAGTGTAAAAGGAGCCTGGGATTCCAATATACCTGAATGTTAGAGGATTTCAAAAAAGAAAAAAAGTATTAAAATATGCCCAATTAAATGTACAATTCTAGACGTTAGCCAGAAGAGATAAGGAACTGGGTTGTATGGCCATGGTCTAGAGGCATTCTCTCCTGACATTTCACCTGCACTTTGGCAAGCATCCTCAGAGGTAGTTTTTTTGGGTTTTTTGGCGTGTCAGGAGCAACCGCTCCTGGTGTGAGAGAATTGGCCATCTGCAAGGATGTTGCCCAGGGGACGCCTGGATGATTTTTGTGTTTTTCATCCTTGTGGGAGGCTTCTCTCATGTCCCCGCATGAGGAGCTGGAGCTGATAGAGGGAGCTCATCCGCCTCTCCCCGGATTAGAACCTGCGACCTGTCGGTCTTCAGTCCTGCCGGCACACCCACTGCGCCACCGGGGGCTCCTCTCAGAGGTAGTGAGGATAAGGAACTATTTTTAAACAAGCAATATATGGAAGTGAAAAAAGACAATAGAATAGGAAGAACAAGAGATCCCTTCCAGAAAATTAGAAACACTGGAGATGATGGGATCCCAGCTGAACTGTTTAAAATCTTGAAAGATGATGCAGTCAAGGTGATGCATGTCATATGTCAGCAAATATGGAAAACACAAGAATGGCCATCAGACTGGGGGAAAATCACCCTACATCCCCATACCAAAAATGGGAAATGCTAAAAAATGCTCAACCTTCCATAGCGTCACCTTTTTGGATGGGCACTGCCTCTGGCCTGAAAGGTTTCCTGCCAAACCACTTTTAGGCTTAATAAGTGATTAGATTAATCCTCCCAGGAATGTTTGGGGTTGGGCTGCTATAAACCTAGCTAACATTTGTAAATATATGTTTTAAATTTATAGTTATATTAGAGGAAGGGGTTGTTTTTTTTTAAAAAAAAACATGGAGATAGATAATCATGATGTCTCTCTTATCTTTAAGGAGAACAAAAAGGAAGAGAGACCAAACTTTACTTTTAGTAGAATAGGCATTTTCCTGAGAATATCAGGAAATGGGAGGGGAGAGAGACAGACAGGGGGCAATGGAGAAAGGACTTTCCCTGTAAACTAACCTCTACTGCCTATTTATCTCCTTGTTGAGGACTATAAACTTGTGCAGGATATGGTTAGTTGAAATGTAGAAGCAAGGTTCACAAATAACATATGAAAACCTGGGGGGAGGATTATACTTCTATGGATATTGACACATAGTTCACCATATGGGAATTGCTTGTTCTTCTGTGAAACCCCCTCTGAACATGTCTTCCCTCCTTTGAAAAATGTCTAGCATCTCACCTGCCAATGTTTGGACTCCACTGAATGCAGGACTTATAAATGGCTCACCCGATCCAGAGAAAGCATTCCAGGAAGCCAAGGATGCTCAGGCAAGTGCATGATGGGCCATGGGGCTACTGGATAGGATGGATTTCTACTTTATACAAGAAACTTATGCAGAGAAGTGCAGGTTTTATTATTCACAAATTTGATTATTCACTTATTTGTTTAATATGGTCTCTAGATCCTGCAGTGTGACTCTAAGCTTAACTTCTGATTGAAAATTGACAAAAGTTGTGTTTGACGTAATTCACAGAGTTGTTTAACAGTATATATTTTATTTATGGCTTTTCCAGTTTTCTGGGGGTCCTATACCCTAATCCCAGAAAATGTGGAGGTTTGACTGTGGATGTTTATCACTGGAAGGGCAAAGTTATTTCAAAGGACAAAGACATTTCTGATAGCACATGAAATCTAAGAACTGGAAACCCTTTGGAGCATGTCCTTCTCATTTCTGAGACCTCATAAACTTCTCTTATAGACTTAACGACTAAATTTTATAGGATGTAACTTGGGGAAAGAAAACAAATTGAATAGAGAAGTGTGTGTGTTTGCGTCTACTCATGAGATAAGCATCAAACACTAATTTTGCACTACCCTCTTTCTTCTCTATTATGTCCATAGCTTATGGGACGGATGGGGACCCCTGCAGAGATCGCGAAGGCTGCCCTGTTCCTTGCTGCCGATGCTACATTCTGCACAGGATGTGACCTTGTGGCCAGTGGCGGAGCTGAGCTTGGCTTTGCCCATAAGAGTCAAGTTACTCCTGGATGTGACTCTAAAAACTAGAAGAGCTAAACACAATGGGAGTGCTATAGCGACTAAAACAAGGCAAGCTGGGGAGAACTTTTACAATGCGAACCTACCATCCAGGTAGAGGGCTGCCTCATAAGGAAGTTGTATCCATATATTGTATTCCAGAAATCGGTGGGTCCAAACCTTAGGTCTTCCAGGTATTTTGGACTTCAGCTCCTGCAATTTCTAACAGCTGGTAAACTGGCTGGAATTTCTGGGAGTTAAAGTCCAAAACACCTGCTTTGATAATCTGGATTATATGGTTACACAAAACGAGCACATGTACTGGAGAAGTCCACACAGGGTATATGAACAAAATCATGTATTTTCCTTGATTGCAGGGGTATACAGTGATGCAAATATGCACATTCTTCAGCCGAAATCAGAGTTTAAGCGCACCTTTTTAACACGTGTTTTTCAGCTATTAATGTTGTGGCTCAGCAAGTGGCTAGTTCTTAGAGGATGAGGGGAATAATGAATTTCAAAATGAGGAGTCTGTGTCATATCGGGGAAAATTTCAGGCCTTAGATTTGAGAGAATTGCAGCCAGATGAAGACAAGGAGAGGATATTTTAGATTCCAATGTTTGTTCCTTAGCAACAGGGGAAAAGGGAAACTGGTGAAAGGTCCATTTCTCTTGGGAAAGGGCCTTCAGTCAATGGAGAGTTTTCCCATGAAGTCAGATTAGGTCTCTGGACGGAGGGAGTGAAAGATAGATTAATTAGGCATGCTGAGAGACTCCATGAGAAGTCCTTGAAGCCCGGATGCGTTCAGCATGATCTCATGGCATCTTGGTCTGGCTTGGTCTTAAATTAAGTGGTGTTTAATAGGTGTCTCTAAGAGGAGACAATGTTGCTGTAAGGTGTGGGTTCCTATCTCAGCTCTCAAGTTCATGATTCAAGTTTCCTGTGTTTGTCGATGTTCCTGGAAGGGTTTGTCTTGGGAAAAGTTCTTGTTTTCATTCATTCATACCTGTGATTTTGACTCTCTTGACATCATGTACTTTGCCATTTTTGGATTACTGCTTTTTTGTATATGTACTTCTGTTATTTTGTATTTCCTTCTCTACTACTCTTTTGGAAAATGCCCTTTTTCTCTTTGTACATGCTTTTCTAATAAACTGCTTTAGTTAATACTACTAAACTCTGTGTTTTTGTGTGTCAGGAGTAACTTGAGAAACTGCAAGTCACTTCTGGTGTGAGAGAATTGGCCATTTGCAGGGATATTGCTCAGGGGACGCCCGGACTTTTGATGTTTTACCATCCTGTGGGAGGCTTCTCTCCTGTTCCTATATGAGAAGCTAGAGTTCGACAGACAGGAGTTTGCCCCACTCCTTGGATTCGAACCGCCAATCTTTCAGTTGACTAGTTCATCCGGCACAAGGGTTTAACCAATTGCACCATCCGGGATTCTTGAATTCTGATGTGGTCCTGGGTGAAAAGGTGTCAAGACTAGAGTGCAACAGTTGAACCAAATCAGTGCACATTTTCATGAAACATCATTCAGCCACCTCCCTTTTATCTCTGTTTCTTCTATGTTTTATGGCATGTGTAGAAAGGCCCTTAGAGAGACCCTAAGATGATCCTAGATTAGGGTTTTCTTAACAAAATTTATAATTTCCTTACTATGAGGCTGGGAGAGTATGAGATCACTCCGAAGGTGTTCATTGTCAAGTAGATATTTGAGCTCCAGTTTTCCTGGAGTGCTAGTGCAACACTCAAAGCACTACAGTATCATGACAGTCTAAGCCCCCAATCCAAATGTACTAGAACAAAAAATAAAATGGGAGGAACATTTTTCTCCCATTATATGTAGATCTACCTAAGTTAAACTTACTAAGGTTACAAATGTTTCTAGAAACAATAACTGCCCATTATGACATTACCATATTCCTATTGCACAAAAGGTCCCTTAAAAGTTTTCATTCTTTCAAAAAGTCTTAATTTGCTTTATATTTCAAAATCCTTGTTAGTTTGAGCTAAATCAGCAACTTTGACAATTAATTTATGGCGTTTCCATTCATTTCTAGGTTTGCGCAAACAGTATTATATTATGAATCGAAGGAGGACTTCAGAGTTCTTATGAAATGTCTTATCCCTGATACTCAGCAAAACGTTTTTGATTACATTGCAAAATCTTGCTTTGAAATTTGTTGAATTATCATGTACTGTATATACTTTAGTATAAGCCGACCCAAATATAAGCCGAGGCACGTAATTTTACCACAAAAAAATTGGGAAAACATATTGACTCGAGTATAAGCTGAACGTGAGAAATGCAGCTGCTGCTGGTAATCATCAGTAGGTTAAATGTTTTTGAGTATTTACATAAAATTGTAATTTAAGATTGTCCAAATCTGATTAAACCATTATTCTAATCTTCTTCAATGTAAATGTGCTTACGTATCCTTCCAATAATAATAAAGAGGGTAAAATAATAAATTATTATTATTATTATTAATAATAATAGAGTAAATAATGGAAATGTAATAATAACAGTAATAATACAGTAAAATAATAAATGTAATAAAACCAATCATAAATAGATTAAAATAATAATAAATGTAATAATAATAGAGAAAAATAATAAATGTAATACAAATAGTACAGTGAAATAATGTAAATGTAGTTATTATTATTATTATATTATAGAGTAAAATAATAAATGTAATAAATTAGTACTAATAACAGAGTAAAACAATAAATAACCTTGACTCGAGTATAAGCTGAAGGGGACTTTTTCAGCCTTTAAAAGGGGCTGAAAATCTAGGCTTATAATCGAGTTTATACAGTAAATCTTAAACCCATTGCTTTTCACTTTCTTGCAACTCCAGCACATGTGGAGAAAAACCCCAATTTATCTTCACAACCCTGGCAATTAATTAAAACTATTGGAGACATTTATTTGTAGACAGCTTCTTTGGAGCTGGATATCATTTGTACGTCACCTTACTGCATCTATGTTTTCTTTTAAATTACCGTAGAAGGTACATTTTATGTTCTTAGTCCAGATGTTTTTTTCATTCAGGCACTTGAACAACATGTCCCCAATTTTGGACACACCTTATCCTGTAATTTTTTACATATTCATCTTCCGTCTCCAATTTCAAAAGGTATTTATGTACTTTTTAAATTACATGATTAGTACATCCTTGCACAATTCCAAGAAAACTCCAGATCTCTTTGATCTTGATTAAATCTCTCTTTCAAATCTCAAGTAGGATTGAGATCTCCACCTCTAAGGGTGCGTGGATGGCTGTTTTTGTCTGTTTTCTGTGGCAATAGATGCAGTCCCCGAGTTACAGACATCTGACTTACAAATGACTCATAGTTAAGAACGGGGGAGAGACAAGTGAGAAAAATCTACCCCTAGGAAGGGAAATTCATCCCATTTCTGCTATGTGCACCACTATCTGTTTTGATAATAATTAAAAAAGAGTTTTGGGACTGAAGCAAAATAGAAAGTTTCGGGAAGGAAATGTCACAAACAGAGGAAATATAAAGTATAGATAGGAAGCTTTCACAACCTGTTGCAAAAGCCACTGAGCAAAGAAGAATGCCCCCAAAAGAAGATAAAACAACTGAGTGATGCTAATCAGAAGTTCAAGAAAGTTCGAGAAGGTAAAAAAAAAGCTTCCTTACTTAGGCGATCCCTCGTAGCTTGAGGATGATTGTTTTCCAGATGTGGTGTCTTGGCGGTGAGTCTGTGGGTGGCTGTCGAGCCCTACTCTTGATCCACATGTTCTCCCTCAGTGAGGACAAGTTTCCAGATGGAAGGTGGTCCCGGTCAGGGTTGGCTTGACATGCCTTCTTTTTGGCACGTTTCTCTCTTTCACCCTCTATTCATGCCTCTTCGAATTCTGCAGCACTGCTGGTCACAGCTGACCTCCAGTTAGAGCAATCAAAGGCCAGGGCTTCCCAGTTCTCGGTGTCTATGCCACAGTTTTATGGTTGGTTTTAAGCCCATCTTTAAATCTCTTTTCCTGTCCACCAACATTCCGTTTTCCATTCTTGAGTTTGGAGTAGAGTATTTGATTTGGGAGACGGTGATATGGGCATTCAGACAACATGGCCAGTCCAGTGGAGTTGATGGCGAAGGAGCATCGCTTCAATGCTGGATGTCTTTGCTTCTTCCAGCACACAGACATTTGTCTACCTGTCTTCCCAAGAGATTTGCAGGATTTTTCGGAGGCGGCACTGATGGAATCATTCTAGGAGTTGCGTATGACATCTGTAGACAGTCCACGTTTTGCAGGCATATAGCAGGGTTGGGAGGACAAACAAAAAGAGCAAAAAAAGATCATAATAGGAAGGGGGCAAACCCTGATTTTGTTGTTGTTGTTGTTCATTCGTTCAGTCGTCTCCGACTCTTCGTGACCTCATGGACCAGCCCACGCCAGAGCTCCCTGTCGGCCGTCACCACCCCCAGCTGCTTCAAGGTCAGTCCAGTCACTTCAAGGATGCCATCCATCCATCTTGCCCTTGGTCGGCCCCTCTTCCTTTTGCCTTCCACTTTCCCCAGCATAATTGTCTTCTCTAGGCTTTGCTGTCTCCTCATGATGTGGCCAAAGTACTTCAACTTTGTCTCTAGTATCTTTCCCTCCAGTGAGCAGTTGGGCCTTATTTCCTGGAGGATGGACTGGTTGGATCTTCTCGCAGTCCAAGGCACTCTCAGAACTTTCCTCCAACACCACAGCTCAAAAGCATCGATCTTCCTTCGCTCAGCCTTCCCTAAGGTCCAGCTCTCACATCCGTAGGTTACTACAGGGAATACCATGGCTTTGACTATGCGGATCTTTGTTGCTAGTGTGATGTCTCTACATGGGTGATCTGATTGATTCCTTCATTTTTCATCAGATTTGGGACCCAACAGAGTGACTTTTAAGTTCAAATCTCTCCAGTATTTCAAGTTGGATCGTGAAGGTTATGTGTGCCAAGTTTGGTCCAGATCCATCCAACCACAGAGGAGCCTTTGCATTACAAACAAATATATATATATACATACATAGACTTTTTTGTATAGAGCTTTTCCAGCAATTGCGTGTATGAAATCCAAAACTATGCACATGAAATAGTGACATCTCTCAGACCTTCTCAACCTCTGAGGATGCTTGCCATAGATGCAGGCGAAACGTCAGGAGAAATGCCTCTAGAACATGGCTCTATAGCCTGAAAAAAACCCACAAGAACCTAGTGATTCCAGCCATGAAAGCCTTCGACAATACAGTGACATCTCTTGTTTTCTGGGAGTAACAACATCCTTGCAAGTTATTGTTATGCTTGGGATACTGTGGTTTATATGGAAGTGTGGACCCAGTTCAAAGCAGATATTGTGGATTGTCCGCCTTGATATTAAGTGGATTATGATTTGATAATCTGGATAATATGACAGTGTAGAAGAGGCCTTGCTTAGACTTCTACACTGCCATATAAAATCCAGATTATCTGCTTTAAACTGGATTATATGGCAATATAAATTCAGATCTCATTGTGTTTAGGCAAATCTTCAAAAGCTGAAGAGGAACAAAGAAAAGAAATCTATAGAAATAAAAATGTAATGTTCTGGGTTGTTGTAGATTTTTTCGGGCTATATGGCCATGTTCTAGAGGCATTCTCTCCTGACGTTTTGCCTGCATCTATGGCAAGCATCCTCAGAGGTAGTGAGGCCACGAAAGCCTTCGACAATGTAATGTTCGTTTGTGGGATTAACAGAACTCAGAAACCACTGAATGAATTGGCACCAAATATGGACACAAGACACCTAACCACCCAATGTATGTCCTTCACTCAAAAAAATTGATTTTGTCATTTGGGAGTTGTAGTTGCTGGGATTTATAGTTCACCTACAATCAAAGAGCATTCTGAACCCCACCAACGATGGAATTGAACCAAACTTGGCACACAGTTCTCCCATGACCAACAGAAAATACTGGAAGGGTTTGATGTGCAGTGTCTTTTGGTTTTGGAGTTGTAGTTCACCTACATCCAGAGAGCACTATGGACTCAAACAATGATGGGTCTTGACCAAACTCTAAACGAATACTCAATATGCCCAAATGTGAACACTGGTGGAGTTTGGGGAAAATAGAATCTTGACATTTGGGAGTTGTAGTTGCTGGGATCCACAAGATGCAGAGCCAACCTTCAGAAATGGGGCTACAAAGTGGAGTCCACGACATGTGAGTGTGGAGAAGAGCAAACTACAGACCACCTGCTGCAATGCAACCTGAGCCCAGCCACATGCACAATGGAGGACCTTCTTGCGGCAACACCAGAAGCACTCCAAGTAGCCAGATACTGGTCAAAGGACATTTAATCAACTACCAAGCTCACAAATGTTGTATTCTGTCTGTTTGTTTGCTTTGTTCTGTTAGAAATGTAATATAATCGACTGGTTGCCCTGACACGACAAATAAATAAGTTGCTGGGATTTATAATTCACCTACAGTCAAAGAGCATTCTGAACCTCACCAATGATAGAATTGGGCCAAACCTCCCACACAGAACCCCCATGTGGGCCACAGCAACGCATGGCAGGGGATGGCTAGTCTATATAAATAAAAATGTAATGTTCGTTTGTGAAATTAACATAACTCAAAAACCACTGGATGAATTGGCACCAAATTTGAACACAAGACTCCTATCAGGTCAACAAGTGACCATCACTCATAAAAACACTGAAAAACACAGCAGAAGGGACTTAAAAAGCAAAAAACCCACCCCAAAATACAATACAACGCATGCGCAAAACCACGTATATATACACAAACACACACATATGCACACATATATGCATATAAACACACAAAACACATACACAGAAAGGGGGAAAGAAGGAAGGAAGGAAAGAGAGAAGGGCGGAGAGAAGGAGCAAGAAAGAGGGAAGGAGAGAAAGAAGGAAAGAAAGAAGGGTAGAGAAGGAAGGAAGGAGAGAAGGAGGGAGAGAATGAGGGAAAGAAGGAGGGAAGGAGAGAAGGAAAGAAAGGTAGAGAAGGAAGGAGAGAAGGAAATAAAAAAGTGAAAGAGGGAAGGAAGGAGGCAAGGAACGAAAAAGAGAAAGAGAGAGAGAAGGAAGGAAGGAAAGAGAGAAGGGCGGAGAGAAGGAGCAAGAAAGAGGGAAGGAGAGAAAGAAGGAAAGAAAGAAGGGTAGAGAAGGAAGGAAGGAGAGAAGGAGGGAGAGAATGAGGGAAAGAAGGAGGGAAGGAGAGAAGGAAAGAAAGGTAGAGAAGGAAGGAGAGAAGGAAATAAAAAAGTGAAAGAGGGAAGGAAGCAAGGAATGAAAAAGAGAAAGAGAGAGAGGAAGGAAGGAAAGAGAGAAGGGCGGAGAGAAGGAGCAAGAAAGAGGGAAGGAGAGAAAGAAGGAAAGAAAGAAGGGTAGAGAAGGAAGGAAGGAGAGAAGGAGGGAGAGAATGAGGGAAAGAAGGAGGGAAGGAGAGAAGGAAAGAAAGGTAGAGAAGAAGGAGAGAAGGAAATAAAAAAGTGAAAGAGGGAAGGAAGGAGGCAAGGAACGAAAAAGAGAAAGAGAGAGAGAAGGAAGGAAGGAAAGAGACAAGGAAGGATGGAACCAAAGAGCAAAGGAAGTGAGAAAAGAAACAGGAAGAGAAGGAAGAAAGAAGAAGGGAAAGAAAAAGAGGGTAGGAAGGAAGGAGAGAAAGAAAGGAGAGAAAGAGGGAAGGAAGGTTGGCCACAGCAACGTTTGGCGGGTACAGCTAGTACACAAATATATAAACACGCATACATACACACAAAACACATATACACAGACTGGGCCACAGCAACGCGTGGCAGGGGACAGCTAGTGGTAATATAATATGCCAAACCCTTCTGTTGCTTAGCATTCTAGCAAGGGCTGGTGGCTGGCTATCCTGGCAATGGAATGTTGGACTCCACTTCCCGGTGAGCCGCGGGAGGCGTGAGCATGCGCAGTGGGGGAAAACAAACACATGGGGCAGCTGTGTATTTAAGATCAGCTGGCTGAGGAGTCATCAGGCAGAACTGCCAGGGAAGTTATAATGGCAAGTGGGCTTCGTTATCCGGGGAAGGTGGTCATAGTAACGGGGGCCACCAGGGGCATTGGCGAAGGCATCGTCAGAGAATTTGGTGAGTTCAGAGAGAGGAGTTTTATTTTAAGTGGAAGTTAAATTTGGCTGTATTAATTCATTGAGTACAGTGGTTAGATAAAGTTAGAAGGTGCAGCTGCCCTCCAGGTGTTTTGGACTTCAACTCCCACAATTCCTAACAGCCGGTAGGCTGTTAGGAATTGTGGGAGTTGAAGTCCAAAACACCTGGAGGGCCCAAGCTTGCCTATCTAAATTTAAATTTATATTGGTTTAATCTCCAGTTTGCCTGTTAACAGAATTACTGTGTTGCGAAATGATGCATATCTTCAAAGTGTATCACCAACACTTTGAAAACTCTCCTTTAAGGGGATACAAGGATCAGACAGGCTCTCTTGCTGCCATGGTAAAGTTAAACGTCTCCCCTGACATTAAGTCTAATTTATGTCCGACTCTGGGGTTTGGTGCTCATCTTGCTTTCTAGGCTTAAGAGCCGGTATTGTCCGTAGACGCCTCCAAGGTCATGTGGCCAGCATGACTGCAAGGAGTGCCGTTAACTTCCTGCAGAAGTGGTACCTATTGATCTACTCACAGTTGCATGTTTTTGAACTGTTGGGTTGGCAGAAGCTGGCCCTAATCGCAGGAGCTCACCCCGCTCCACGGATTCAAACAGCCAATTTAATCCTGTTTTAATGTTTGCATATTGGTATATTTTAAATTGTATGCAAATACTCTTATGTTAAGCTGCTTTGAGTCCCCTTTGGGAGAGATTAAGCGGGGTATAAATAAAGTGATAATAATAATAGATTATATTATTATTATTTGATACATAACAAGATTAGTACACAGCAAACAAAATCACTATGCTGGCTGTTGTATTTGGTCACTCGTCGCACACTTCCCAAGTATCTAGGACTGTGTGATGTATCGGCAAACAATTCGTGCAGATCCGAGTAGGGTGGCCTTTTGCAGCTGACAGGTGGCAATTTTGTTGGCATCTATTTTTTTTAAGTGCAGGCCAAGGTCTTTAAACACAGCACCCACTGCGCAGATCACCACTGGGACCACCTTTATTGGCTTGTGCCAGAGTCTTTCCAGTTCTGTCTTTAAATCCTCATGTTGTGCAAGCTTCTCCAGTTGCTTCTTATCAATCCAGCTTTTGCCTGGGATTGCAACATTGACAGTCCATACTGGTCCCCCCCCCCCACCCCCCAATTGTGACGTCAGGAGTATTGTGCTCCAAAAGTCCTGGAGTAGTAACTATTCAGGCTTGTGATCCCACCAGTTATTTGTCACAGGCAGATGGTATCACCTGAGCAACTCTGTTGTGCCTCTGCTTGTATTATTATTATTATTATTATTATTATTATTAATAATAATAATAACAATAATAATAATAATAATAAGTTCTCAGTGGGAAGGAATCCCACTGGAGCATTGCAGCACACCAAAATACCTGAGAGTCATTCTGGACCATAATCTGACCTACAAGAAGCACTGCTTGAATATCAAGCAAAGAGTGGACACTAGAAATAATACCATATGAAAGCCGACTGGCACAACCTAGGGATTACAACCAGATGCAGTGAAAACATCTGCCCTTGTGTTTTGCTACTCTGCTGCTGAATACGCATGCCCAGTGTGGAATACATCTCACCACATTAAAACAGTGGATGTGGTTCTTAGTGAGACATTCTGCATTATCACAGGATGACTATGCCCCACACCGTTGGGAAGTAGCAGGCAGTAATGAAAGGACCAAGGTAATATCATATCCAGACCATCCTCAGAGTAGAGTCCACGACATGCGAGTGTGGAAAAGAGCAAACCACAGACCACTTACCACAATGCAGTCTGACCCCTGCCACATGCACAATGGAGGACCTTCTTACAGTGACAACAGAGGCACTCCAAGTGGCCAGCATCTGGTCAAAGGAAATTTAGTATAATGCCAAGTTGTTAACTTTGTGTTTTTAAATACACAATAACTGTACCCTCAATTTGCTTCTAACGCAAAAATAGTGCTCAGCTCTAGGCTGCAGATGAGACTCAGGAAGTGTGAAAGCTGATAGGAGGAAATGAGTTTGGAAATGGGTGGAGTGATCCTTCAAAACAGGAAATGCTGCCAGAATAAAAATTAGAAGTTTAATTTACTTCTAGCCACCGACAGTAATGGATTGACCAAACACACACGCAGATTATTATTGTGTTTGAATGAGAGAAAAAAAAACTGGGTGAGCATTAGCTGTTGAATTTCACCCAGTGAGGTGACATTATTAAAGATGCAGGGTAAATAAGATAATTATAAAAAAGGTACAATAGTTTTGTGGCACCTTAAAGGCTATCTCTTTTAATGTGGTGGACAAGTTTGTGATCATAGCCTGATAATATTTCATTTTGAAAACCTAAGGTTATGCTAAGTTGGTATATTCTTTTTACCTGTTTGCAGGCACACATGCAAGCATGCATATGCATGCATAGAGGAAAATATATGAAAAGCAGGGCAAAAAGACACAATTGTTAATATTTGAAATAAGCCTTTTTTAATAGGTATGCACATCACTAGGTATGCTAAACAAAGCCAATGGGAGCTGTAACCCAACTACATCTCAAAGGCTGCACATTCACCCGAATTGTACGCATTTGGGTGAATGTGAAGCTTTTGGGATGTAGGTGGGTTACGGCTTCCACTGGCTTTGTTCAGCATACCTAATATTATAATAACAGTAAAGGTAAAGGTTTCCGCTGATGTTAAGTCTAGTTGTGTCCGACTCTGGGAGCTCGTGCTCATCTTTTGTAAGCCGAAGAGCTGGCGTTGTCCATAGACACCTCCAAGGTCATGTGACCAGCATGACTGCATGGAGTGCCATTACCTTCCCGCCAAGGTGGTACCTATTAATCTACTCACATTTGCATGTTTTCGAACTGCTAGGTTGGTAAAAGGTGGAGCTAACAGTGGGAGCTCACCCCGCTCCCCAGATTTGAACCGCCAACCTTTTGATCAGCAAGTTCAACCCACTGCACCACCAGGGGGCCAATAATAATAATAATAATAATAATAATAATAATAATAATACTTTACTTATATTCTACTCTGTCTCCCCGTGGGTACTCAGGACGGATTACAGAACACCTATACGGCAAACATTCAATGCTGTTATGCAGTTAACAAGGACTGACAACACATAAATATGTAGAGGTAAATGCTTTCCGCTATTTGGAGGCTGTGCTCGATCCCAGCCACGGGGAGATACTGTTGCTCCATCTTCCATGCCGAGGAGCTTTTGTTGTCCATAAACGTCCTCCCAATCGAATTGCCAGCTTGTCCTTATGGGTGCCTTTTTATTACCTCCCCACTTAAAGCGGTACCTATTTACCTACTCTGCTGTTTTCGATCAGCTAGGTGAGCAGAAACTAGGCTGACGGTTAGGAACTCACCCTGATCCAGGTTTGAACTGTCAACCTTTTGATTTGCAGATGGTGGTTATCCCACCGTGCTAAAGCCTGGGCCTTCCATCATCTAGTGATGGAAGTTGCACACCTACAACATCTGGAGAGGTCAAATTTCCCATCTATAAATCTGAGGGTTACATAGTCTGTCAGCTGTTGTTGAACTGCCACTCCTTGCATTCACCACCATTTACTCTGCTTGGAGTTTCAGTTCAACATTTGGAAAGCCACACAATTCCCTTCCTAATTTTGATCTGTGTCCAGATAGAGAGACAAGAATACTGTCGGTCACACTGTGCAGCTGAAGATCTGCAGAATGTTGTAAACTCAGCAGGTTGTTACAAGATCGAGACAGCCCATTTCTAAACTTTGTATGTCTTGTGCAATTCTCTATAGGCTTTGCCCTACTTTGTGTATCCAGTCATTTTTGGCAGTGTCCGGATGTGCTTTTTTTCAAAGATTAACTCAAATCATTACACGGTTTGTGTGTACTGTAATGGAAGAAGCTCTAAAAAGTTGTGGTTTATCTTTCGGCAGGACATTGCTCTTATGTTCTACCGAATGTTTTTCCTATTCTAAAAACAACAACACTGATTTATTGCTGGGGACTGATAGGATTTCCTTATTAAGTTGACCACTACAGAATTATTTCCCAGCCTCTTTTATTGTGTGGTAAGGGGTGGAGGTGAAGGAATGTAAGAGCCCAAAGCATTGTTTGTGTCCTTACAAGGTGTTTCCCCTCTAGTGTAACTTGTCTGACTCAATATTAAATTGTTGCAGTTAGATGGGTGGGGGGTATTCATTTGGACTATTGCTTTAATTTTAGGCATTTGTCAGCAAACAAATCACTACCATGTTTATTCAGCATAGGTAGTGGTAGGAAATGCTGGGCAGTCTCTATTAACAACATGCCACATAATTCCTATCCCATCCTCTCTGAACGTGACATCCTGAAGATGTGTTGATCAACACTTCCCTCATGAGGTTGGTGGGAGTTGTGATCTAACACAACTGGGCATCATATTGGATGGTGTAGGAATGAGTTAAAATACAAGTTGAGTATTCTGTATCCAAAATGCTTGCTACCAGTATATTGGATCCCACCCCAGAGTTTGAAATCTCTGTATTGACTGCTTATTTATTTATTGTGTCAGGTGCAAGTTGAAGGTGCAGTTATAATGTATTTAAAAACACAAACAAATTTAAAAACTTGGCATTATACTAAATGTCATTATACTTAATGTCCTGAACCGGTGCTTGGCTGTTGTGTCGGCCTGGATGAGGGTGAACAGTTTGAAACTTAATCCAGACAAGACAAAGTACTCCTGGCCAGTTGAAAGCCCGAACAGGGGATAGGGTTACAGCCTGTGTTGGATGGGGTTACACTCCCCCTGAAGACACAGGTTCGCAGCTTGGGAGTGATCCTGAACTCATCGCTGAGCCTGGAACCCCAGGTCTCGGCGGTGGCCGGGAGAGCTTTTGCACAATTAAAGCTTTGCACCAGCTGCGCCCGTTCCTTCGGAAGTCGGACTTGGCCATGGTGGTCCACGCTCTGGTTACATCCCGAATGGACTACTGCAACGCTCTCTACGTGGGGCTGCCTTTGAAAACTTCTCGGAAGCTCCAATTAGTCCAGTGGTCGGCAGCCAGGTTGTTAACTGGAGCTGCATACAGGGAGTGTACCACTCCTCTGTTGCGCCAGCTCCACTGGCTGCCGATTAGCTTCTGGGCACAATTCAAAGTGCTGGTTTAACCTGAACAATTCTGGCCCAGATTACCTGTCCGAATGTATCTCCTACTATGAACCATCACAAAGCTTAAGATCATCAGGAAAGGCCCTGCTCTCGATCACACCACTCTCGCAAACGTGGTTGGTGGGGACGAGAGGCAGGGCCTTCTCGGTAGTGGCCCCCTGTCTGTAGAACTCTCTCCCTAAGGACATCAGGTTGGCCACCTCCCTCCTGTCCTTTAGAAGATAACTGAAGACCTGGCTCTGGGGCCAGGTGTTTGATTAAAGGCCAGCAGCAATAGGAAAAGGGAATTTGGATTTTGCAATCTGGATTCTCCTGGCTCGGCTTGGTTTTACTGGCACGTTTATCTATTAATTTATTGTTAAATTTTACTGATGATGTTGTATAATGTTTTAAAATGATTTTATTGTGAACTGTAATTTTTATGGTATTTATGCTGTTAGCATCCTCTGATGCTCATGTGAGGCCGCGCTGAGTCCCCTTTGTGGGGAGAAGGGCGGGATATAAATATATGAAATAAATAAATAAATAAATAGCTGGCTGGCCACTTCGAGTGCCTCTGGTGTCGCTGTAAGAAAGTCCTCCATTGTGCATGTGGCGGTGCTCAAGCTGCATTGCAGTAGGTAGTCTCTGGTTTGCTCTTCTCCACACTCGCATGTCGTGGACTCCACTTTGTGGCCCCATTTCCTAAGATTTGCTCTGTATCTTGTGGTGCCAGAGCGCAGTTTGTTCAGTGCCTTCCAAATCACCTAGTCTTCCATCTGCCCAGGGGGGAGTTTCTCATCTGGTATCAGCCACTGGGTTTTAGCCTGCCACTTTTGGACTCTTGCTTGCTGAGATGTTCCCGTTAGTATCTCTGTAGATCTTAGAAAGCTATTTCTTGTTTCAAAGCGTTGGCATGCTGGCTGATATTTGAAAAGAGGATGGGCCGGAGATGTCACTGCCTTGGTCCTTTCATTGCAGGCTGCTACTTCCCGGCAGATGTCAGGTGGTGCAATACTGGCTAAACAGTGTAATTTCTCCAGTGGTGTAGGGTGTAGACATCCTGTGACAACGCATCATGTCTCATTAAGAACCACATCCACTGTTTTTGTGTGGTGAGATGTTTTCCACACTGGGCAGCAGAGTAGCAAAGTGCAAGGGCAGATGTCTTCACTGTGTCTGTTTGTGATTCCCAGGTTGTCCCAGTTAGCTTTCATATGATATGATTTCTAGCACCCACTTTTTGCTTGATAGTCAGGCAGTGACTATCAGGAATGAGGTGAAATACAAGTTGAGTATTTTGTATCCAAAATACTTGCGACCAGTATTTTGATTTTTTCCCCAAAATTTGAAATGTCTGTTTTTGCTGCTTCTGCTAACAACAACAACAACAATAACAACAACCACCACACAGTCCTTGGGAAGTGTTCGACTTGTGATTTTGTGATACGAAATCCAGCATATATATCTCATTTGCTGTGATATACTGTGTTTTTGTGTCACTAAAATAACAACAAGTCATTTAATACAATGTTATATAATTTTGCATGGGTACATTAAACTATCAGAAAGCAAAAGTATCACTGACTGAGATGCTTACATGGATTTGGAGTATTTCAGGATGCTCAACCTGTAATGGAATTGTAATCCAATTGTTTTGTTTTTAATCCATTAATGTGCTCGTATTAACAGAGTTGTTATGTTTGGTCTGGCATTCATTTCCACTCCTTCTTTTCCTTCCCAGTATTCCAAGGAGCCAAAGTAGTTTTCTGTGCCCCAGAATGTGAAGGTGAGATTCCCCCCCCCTCCCTTAAATACCTAAACATTATGAGAGAGTCCATTCACTGTCTTGTTCTGAATATTTCATATTAGATTGATTAATCCAAAGGAAATGTGAACTTTCTACACCATGGCGTTGTAATTATCCTTTCCTGGAAGAAAGATGAGTATGTAAAACAGTGACCAGGAATGTCTTTGATGTACATTTCGGATAAGCATTTCCCCATTTCTGGATTGCAGCACTCACCCACTCTGATTTTTGGGTGTGATTATCAAGGCTGATAGGACTTAAAAGTCCAATAATATCTGATAGTCCATCAGTTCTTCGATCTTGATGTAGACTGATGAAAGTCAGAATGAGTAATTTCCTTCTCTTGTTTGTGGCAGAAATTAAAGAGGATTTAATTGTTAAGCTGAGAGATGCAGGGACAAGAATTCTGAATTGGTTGAATTTGTCATTTGTATAGCTGTTCTACAAGAATCCAGAATTGACCCCCCATCTTCCAGCATGTGTTCGCATTGCAAAACCAAAATTTGCTTTGCATTTCAGGGAACACTTTTCTTCTCCTTTACCACCGAACAACTCTGAATTGGGGGGTGGGATTTGTATGGTTGTGCGGCAGACATGACCAAACCTTTAGGAATTCTGGGAAGATGAAGTCCAAAACACCTGAATGGCTGAAGTTTGCCCATGCCTGCTTTATGGACTAGAAAGTTGATGTGGTTTTGAAACTTGGACCATATTATGTCTACCACAATAATTCAGTTGTCCCTCTACATATGCTTTTCCTGGGTTTAATGAATATGGTTTTTCTAGAGATTCCTAAAGAAGTGTTCTTGTAGTTCAGTTGTTGCAGGGTTTTCGGGCTGTATGACCATTGTTCCGTCTCCCAGGAGACTGATTTGCCTTATTTTATAGTTGCTTGAGGTTGCTTCCTCTTGCATTTTCTCCCAGGGGTGCTGCATCTTTGCAAGAGTCCTAAAAGCTAATAGTATCAGTCTGCAGGCCTCTTTGCAACTATTGGCTTAGAGAGCAGCTCTGAGTTTAGGGACCGCCTTTTCTCCCAGGGAAAGATCCCCATTTTAGATTCTCCCCTGCCTTTTCAGTTTGAGGAAAGATTTCAGATGTGCTGATGGCTAAGCAGTTAGCTCTGGGAAAACCATTGCAAAAACTACTTTTTAGATAAGTATTAAGCTAAACTGAGTAAGCTATATTGAGTTAATATAGATAGTATATTGTGTATTGAGCTATATTGAGATATTTTAGACAGATAAGCTTAGTTGAGAAGATTGAGTTATATAGTTATAGAGAGAGAGTCGTGACTGCTTTGTCTCCAGAACTAACCTTAAGTTATAGATAGGGGAAAAACCTGCTTTTTTTTCTAAACCACAACAGCTTGAGGTTAGGGTGTTAAGATTCCAGAATCTTATCTGCCATGTGGAGAAAAGGGTTACCTCTGTAACTAAAGAAAAGAAAGAATATTTTTGTAGTTTCATCTATTGACTGTTTATTTGCAACTTTGATGAACTGTGCCAAGTCTTCAAGGACTTTGTGTAAATAAAAATTTTTTGATGTTTAAAACCAGTACTAGTCTCAGTTGCTTAGTATCTTAAGTTTTCAAGATAGACAACTGCAGTTCGCTCAGCCATAGAGAGAAGCACGTCACAGTTTTATTTTTTATATAGTCTGGGTGGACGGCACAACCATGTTCTATAAGCATTCTCTCTTGACATTTTGCCTGCATCTATGGCAGCCATCCTCAGCCTGAAAAATCTACAACAGCCCATTGATTCTGGCCAGGAAAGCTTTCAACAATAAATTGTTCTTGTAATTTTTTAAAAAATCTTTTTTTTTTAATTTGAAGTTTTCCCACTTTTACAAGGGCTCTGTGTCCTTAACTCCAACAAAAGTGAAGAACCTAATGCAATTCCTTGAAGTATTGTCGAAGGCTTTCATGGCTGGAATCACTAGGTTCTTGTATGTTTTTTCGGGCTATAGGGCCATGTTCTAGAGGCATTTCTCCTGACGTTTCGCCTGCATCTATGGCAAGCATCCTCAGAGGTAGTGAGGTCTGTTGGAAATAGGAAAATGGGTTTATATATCTGTGGAATGACTGGGGTGAGGCAAAGAGCTCTCTGCTGAAGCTAGGTGTGAATGTTTCAGCTGACCACCTTCATTAGCATTTGAAGGCCTGGCTGAGCCTGGGAAATGTTCTGTTGTGAGGTGTTGTGCCTGGTTGTTTCCTCTCTGCTGTTTTGCTGTTGTAATTTTAGAGTTTTTTAATACTAGTAGCCAGATTTTGTTCATTTTCATGGTTTCCTCCTTTCTGTTGAAATTGTCCACATGCTTGTGGTTTCAATGGCTTCTCTGTGTAGCCTGACATGGTGGTTGTTAGTGGTTCATCAGGTCTTCAAATGCTAATGAAGGTGGTCAGCTGAAACATTCACACCTAGCTTCAGCAGAGAGCTCTTTGCCCCACCCCAGTCATTCCACAGATATATAAACCCATTTTCCTATTTCCAACAGACCTCTCACTACCTCTGAGGATGCTTGCCATAGATGCAGGCGAAACGTCAGGAGAAATGCCTCTAGAACATGGCCCTATAGCCCGAAAAAACCTACAAGAACCTAGTGATTCCTTGAAGGCTTTTCTTTCTTCCCTTGCAGTCCCAATTCCCAACACCAGGTGGTGCTGCTTTCCTGCATTTTTTGTCATGTGGAATCCTAAGGTCTATTGTTTGGAAAGATTTAACAGTTTTATACTATAGATCTAGAACTCTCTAATATAGAATTGAAAGTACGTCACCAACCTATAAGTCCCAGCATTCTATAGTATAGAGAGGCATGGGGAAAGTTCAGCACGCGAAGTGCTTTGGACTTCAACTCCCACTAGTCCTACCAGACGGTAAGATGGATGGGATTTCTGGGAGTGGAAGTCCAGAACACCAGGAGGGCTGAAGTTTGCCCATGCCTGGTATAGAGCTATGGTAGTTAAAGTGTTACCAAACTGCTATGACTATGACAACGAACATCTGGGCAACTATAATTTCTGGGTAACTGGGTAAGTTTTTGTGAGGATCATCACTAAGGTTATTGCAGATGAATGTGTGTAAAGAAAGCAAGAATCCACATGCAGGTGCACTTCATGTGTCAGTGAAGGCAAGTGATTTCTCTTACTACAATCAGAAGGGTGTAACAACAGAGGTTACAGTATACCATTGGGAGCTCTTTACAAACTCTTACTGTGCATGCTGAGCTCTCTGTTTTTCCTGCAGATTGTAGGTACTATGCACTCTGGGAAGGACCATTTGTTTTGCATGTAAGTTTGCAAAGCTGAATTAAGCAATATTTATTTTGCATACCGAAGGACTGTATTTTCTAGTATCTTTGAAGAAGACTTTTATTTTTTCTGCTGGCAAGAGGAAAGTATTTCTTTTGTGCAAGCCTATTGCAACCGTGGTGTTATTTTGTCTTCAAGGGGACTGCAGCTGGACCTTAAGTTTAGTGCTGTGTGGGACGGATTGTTTTCCTGACACTAAACGCAAAGATTTATACTCACCCTTTGAGGATATTCAGCAGGTGGTTAGGACATATAGCAAAATGGGATGATGGTTAATCTTAGCATAAAGAGTAGATATGGGTAACTGTTAGATCTGCGTCCAGTTTTTTGACCAAAATATTGAGTCTCTGTGCCTCAAATTCACATTGCCAAGTATGGGCAGCATCATGTCTCAACTGAAGGAGATCCATTGACTCAATGGTTGAATGGTACATCAACCCAAAGACAAGCTCCTAGGAGGCAATATTATCTTGCTGTTACCCCTTCATCACCTGGAATTGGAACTGACCTCCAAACTCCTCACAAACTCTGTTTACAACTGTCTTTGCAGAAGAACAGGGGAGGGCGATTGAGCAGGAACTGCAGGATTGTGGGGCTGCTGGGGAAGCTCTCTTTCAGATCTGCGATGTTCGATGCGAAAAAGCAATTCAGGTAGGTGGGAACTGTACAGAGAAAGGTCCTGATTTGGGAGAACTTCTTTGTGGTTTTGTGCTTTCAAGTCTCTGAGGATGAGATTCTGATTGGTCCCATAAGGTGTTATTGGGTGACACCTGTTTGACCCCACAACCTTTGTCTTGTGGAGTCCACGGAGTTTAGTGTTGTCCCCTATGTTGTTTAACATCTACATGAAGCCACTGGGAGAGATCATCTGGAGTTTCGGAGTACGGTGTGATCTGTATGCAGATGATGTCCAAATCTGTTACTCCTTCCCACCTGTTACCAAGGAGGCTGTTCAGACCTTGAACTGGTGTTTGGTGGCTGTGTCAGACTGGATGAGGGCTAGCAAATGGGTATTGAATCCAGACAAGATAGAGGTCCTCCTGGTCAGTCGAAAGGCCGAACAGGGCATAGGGTTACAGCCTGTGCTGGATGGGGTTACACTCCACCTGAAGGCACAGGTTCACAGCTTGGGTGTGACCCTGGACTCATTGCTGAGCCTGGAACCCCAGGTCTCGGTGGTGGCCAGGGGAGCATTCGCACCGTTAAAACATGTGTGCCAGCTGCGCCCCTACCGTGGGAAGTCTGATCTGGCCACGGTGGTCCACGCCCTTGTTACATTCCAAATAGATGACTGCAACGCACTCTACGTGGGGTTGCCTTTCAAGATTGTTCAGAAACTCCAACTAGTCCAATGGCAGCAGCTGGAGCGACATACAGCGAGCATACCACCCCCCTGTTGTGTCAGTTCCACTGGCTGCCAGTCCATTTCCGAGCACAATCCAAAGTGCTGGTCATGGCCCAGCCTCCCTCTACGTCCCACCTCAGACTTTAAGATTTTCCAGGGAGACCCTGCTCTTGGTTCCGCCTTCTTCTCAAACGTGTTTGGCGGGGACAAGAGACAGGGCCTTCTCAGTGGTAGCCCCCTACCTCTAGAACACCCTCCCCAGCAAGATTAGGTCAGCTCCATCCCTCCCCTCCTTCAGGAAGAAGCTTAAATCATGGTTCTGGGACCAAACATTTGGGGAGCAGGCTTGATAGTGATTGCAATGTTTACATGAACTGTAAATGGACAGGCTCTGACAAAGTCTTGGGATGCTGAATTGGATTGGATTTGACTAAATGATTGTTAATGTTTTTAAAATGGTTTTATTTAATGTGTAATGTGGATATATTGTGTATGTATTCTGTATGTGTTGGCATCAAATTGTTGCTGTTGTAAGCCGCCCTGAGTCCCCCTTCGGGGGTTGAGAAGGGCGGGGTACAAACGTTGGAAATAAATAAATAAATAAATAAATAAAGTCACTCAGTGGCTTTCCATGGCCAAGAGGAAATCGAACCCTGGTTTTCAGAGTAATTGTCTATGACATTACATTATGCCAGCTTCTATTGGGGTGTGCAATTTGGTTAAAGACTGTACCATTTTCAGTGTCTGGATTTTGGTGTGTCCTCCCTCCCCCTTCTGTTTCCCAGGAAGCTCCTAAACTTGGACAGGCAAATTTCCATTTTTCAATCTGGCAGCTGAAAGATCCTTTTTCCCTCTGGGAAGATCCGGCCCATTGGCAGCAATGGGGGAACTTCTGAGGCTTTGATTTGCTTGAAAGTGTGCGTTATGGATGACTATCCTGACAACTCTCAGGTATAAACTCGCAGGAATTGTATTTTGTCTTGCTAACCACCTTCCCTGCTTCTTCTCTCCTCTTTTACAGAATCTGGTTGCTGTGACCATTGAACGTTATGGATGCCTTGACTGCCTGGTGAACAATGTTGGCATCCGTAAGTCATTTCTAAAATCCTGGCGGGAAAGGACGTTTGGGAACAGTTGGGGCCCCTGTTTTTTGGGCCTGGGGAATTTTGGGGATGTGTTAAAGGCCAGGAGTAGGACTGTGAATAAAATGCACAAGTTGAGGTTTTAGTGTTAATTTACGTATACGGCCATGATTTATATTTATTTGACAATTAGTAGACATGTTCCTTTAGCCTTTTATTTCAACATTAACATCAATATCTGGGGTCCACAAACTTTTTAAAACAGAGGGCCAGGTCACAGTCCCTCAAACTGTTGGAGGGCCGGATTATATTTTAAAAAACACATAAATGAATATCTATGCGCACTGCACATGTCTTATTTGCAGTGCAAAAAATGCTTAAAACAATACAATAATTAAAATGAAGAACAATTTTAACAAATATAAACTTATTAGTATTTTAATGGGAAGTGTGGGCCTGCTTTTAGCTGATGAGATAGGATTGTTGTCATTGTTGCGGTTGTTGTGTGCTTTCAGACTTAGGTTGAACCTGAGCGAGGGCCGGGTAAGGGCCGTATCTGGCCCCCGGGCCTTAGTTTGAAGACCCCTGATCTATATCTTTTGTGTGATGTAAAATTATGAGAGGATATATCAGTGCCTTTGGGGTTTGCACTCCAGAAATCAATGCAAGACAGACAGCAGAGAGAAGGAAATATGCTATGGAAAGAACATCTAGTTATTTCAATTAGATGTCTTAGGCATAGTGAGATATTGGATGCACTGAAACTTAGGCCCTTTCCACACAGCTGAATAAAATCGGCTTTGAACTTGGATATATGGCAGTGTGGACTCAGATAACCCAGTTCAAAGCAGATATCAAGGCAGATGTGGGATTTCTGCCTTGATATTCTGGGTAATATGGCCATATGGAAGGGTCCTTAGACACAGGGAGGAGGGAGCAAGCTTGTTTGCTGCTGCCCTGGAGACCAGGATGCGGAACAATGGCTTCAAACTGCAAGAGAAGAGATTCTACCTGAACATTAGGAGGAACTTCCTGACTGTGAGAGCTGTTCAACAGTGGAACTCTCTGCCCTGGCATGTAGTGGAGATTCCACCTGAACATTAGGAAGAACTTCCTGACCGTGAGAGCTGTTCAGCAGTGGAACTCTCTGCCCTGGCGTGTAGTGGAGGCTCCTCCTTTGTAGGCTTTTAAACAGAGGCTGGATGGCCATCTGTCGGGGTGTGTTGAATGTGATTTTCCTGCATCTTGTCAGGGGACAAGATTGAACTGGATGGCCCGTGAGGTCTCTTCCAACTCTATGAGTTTGTGATTCTATAGACAGGTAGAAAGTGGAACTTAATGGTTCTCCAGTCAGATTCTTAGTCGGTTATTGCCAGCTTCCCTGTCTTGTGAGTGTGCCTTTGGACTTGGTCAAGTGGAACATCTTTTTACAATTGTGGAACCTATCTACAGTAGTTCCTGCATAGTTGCCCTTACAACTAAATTATCATGATTGGACTTAATCATGATTTCCTTCAGTCCCATAAATAAGTTGTGAGTTAGTGGAGTAGTACCTTCTTTTTTAAAAAAGTACAATAAACAAAGAGACAAATTATTCTGGATCTTACCTGCTGTGGAAACGTCTGCTTTTTTATATCCACCTGCCCACAGATCCCCCTTACAAAACAATCGATGATTTCACTGCAGAAGATTTCCGCAATAACATGGAAGTCAATGCTGTCAGCTACTTCTTAGCATCTAAGGTAAGTAATGTCAAGAAATTCACAGGAATGCTGTGAGTTTTCTGGGCCATTTTCTGAGAGCATTCTCTCCTGACGTTTTGCCCACATCTATGGCAGGCATCCTCAGAGGTTGTGAGGTCTGTTGCAAACTAGACAAGTGGGGTTTTATATATATGTGGAATGCCCAGTGGGAGAAATAACTCTTTTCTGCTTAAGACACGTGTGAATGTTGATTAACATTGAATGGCCTTGTAGCTTCAAAGCCTGGCTGGTTGTTGCCTGGGGTATCCTTTAAGAGGCATGTTAGATGGCCCTGATTGTTTCATGTCTGGAATTTCCCTGTTTTCTGAGGGTTCCTCTTTATTTACTGTCCTGATTTTATAATTTTTAAATACTGGTAGCCAGATTTTGTTCATTTTTATGGTTTCCTCCTTTCAGGCTTCCAAGGCCACTCAGTGCTAATCAAGGTGGCCAATTACAACATTCACACTTGCCTCAAGCAGACAAGAGTTCTTTCTCCCACCCTGGACAGATATATAAAACCTCACTTGCTTAGTTTCCATCAGACCTCACAACCTCTGAGGATGCATGGCATAGATGTGGGCAAAATGTCAGGAGATAATGCTTCTGGAACATGGACATACAAGCCCATAAAACTCACAGAAACCAAGTGAATCTGGCCATGAAAGCCTTCGGCAACACAAATTAACAGGAAGCTGCATTATATAACATCAGATCCATGATCTTTGTGGTAGAGTCATGCAGCTGCACAGGAGTTTCATAATCGTCACCATCATCAATACACACACACTCACTCTCACTGAAGTTCAAGGGAATAAATAACTGAATAATTTAAAACATGACACCTTAAACCTGTCTCACTCTGCCCAGTTATAGAGGTGGGGGAACTATACATCAACTCAATGTGGGTCAGCTTCTAATGTTGGTATAATCTGTTGGGCAAGTGGTCTTATTGACAGAAGACCCTCCCCATAAATGACTTATTACCAGGATTGTGACCCAGCACTGGTAACCCAAAGTAATAAAAAGAACAAAAACACACAGACCAATGTTATCTCTTCCATAGGAGGCTTTTATTTGTAGTAAAATAATATAATTGCACTATTTACCATAACAAGGTTTCCACAACACAAAGTCCTTTATACTTCCTTCTTTGCTTCCATGCTGGGCTTCTTTCTTATGCAGATAAACAGCTTTGCTCTCACAGAGCCTCCTCTCACACCAAAATTACACAGGAGCTTCACTAGTAGCTTTACATACAGCAGCCTTCACACTGGAGGTTTCTCACATGAGGCTTCTTTCACACGGAGGTTTACCTCACACTCCTCAGGACGACACTAGCTTTGGCCCACTGACTCTAACATGCTTTGGCCTACTAACTCTTTCAGTGATTGACTCACACTTTTGTAATCAAAAATACCCATTTATTTTTTAATATTTCTGGCATAATCTTCCATCTCAATTTCTCCAATTTTTTTCCATTTGCAGTATGCTCTTCCTTACCTCCGAAAAACAAAAGGGAATATCGTCAATATCTCCAGCATTGTCAATATTATTGGAGATAAGCAATCCGTAACCTATGCTGCAACCAAGGTAGGCTGGAGCAATAGGACACCCCCCCCCCCCCCCCATATTGTTCTAATGTGAGGGTTGCTATCATTTCAAGTTTGTGCTGGGAGAAAAGTGTGATATAAATAAATTATGATGATGCAGATGATGGATAAACTGTTTCAATGTTTTCCCAGTTGGGACCACTTCAGACAGGCCTGTAGCGAGGGGGGGGGGGTTAAGGGTTCAACCCCCCCCCCCGAAATGTTTCAGATTTTTTAAAAAAATTGGTTTACTCATGAATTTTAACTGGTTAACCAAATCCCCATGCTAAGTCTATGAGACGCAAAAAATTAAGAGTCCCTCCAGAACTGCAAGCACTATCTCAAGCAAATATTGACAATTTATTCACACTGTCATTACTGGCAGCCAGCATCTCTGTGTACGAACCCACACAATCTCTTCGTTCATCTGGAGAGGCCCTACTCACGATCTCACCTGCATTGCAAGTGCAATTGGCAGGGACGAGGGATAGGGCTTTCTCGGTGGTGGCCCCTCGACTCTGGAACTCTCTCCCTCAGGACATCAGGCAAGCCCCAGCCAGGATAACTGCATGCCCATCCCCCTCCAAACACCTACCCTTTTCACCTGGTCATGCCCAGCACTTTTTAATTTTAATTATTACATTTGGCCCTGCCACAGATTATAATTGCGTCATGGTGTGTTGTTAATGTTATTGCCTTGGTTTTGAGTTATTTTGCTGTATTGTTGTTGTTTTTACTGTTGTATTTGGGCTCGGCCTCTTGTAAGCTGCACCGAGTCGTCCGGGAGATGGTAGCAGGGTACAAATAAAGGTCTATTATTATTATTATTATTACTGTCATTGTGGGGTGTGTGTGTTGAATGCTCTCACTAAGGAGGTCAGACTTGGTGGAGGTGGTTGACAGGGGCAGAGCTGCAGACTATTGAAGGCTGCTCTGCCCCCTGCTGTGCTCTTTGCTTCAGCATGAGCTAGGAGGCAGGTTTCAATTCCCCCCCCCCCCCCGCGAAATTTTCAACCTCAACCCCTCCCGAAATTTTTTTCTGGCTACGGCCCTGACTTCAGATGAGGTTCTGCCTCTAAAGGCTGTATAGATGTATTTCAAATATATGTGTAATAAAACAAATCATTCAATTTATAGGGTGCTGTTACTGCGATGACAAAAGCTTTGGCCATCGATGAGAGCAAGCATTGTGTCCGAGTCAATTGGTAAGATTGTTGTTAATAAGGGGCTATCAAGATTCTGGGATCAATTATCTTTTGAGTTTTCCTTGAAACATATTAGGTCAATGTAATGTCTCATAAATGTTGGTAGTTCACATGTTTTGGTCTTTTGTTCCAAATGTCCCTCTGTATTGTCTATACTAGCTGGTGTTTTACTGTTTTGAGGGGGAGATTGGCCCATTGCCCTTTCCTATGTGCCACATTATAAGTCAACATATCTAGAGTGCCAAATGTTTCGAAATAATTCAGACTGTTCTCATTTTGGCTGTAATTCCAAGGTATTTCAAGAAAACATGCTTGGGATTCCCATATATCTGAATTGCCTTTTTTGTACGCCGCCCTGAGTCCTCCTTTGGGGGTTGAGAAGGGCGGGGTAAAAGTACCAGAAAAAATAAATGATGTGCTTCACGTGGCCTCAAATAGAATGAAATGGGCCCATATGAGGTTGACACTTTGGCACTTTAGTTGTAATCTGAAGACAGCTATTTTAACTACAATTGAGTGTGTTTTAAACTGTGTATTTATTTTATTTTATCTGTTAATAGTGGTTGTTTTTATAACTTTTATGTGATACTGTTTTTATACTCGTACTGTTTATGTTATATACTACAACTTGTGGTGCCTTGTAAGCCACCCCGAGTCCCTTTTGGGAGATGGTGGTGGGATATAAAAGTTGTTTATTATTATTAGTCACAGTGTGTCACATCAAACAAGATCTATATGCTGGATTTCTTCTTCTTCTTCTTCTTCTTCTTCTTCTTATTATTATTATTATTATTATTCTGTTGGGACGTGTTATGCTTCTAGGAATCTTGACATATAGCTCACCATGTGGGGAATATCTTTGCTCCTTTGAAAAAGTTTAAACAATTTGAATTCTAGCATCTCACCTGCCAATATCTGGACTCCAWTGTGGGMAARGCTTGCAAGCGAARCACCTGATCCAGAAGCASYGATCCARMAAGGMAAAGATGCTCAGGCAAGTCCATGATGGGCCTGGGGCWACTRGATAGGAGGGATTTCTAGTTTATACAAGGAAAWCGTGARGAGGAGTGTGGATTTGCTTATTCATGGATTTGATTGTTASTGGATTTGATTAGTATAGTCTCTCTACATCCTCCACACATGACCTTGGRGGGTGTCTAAGGACAAYGCYRGCTCTTTGGYTTAGAAATGGARATGAGCACCAACCCACCCAGAATTGGACATGACTGGACTTAATGTCAGGGGAAAACCTTTATCTTTACCTTTAGATCCTCCAGTATGAATCTATGGTCAGCTTCTGATTGAAAGTGACAAGAATTGTGCTGGAGGACCTTGAAATTCCTAGGGTGGTTTAATCATATTTTTTATTTGTGCCTTTCCCAGTTTTGTGGGGGTTCTGTGCCCTAATCCAAGCAAATTTAGAGGTTTGACTGTGGATGTTTTGTCTGTTTTCAYTGGGAAGGCATAGGTATTTCAGTTAGCATGCCAAATCTAAGCATTAGAAATCCTTTGGAGCATGCCTTCTAATTTCTGAGATTTTTTATAAGGCTTAAGGGCGGGAAACTTGTGGGGGTGTTATCTATTTTAACTGAAGGCAAAAAGTCTTGGAGGAAGAAAACAAATGGAATAGAGATGTGTGTGTATGTTTTTATCCACTGATGAGAATAAGCATAGAGTATTAATTTTGCGCCATCTTCTTTCTTCTCCATTGTTTCCATAGCTTTTGGGACGGATGGGGAACCCTGCAGAGATTGCCAAAGCCGTCCTGTACCTTGCTGCCGATGCCACATTCTGCACAGGATTTGACCTTGTGCTTAGTGGTGGAGCTGAGCTTGGCTATGGTCATAAGAGCCCATTTACTCCTGGTTGTGACTCTAAAAAGTAGTGGAGCCAACCAAGATGGGAGGACTACAACAAGGTAGGGTGGGGAGAGCTGTTAGAACATCAATCTGCCGGATTTCCATTGAGGTAGATGACTACTTCATAGGGTAGTTTATCCCTCTGTTGTAGGCCATGTCTACTTCTAGATCAGGCGTGCACAATCTGTGGCCTTCTAGGAGTTTGGATACTCCAACTCCCAGTAGCCCTAGCCAGCTTGTCCAGTGGTCATGAATTCAGGAAGTCCCAAAAACTTGGAGGACCACAGACAGTGCAGACCAGTTCTAGATGTTTGTTTGAATATAACTCCCAGCAGCCAGCAGCTAACACAGCCTATGGAAAGAAAACACTGAAAGTTGCAGTCCATGTGATTCCCATTCTTGCATTGAGTAATTGTGGTGTTCTTCAGAAACATGATAAATTCAGATATGCTACAAAGATGAAGAAGGTGCTTTGTCCTAAGGGACTCTTGCTGTTTTTGAAAACAGAATGACAACAGCTGCAGCTTTTCCAATCACTGCATAACCTTATACCAGGGGTCCTCAAACTAAGGCCCAGGGGCCAGATACGGCCCTCCAAGATCATTTGCCCGGCACTCGCTCAGGGTCAACCTAAGTCTGAAACGACTTGAAAGCACACAACAACAACAACAATCCTATCTCATCAGCCAAAAACAGCCCCACACTTCCCATTGAAATGTTAATAAGTTTATATTTGTTAAAATTGTTCTTCATTTTAATTATTTGTTGTTTTAAGTGTTTTTTGCACTACAAATAAGATATGTGCAGTGTGCACAGGAAATGGTTCATTCTTTTTTTAAATTATAATCTGGCCCTCCAACAATTTGCGGGACTGTGACCTGGCCCTCTGTTTAAAAAGTTTGAGGACCCTTGCCTTATAAGATAAGGCTGGAAAAAAAACCTCTGTGTTCTCCTCGATCTGTGGTTTCCAGCATTTAGTCCTTCAAGTGTTTTGCACTTCAGCTCCCATAATTTTTTCTGTTTTCTGCTGCCCTGGAGACTAGTTGTTGCCTTCATTTGTTGACTTCATTTGGTTGATAAGTTTTAAGGCACCCCTCTCACAGCCCCCATCTCACACCCAGTGACTATCATCTGTTCACTAAATTGAAGGAACATCTTGGTGGAAAACGTTTTTCCGCTGATGAGGAGCCCCCATCTTTTCCGCTGACGAGGAGGTGAAAATCAAAGTGACAAACTCGCTGAAAAAGGCGGAGCGAAACTTCTATGGCACAGGCATCAAAAACTTGTCCCACAGATGAAAAAATGTATTGAACTGAATGGTGATTACGTGGAAAAATAATGTAATGCCAATGCTACACTAAGTAAGTTTTATTAAAATATTTTCATTCTTGGTATATATATTTTTTAAATCGTGTATCCTTACTTTCCAAATAACCCCCATATAACTAGAGAGCATTTTTGTAAAATGCTGGATCAACTATAGAACTTTGTACCAAGAAGATCAGAGCAATATGTGATTAACTCCAAAGTTTGTATAAGGAATTCTGCCTGCTGTATACAGTGCGCTTCCCTCTCCCACTGCGGAAGGGGAAGAGCTCCATTTGTTGAATTTCCTGTTGGTAAAATGTGCAAAACTGTTATGAACCACAGCCTATCTGTTGCCTTTTGAATATTGAGTGGGCACATTGAAGTTACACAGCTGGCTCCAAAATGCAAGAATCTAGGGCATGTATGTGATCTTTAAGCCTCAGACAAACAAGCTTTTCAAAAAATAACTTCAGGTAACAAGTACTTTCCACTTTGTTTTTAAAAACATGTTTATTAACTTTAATTTGAAAAAATAGGAAGTAAAAATTGTATAAAGAAAATGCATGAACATCATAAACACACCTGCCCACCGATAAAAATTATAAACCATCGCCAGTGTGTTCAAAGGACTTCTGCTTCTACTTTTAGTCACCTTTGTAACAAGTAATCAATTTTTATCTTGAGATTAACCTTGCATTGGGCTATAATTTGCTCTGGGAAAAGAGCAGGAACAGTCATTAATAATGTGTGCAAATAAGAGCAGCCTTCCATTAAGATACCAAAGATTTATGATTACTTACAAACCTGTTTCTTTTTTCAAAAACAGGGATGAAACAAGCCAAATAGTGCCTTGTCACGGATGAGCAAACGTGTTTGCATTGATGTCCAGAAGACTTCAGAATTTGAACTCATGATTGTCACACACCAGCACTGGAACAAAACCTGCTTTGAGATGTGAAAATCCGATTTAACAATTAATTTAATGGGAACATAATTCAGGAGTTTCTCCTGGATGCATGTGCAGTGTAGAATAAACAGTTTGGCACCACTTTAACTGCCATTGCTCAATGCTACAGAGTGTTGTGAGTTGTAGTTTTTCAAGGTCTTTAACCTTCACTGCCAGAGGACTCGTGCCTCACTAAAGTACAACTCACATGATTGCATAGCATTGAGACACTGGTGTTAAAGTGGCATCAAATTGCACTAATTCTACAGTATAGATCAGGCATGGGCAAACTTCGGCCCTCCAGGTGTTTTGGACTGCCACTTCCACAATTCCTAACAGCCTTGGCTGTTAGGAATTGTGGGAGTTGAAGTCCAAAACACCTGGAGGGCCGAAGTTTGCCCATGCCTGTTATAGATACTATCTTTTTTTGTAAACAGCAAGTCATTTATCTCTCATATGCTTTCCCGTAGCTGTATTTAGTTTAGGAATCTTTGTTTTCTCCTTGATGCATCTTTTCTGTCTAAACCAATGAATTAAAAAATATCAACACTGGATGTGTAAGTTTCTCCTTCTTTACCATTTCAAGTCCTAAGCTTTTGAGAAAGTTATTGGTTTAAACAAACAATACACTCCCAAAATGATTTCTAGAGTTTGCACATGTTCTTGTTCTCCTTCCTTATTATTTGCCCTGTTACTGCTGCTAGCTGTGCATGCATTTATTCCTGTGTGAAGCAAGCAAACACATGTGCTCCTTGAAGAGTGTTCCTACATTCACAGGTACATACTGAGTAATGCCTTAAGCACACACAAGTAACTTTCTCAACATCCTTCTCCTTTTATTCACCTTTGTGCCATAAATGTTTCTGATCGTAGCCCATCCTTCAACATTTTTCCTTGAATGACCTATTTCTGTTTGGTGAGCTTTTGGGGCACTGTTGTAGAGATAAGACAGGCATTTGATCTGTAGCTCATCTGAGAAGTATGAGCTACAGAAGTAGGTTTTAAACATAGACTGGGTGATGATCTGTCAGGAGTGTTTTTAAAGTATTTTTATTGAAAGAGAAAAACAACAACAAAATAAACTATATATGTGTATATATACACACACAGTGTGTCTGTCTCTATGTTGATGTGTAATATTTATGTTTTGTTTATCTGCTTTTATGGTCGCACTTTGCAGCATTGACTATTTTCTGCTGTATGTTGTGAACCGCCCTGAGTCCCCATTGGAGAGATAGGGCAGGATAGATATAGTATTATTATTATCATTATTATATTATGTGTGTGTGTGCACACACCTCTAGAATATTATCTATCTGGTGTGTGTGTGTGTGTGTGTGTGTATGTATATGTATACATATAATAGAGAAAGATAAAAACCTTCAGACAGTGCGAGGTCCATAGATTAGCCTTTTGGTTAGACAGATTTGTTTTTGTACATGCGTGTGCACTTGTTTTAGCTTTGTGTTTGTTTTGTTATTTGTACAACATATTTAGTTGTAGTGTTGTAATAGTAGTAGCTTGTGAGTAATCAGGAGTGCTTTAATTGTGTCTTCCTGCATGGAAGGCAGAATGGGGTTGGATTATATGGCCCTTATGGTCTCTTCCAACTTTTCAGTTCTATGTAGACTCTCAAGCAGCTGGCAAAGAAAATTCAACTAAAATGTCATACTATCTTCACAAAGCTGTTTTTACAATACAGTAAAATTTATGTATGTTTCCCTTAATATAAGTATGTATGTTTCCCTTAATACTTGGTCAAAACTCCTTTGTTTGCAAACTTCCCTTTTTCCTCTCCATCCTCCTCTGCCCTTCTAGCGGAGAGGGAAATGATTGCCAAATCCAGTAACTGGCTAAATATTGTGTGCTTTGTGGAAATATAGTCTGTTAAATGCTTTTATAAAGGAATACCTTTGGGTTTGTTTTAAACAACTTTCTCTGTCTCTCTCCCTCTGCAGAAGGGATGAAACTTCAGCTAAAGTACTGGTGGTTCCATGTGTATAAAATGACCTTAAGTTGCTAACCTTCCCTTACTATTTCTTTGCCCCAGAACCTATCTCTCCGTTAACCAAACAAAATATTCCCTTTCTTGTGTTGCTTAATCTCTTTCCCTTTCAATGTTACAGAGAGCCCATGACCTCTACAATTCTAGCAAAGGCGCGCGCTCTCTCTCTCTCTCTTTCTTTCTAAAGCCTTCCTGCCCCAAGGGGAAATGTGCCCTTTTTCCTAAACTGTAAGCTAGCTCTTTTCCCCACTTCCTGCTTTAGAAGTTAAATCATTGTCTCCCCTCTTCCTTGCTGGGACTTGTAGTTCCCCCAAGTCCTCTTTGTCTTTCCTCTCTAAAGCTTGAACTCTTTCTTTCTGTGGTCTAGACCTTCTATCCTAGGACAGGCAAGGCTCTCATTGCCTTCAGCTCCCCTCTCCCTCTATCTTTCCTGGATGCAAGTGTGTGGATGTTTTTCTTTCCCCTAACAATCCTTTTTAACTGTTCTAACATGTCCAAGGCATGCATGTCTAAGGCATCTTGGCACTTGAAGACTGCTGGCAGCTGATCCAGGTCCTCTTGTGCAAGTTGGACTACAGGACCCATCATCCATTCCTGCTGCAACAAGCCACCATGGGAAGCTGGGGCCGGGGGCTAGTCCTGAGGGCGCCTGGAGAAAATAAAAATCGGACCTTGGGCAACCACCGGAGGAGTTGGATTGTGCTTTGGCATGGTCTACCACGTGCAGATCTGCCCTTGATGGAGCTATAGGCCCTTTCTTGTGAGGCAAGCCCAGTTGCTAGGTTGCCCAAGGAAGATGGCCCCACTTGAGCCTGGCACAGGACTGAAAGGGTCTTTGAGTGAAATTTGCAAATGCTAAGCAAGGGGCTTTGAATGAAATTAACAGCGAAAGAGAAATATACCCTTTCTCTGTGGAAAAGGAGCAACACAGAAGAAAATGTTTTTAAGAAATGAGATGTGACATGTAGTGGTCATACAAAGTTCAAGCCTACATAGGAAGTAGTTGTGTTGTGGTTAAATTCAAAGGTTGTGGTTAAGCGCAGAGTCTGCAGGTACAAGAAGGTACTTGCCATCAAAAGGTCAAGGGAGGGGGGCTGGAAAGAGAATACTTTCTATGACTTATTACTTGAGTATAAAAGTCAGCAGAAAAAGAGGAGGGGTGCAGCAGTCACTTGAAGGGTAGGATCTGTGTATGCTGCCAGGCTGTCCGCCTTTTTCATGAAGAAACTAAAATAAACCTTATTTTTTGATCTTTTTTGGGGGACTGTCTCCATCYTTATGTGCTCCCATGATGTGGACCTAAGAAGACCCAATTTAGGGTCTCTAACAGGACCAAGGCCGGCCCTAGGTAATTTTCAAGTATAAGCAAACAGTATTTTGGTGCCCCCCCCCCCCAAACCAATCATTGAAAAATAAAAGGTAGAAGGTAGAGATGAATAAAAGAGTTACCTTATAAACCAGAAGTTTACTTACAACATTATGTTCATATAGTTACATTACATAGAATTAACACAAATTAACTTTTTTTAACCAGACAGCTAACTCTTACAAAAGCATGCAAAAGGAGGCCCCTCATGCATCTAATGTAATTTATTTTTTGATTTTTTGTTGTGTTTTTGTGTTTATATTGTGTTTACTGTATTGATGGGCGTAGCCTTATGTCAACCGCCCCGAGTCCCCTTGGGGGAGATGGAGGCGGGGTATAAATAAAGTTTATTATTATTAATAATAATGTGCATCAAGATGTCATAAGTAACTGGTCGCAAAAAAAATGTGGTCCCTTCAACACTGACATACAATTCAGATTATCAGATCAATCCACAAAAAAATCATAGAATCAGAGTTGGAAGAGACCTCATGGGCCATCCAATCCAACCCCCTGCCAAGAAGCAGGAATATTGCATTTAAATCACCCTGACAGATGGCCATCCAGCCTGTAGACGGTCCTTGTTTCGCAGGCGTATAGGAGGGTTGGGGGGACAATGGCTTTATAAACAAAAAGAGCATAGAAGATCATGATAGGAAAGGGGCAAGCCCTGATTTGACCAAATCAATGAATCCCTTTCTGCACTGCCATATAATTCAGTTTCTGAATCCAGATAATCAGCTTTGAACTGGATTGTATAGCAGTGTAGACAAATATAATCCAGTTCAAAGCAAATCATCTGGATTCAGAAACTGGATTACATAGCAGGGTAGATCCAGCCTGAATCTACACTGTCATATAATCTGGTTCGATCTGCATTATAATGGCAATGTAGGCTCTATCTACACTGATATATAATCCAGATTATCAAATAAAACAGTCCAGATTATCTGCTTTGAATGGAATATATGGCCCCTTCCACACAGCTGTATAAAATCCATATTGATTTGAGTTATATGGCAGTGTGGACTAAAATAACCCAGTTCAAAGCAGATTTTGTGGATTTTCTGCCTTGATATTCTGGTTATATGGCTATGTGGAAGGGCCCCATGTGACCCCTTTTACACTGCCATAAAAATCCAGATTATCTGCTATAAATTGGATTATATGGCAGTGTAAACTCAGATAACCCCGTTCAAAGCAGATATTGTGGATAGTCTGCCTTGATATTCTGGGTTATATATAGCTGTGCAGAAAGGCTATATAAAATATAAAAATCAGATTATTTTACTTGGACTGGATTTATATGGCAGTGCAGACTGACTCATATAGTCCAGTTCAAAGCAGATCACATGGATTGACTGCCTTGATATTCTGGGTTATAGATAGCTGTGTGGAAGGGCCCTATAAAATTCTGATTTTTTTCTTCGTGGTCTCTGCGAATGCACACTTGTGGAGAGTCTGCGCCTGCGCGGGCTCCAACGGAAAACTTCTACTTTTGAAACTTTTAAGTTTTGGCGGTAACCCCGCCCAGCCCCGGCAGGGGATAAAAGGGCGCCCCGCGGCGCCGCTCCAATTCCTTTCTTTCCGCCGCACGGCTCACTTCGGTGCTTCTTGTGTAGGATAGTTAGTGATATTGTTGAATAGTGTTGGATAGCGATTCTTCTCATCTTCATCGAGTTGTTGACCGGATTATGTCAACAACTCGCTTCAAAAAGTGTGCGAGATGTCCGAAAAAGATCCCTGACTCGGACAGTCATTCGCTCTGTCTTCTGTGCCTCGGCGAGGCGCACATCACATCGACGTGTCGTCATTGCCAGGCCTTGACGGCACAGTCCCGAAAGAACCGGGAGCATCGTCTTCGGTACCTCCTGTACCAACAGGCTTTGGCCCCGGTACCTTCGACGTCGGCGGCGTCGACATCGGCCACGGTGTCCCGGCCTGTTTATGGGTAAGGGAGTGGGGGGGGGACGTGAGGGGTGCTAGGCCTTGACGGCACAGTCCCGAAAGAACCGGGAGCATCGTCTTCGGTACCTCCTGTACCAACAGGCTTTGGCCCCGGTACCTTCGACGTCGACGTCGGCGTCGACATCTGCCACGGTGTCCCGGCCTTCGACTTCGACATCGGCCACGGCGTCCCGGCCTTCGACAACTGTTGGTCCCTCGACACAGGCTGTTACCCGACAGAAGAAGGTGGCGCAAAAGAGGCCAAGGGCTGCGATGTCGACGACCTCGAAGACCTCGGTGTCGGTGGCTTCCAGGGCTCCACGACCTGCGAAGCAACCACCTCCGCGCTCGGTCACTACCGAGACCGTGCGCATTCGACACTCCTCCACTAGCTCTGTGGCATCGGTGAGGTCGGCTGTCTCTACGAGGTCGACATCGACTCCGCCATCTTCTACGGCGGTTCGAATTGCTTTCCGCCGATCTCAGGAGGAGGCTCGACGTGCATCCACCCCGTCTCCTGTTCCGCCCACCCCGGGCAAGTCTGTTTCTACAACTGCACAGCCTCCAGCTAAGAGAAAGAAGACGATGCCGCCTCCACCATCGCCGTCTTCATCTTCTCACCGACGCACCGCCTCCTCGGTCTCTTCTTCAGCGAGATCGTCGCCGGTACGGCCTACCGTATCGCACCCGGTTCCACAGCCTGCCCAAGAGCCGCAGCCTGTCTCCCTTCCTCCTCCACTGTCTGAGCAGCCCGTGTCCCCGGAGATCTCGGTGGACACAGTCATCGAGGCTTCTTCCCGGCTCCTGACGGCTAGACAGGAGCTTTTCCCGACGGTTGCTTCCTTGACGACTGTGACAGCCATACAGGAGACCCAGTCGGTACTTCAAACCCCGGAAAGGGGTAGGCAGACCACGAGGCTAGCCAGCGCCATTCGGGCTTCGGCCTCAAAGGCCCCTCCACCGCCGCCTCTTCAGCTGCAGAGTCGAGATGCCTCTTCATCTCCACCACCCCATTCCCTACCTCCTGATGACGAGGAGGAAGAGGGCGAACTGCCGGGATCGGTGCGTTCGGGATCGGTGCTGTCTCTCGGGATCGAGAAGTCTCCCACCCATGATGCTTATGAGGCAGATCCCCCATCCCCAACTGACAACGTCCGAGCCTTTGCGGACCAAATGGCTCGGATGGCTGAGACTCTAGGCCTGGAGGTCAAGCAGACTTCCACGGCAGTGACTGATCCGGTGTTCAAAAGGGTGCAGAAGAAGTCCCCACCAGCTCCTCTGCTACCTTTCCTCCCCTACCTGCTGGAGGTGATCCAGGGCTCCTGGAAGACCCCCTCCTCCATCCCTCCAACCTCCAAGAAAATTGAGTCCTGGTACAGAACGGACGATGAGGGCTTGGAGTGGCTGAAGCACCATCCCGACCCTAACTCGGTGGTCGTGAAAGCGGCTCAGGGTTTCGGAAGGCAGTCGTCGGCGCCCTCCGACCGCGAGGGGAAGAGATTCGATGCAGTGGGCAGGAAGCTCTACTCCGGTGCCCTCCTGCTGGCACGTATGGCCAACTATGGAGCGTGCATGGGGGCCTACCAACAAATTTTGTGGGAGAAGGCGGAGCCGTTCTTCCAAAGAATGTCGGCAGAAGACCGTGCCGCCATGTCGACCCTTGCTCAGGAGGCCCATTCACTAGCACATCACCAGATGCAGATGGCCAAGCATACCGGGGACACTGCCGGGAAGATGATTGCCCATGCAGTAGCAATCAGAAGGCATGCCTGGCTAAGATCTTCAGGCCTCTCCACATCATCGAGGCAGGTGATTGAAGATCTGCCGTTTGATGCCCTGGGACTTTTCAATGCGGGCACAGACGATAAATTGAAGTCCAACCATGAATTCAAAACCCTTGCCTCCAAGTGTGGTTTTGAAAACCAGGGTCAGGCGCAGCGTACCAGGTGGTACCAGCACAAGCGCAGGCATACGGTCCCGTACCGTACCATCCAATACAGGCACCCAGCCCGTCCCTCGCAGTCTCCTCTACAACCCCAGCCTCAACAGCCTCAACAACAGAGGCGCCAACACCAGCAGCAGCGTCAGCGCTCTAGGCAGACCTCAGGAGGCAACCAGGCCAGGCGTCGAATTTGACGCTCTGGTGGACGATACCGTTTATGTTTCCGTTACAGATGCTGTTCCCATGTCCCCCCCAATGGTACCCGCCCTCATCTTTCCATCCGGCTTGACACCTTTCGGGGATCGTCTGACAGACTTTCTCCCTGCATGGGAAAATATCACCTCAGATGCATGGGTTTTAAAGATTGTCGACGAAGGCTATGCATTGGAGTTCGAAGAGCTCCCACCAACGGGGCAGATTGTCGAGACCGAACCATCCTCGGCAATCCTAACAGAGGTCAACACTCTACTACTGAAGGGGGCGATTTCCCCTCTCCCGGACTCCCAAAACCACCGAGCCTTCTTCTCCAGATACTTTACTGTCCCGAAGCCGGACGGCTCCCTCCGCCCCATCCTCGACCTCAGAGACTTAAACTCTTTCATCGAGCATCGAAAGTTTCGGATGGTGACGGTGTCGTCCATCGTCCCCTTCCTCCGGTATGGGGACTTCTTCGCGTCCGTCGATCTCCGGGACGCCTATTTTCACCTGGCAATCAGGAAACATCACAGACGCTTCCTGGCCTTCAGAGTAGCGGGACAATCATACAATTTCAATGTCCTCCCCTTCGGTCTCGTGACGGCACCGAGGACCTTCACGAAATGCATGTCGGTGGTCGCAGCAGCCCTCAGACGGGAAAAGATCCGAATTTTCCCTTATTTAGACGACTGGTTGTTGGCGGCACGTTCACCGGACCTGCTGCGAGTCCAGGTGGCAAGGACACTCTCCCTCCTCGAAGACCTGGGCCTACAGCTCAACGAAGAAAAATCCCAACTCCAGCCCACCACTTGCATAAAGTTCATCGGCGCCATGTTCGATTCTCTCTCCCAGACGGTTTCTCTTCCGGAGGAGAGATTCAGAGCGCTACGGACCGAGACACTGAAGGTGCGTCGTTCCCGAGTGGTCTCGGCGAAGCAGGTGCAAGTCCTCCTCGGGCACATGGCCTCCACGGTGATGGTGACGCCGTTTGCAAGGCTACGCTTCCGTCCCTTACAGAGGTGGTTCTTGGACCACTTCAACCCCATGCGGGACAGTGCCGCGAAGCGTCTCTTGGTACCGAGGTCGGTAAAGGACTCTTTGGCCTGGTGGACGAGACGCGATCGTGTCTGCAAAGGCCTTCCTTTTCATCCAGATCCCCCGACCGTCACAATCACGACGGATGCATCGATGTTCGCATGGGGATGCCATACAGGAGACCTCTCAGTTCACGACCTTTGGTCTCCGCAAGAGAGACAATGCCACATCAACTACCTAGAACTATTGGCAATATTCAAGGCCCTGAAGTCCTTTGCCCTCCTGGTTGCCGGGAAATCGGTCCAGATCCTGACGGACAACACGGTGGCTATGTTCTACGTGAACAAGCAGGGCGGGACGGGCTCGAGGAAACTCCTCGCGCTATCGATGGAACTTTGGGAATGGTGTGTGGCCAGGTCGGTGTCGATATCGGCAATACACCTCCCAGGCGAAATCAACACCGAGGCCGACGCACTCAGCAGAACCAGGGCAACATCTCACGAGTGGAGGTTGAACCCCGATGTGCTGGAGATCTTCGAGGAATGGGGCCTTCCAGTCGCAGATCTCTTCGCGTCGCCGCAAAACGCTCAGCTCCCTCAGTTCGGTGCTCGGCTTGCTCCGAACACGGTACCAGGGTGCCTCGGAGATGCGTTCCTCTTGGACTGGTCGAGGCACCTGCTCTACCTCTTCCCACCGTTCCCGCTCCTCCCGAGGGTGATCGAGCGAATCCAGTCGGCACGGACGGACTGTATCCTGGTGGCTCCAGAATGGCCTCGACAACCGTGGTTCCCGGTCCTGCTCCAGCTGTCTCGGGGACGGATGAGGCGCCTTCCACTTCGGCAGGACCTGCTATCTCGAGAGGATGGTCGACTCCTCCACCCCGACCTCGCTTCTCTGCATCTCTCGGCGTGGAGGATCCGGTGCTGAGGTCGCTGTGCCCGGGAGTCCTCCCGATCTTGGAGGCAGCGCACAAGCCGGCCACCAAGAAATGCTACTCTGCTTGCCTTAACCGTTTCCAGGTCTTTCTCTTGGAAAAGGGCCTGGTCGACCATCGACCGTCGATACCGACGATCCTGTCTTTCCTGCTGCACCTCACGGAGCGGGGACTATCGTTGTCTTCACTCAAGTCGCATTTGGCCGCCATATCGTGGCAGCTCCAGAGAACGGGGGAGGCTTCCCTGTTCAAGAACAGTTCTGTGAAATCCTTTTGCAGCAGGGGCATTGGCGAAGGCATCGTCAGAGAATTTGGTGAGTTCAGAGAGAGAGAAGTTTTATTTTCAAGTAGAGGAAGTTTAGGTTTCATTAGTGAATAAATAGAGTGATTAAGGTGGCTCCATGCAGTCATGCCGGCCGCATGGCCTTGGAGGTGTCTACGGACAACGCCGGCTCTTCGGCTTAGAAATGGAGATGAGCAACAACCCCCAGAGTCGGACACAACTAGACTTAATGACAGGGGGAAACCTTTACCTTTACCTTAGTGTGATTAGACAAGGTTAGAAGATGCAGCTGCCCTCCAGGTGTTTTGGACTTCAACTCCCACAATTCCTAACAGCCGGTAGGCTGTTAGGAATTGTGGGAGTTGAAGTCCAAAACACCTGGAGGGCCCAAGTTTGCATATGACTGGTATACACACTTATTATTGTTTATTTATACCCTGCTTTAACTCTCCCAAAGTGGCTGTGTGTTGTGACATGTTGCTGTATGTAGATATGTCACGAGAATGTAGTTAGAAACCTCTGACTGTATGCGAAATAAGCAACCAATTAAATAATTTTAAAATTGCTGGCATGTCCTTATGGGTGCTTTTTGACTACCTCCCCCCTTAAAGCGGTACCTATTTATCTACTCACATTGCTGTTTTCAATCTGCTAGGTGAGCAGAAGATGGGCCGAGGAGTAGGAACTCACCCTGACCTGGGTTTGAACTGTCAACCTTTGGATTGGCAGGATTTTATGCAGCTGGTGGTTAACCCACTGTGCTAAAGCCCGGCCCTTCCATCACCAAGGGCTTCCATCACCTTCCATCACCTCTGAACATGAGGAAGAACTTCCTGACTGAGAGCCGTTCAGCAGTGGAACTCTCTGCCCCGGAGTGTGGTGGAGGCTCCTTCTTTGGAAGCTTTTAAACAGAGGCTGGATGGCCATCTGTCAGGGGTGATTTGAATGCAATATTCCTGCTTCTTGGCAGGGGGTTGGACTGGATGGCCCATGAGGTCTCTTCCAACTCTTTGATTCTATGATTCTATGAATTGCAAACCTACAATATCTAGAGAGTTCAAATTCCCCATCTATAAATTTGAGGGTTACATAGTTCTGTTGTCAAACTGCCACTCCTAGCATGCCACCACCATTTACTCTGCTTGGAGTTTCAGTTCAACATTTGGAAAGCCACACAATTCCCTTCCTAATTTAAATCTGTGTCCAGATTCAGAGAGACAAGAATACTGTCGGTCACAGTGTTAAACTCGGCAGGTTGTTACAAGATAGAGACAGCCCATTTCTAAACTTTGTACGTCCTGTGCAATTCTCTATAGGCTTTGCCCTACTTTGTGTATCCAGTCATTTTTGGCAGGGTCTGGATGTGCTTTTTTTTTCAAAGATTAACTCAAATCGTTACACAGTTTGTGTGTACTGTTATGGAAGAAGCTCTGAAAAGTTGTGGTTTATCTTTCAGCAGGACATTGTTCTTTTGTTCTACCGAATGTTTTTCCTATTCTAAACAACAACAACACTGATTTATTGCTGGGGACTGATAGGATTTCTTTATTAAGTTGACAACTACAGAATTATTTCCCAGCCTCTTTAATTCACCTCAAGAACAGAGAAGCATCCCGAGCTCTGAGGATCACCTGGGAAGGAATCCCACTGGAGCATTGCAGCACACCCAAAGACCTGGGAGTCACTCTGGACCGTGCTCTGACCTACAAGAAGCACTGCCTGAACATCAAGCAAAAAGTGGGTGCTAGAAACAATATCATACGAAAGCTGACTGGCACAACCTGGGGATCACAACCAGACACAGTGAAGACATCTGCCCTTGCGCTGTGCTAATCTGCTGCTGAGTATGCATGCCCAGTGTGGAACACATCTCACCACACTAAAACAGTGGATGTGGCTCTTAATGAGACATGCCGCATTATCACGGGGTGTCTGCACCCTACACCACTGGAGAAATTACACTGCTTAGCCGGTATTGCACCACCTGACATCCGCCGGGAAGTAGCAGCCAATAGTGAAAGGACCAAGGCAGAGACATCTCCAGCTCATCCCCTGTTTGGGTATCAGCCAGCACGCCAACGACTTAAATCTAGACAGTTTTCTAAGATCTACAGAGACACTCGCTGGAACACCTCAGCAAGCGAGAGTCCAAAAGTGGCAGGCTCAAACCCAGCACTTCAACCAATGGCTGATACCAAATGAGAGACTCCCTCCTGGGCACACAGAGGACTGGGCGACTTGGAAGGCACTGAACAGACTGCGCTCTGGCACCACGAGATGCAGAGCCAACCTTCAGAAATGGGGCCACAAAGTGGAATCCACGACATGCGAGTGTGGAGAAGAGGAAACCACTGACCACCTGCTGCAATACAACCTGAGCCCTGCCACATGCACAATGGAGGACCTTCTTGCAGCAACACCAGAAGCACTCCAAGTGGCCAGATACTGGTCAAGGGACATTTAACCAGCTACCAAACTCACAAGTTGTGTATTTTTCTGTTTGTTTGCTTTGTTCTGTTAGAAATGTAATATAATGGACTGGCTGCTCTGACACGACAAATAAAATAAATAAATTGTTTGGTAAGGGGTGGAGGTGAAGGAATGTAAACGGTTCCGGCCCAGTTTACCTGTCCCAGTGGATTCTCCCCTATGAACCATCAAGGTTGTTAAGATCTTCTGGAAGGGTCCTGCTCTCGGTCCCACCACCTTCACAACTGCGTCTGGTGGGGACAAGAGGCAGGGACTTCTCGGTGGTGGCTCCTCGGCTGTGGAACTCTCTCCCGATGGAGATTAGATCGGCCCCTTCCCTCCTGACTTTCAGAAAGCTAGTGAAATCCTGGCTCTGGGACATAGCTTTCTCAGAATGATTGGTGAGTCAGCAATAACCTAATAACTACTGATCACACTGGTGGATTGAGATGAACGTGATTTTATCTTGGCAATTTGGCTTTATGTATTGATTTTGTTTGTATTTTAACTTATTATGATGTTATTAGGTTTTTAGTTGTATTTATGTACGTATTTTCTGTTGTTAGCCGTCCTGAGTCTCTCCGCAGAGGTTGAGAAGACCGGGATATAAAAGTCTTAAATAAATAAGAGCCTAAAGCATTGTTTGTGTCCTTACAAGGTGTTTCCCCTCTAGTGTAACTTGTCTGACTCAGTATTAAATTGTTGCAGTTAGATTTGTACTATTGCTTTAATTTTAGGCATTTGTCAGCAAACAAATCACTACCATGTTTATTCAGCATAGGCAGTGGTAGAAAATGCTGGGCAGTCGCATTTAACAACATGCCACATAATTTCCATCCCATCTTCCCTGAACATGACATCCTGAAGGTGTGTTGATCAACACTTTCCATCATGAGGTTGGTGGGAGTTCTGGTCTAACACAACTGGGCATCATATTGAATGGTGCAGGAATGAGTTAAAATACAAGTTGATTACTCTGTATCCAAAATGCTTTCTACCAATATATTGGATCCCCTCTGCCCCAAATTCTGAAATCTCTATATTTGCTGCTGATTATTGATTTATTGTGTCAGGTGTGAGTTGAAGGTGCAGTTATAATGTATTTAAAAACACAAACAATTTTAAAAACTTGGCATTATACTAAATGTCCTTTGATCAGAAGCTGGCCACTTCGAGCCCCTCTGGTGTCGTTGTAAGAAAGTCCTCCATTGTGCATGTGGCGGTGCTTAGGGTGCATTGCAGTAGGTAGTCTGTGGTTTGCTCTTCTCCACACTCACATGTTGTGGACTCCACTTTGTAGCTCCATTTCCTAAGGTTGGCTCTGCATCTCATGATTCCAGAGCACAGTCTGTTCAGTGCATTCCAAGTCACCCAGCCTTCAGTGTGCCCAGAAGGGTATCAGCCACTGATAGAGGTTCCGGGTTCTAGCCTGCCACTTTTGGTCTCTCGCTTGCTGAGGTGTTCCTGCGAGTATCTCTGAAGATCTTAAAAAGCTGTTTCTTTATTTAAGATGTTGGCTTACTGACTGATATTCGGACAGAGGATGGGCAGAGAGGTCACTATCTTGGTCCTATCATTACAGGCTGCTCCTTCCTGACGGATGTCGGGTGGTGCAATACTGACTAAACAGTATCATTCTCCAGTGGTGTAGGGCATAGACATCCTGTGATAATGCGACATATCTCATTAAGAGCCACATCCACTGTTTTAATGTGGTGAGATGCGTTCCACACTTGGCATGTGTATTCAGCAGCAAAGTAGCAAAGTGCAAGGGGAGATGTCATCACTGTATCTGGTTGTGATTCCCAGGTTGTGCAAGTCAGCTTTCATATGATATTATTTCTAGCACCCACTTTTTGCTTGATAGTCAGACAATAACTATCAGGAATGAAGTGAAATACAAGTTGAGTATTCCGTATCCAAAATGCTTGAAGCCAGTATTTTGGATTTTTTTTCCAGATTTTGAAATGTCTGTTTTTGCTGCTTCTGCTGCTGCTGCAGCTGATAACAACAACAACAACAACAAGTCATTTAATACAATGTTATATAATTTTGCATGTGTACATTAAACTATCAGAAAGCAAAAGTATCACTGACTAAGACGCTTACATGGATTTTGGAGTATTTCGAGATGCTCAATCTGTAACGGAATTGGAATCCAATTGTTTTGTTTTTAATCCATTAATGTGCACGTTATTAACAGAGTTGTTAGCTTTTGTCTGGTATTCATTTCCACTCTTTCTTTTCCTTTCCAGTTCTCCAAGGAGCCAAAGTGGTTTTCTGTGGCCTAGAATTTGAAGGTGAGATTTCCCCCTTTAATACCTAAACATTATGAGAGAGTCCATTCACTTAACATGAAATATTGTTCTCAATATTTCATATTAAGTTGATTAATCCAAAGGAAGTGTGAACTTTCTACGCCATGAAGTTGTAATTATCATTTCCTGGAAGAAAGATGAGATCGGAGTATGTAAATCAGTGAACTGGAATGTCTTTGATGTACATTTCTGATACGCATTTCCCAATTTATGGATAGCGGCACTCATCCATTCTGATTTTTGGGGTGTGATGATGAAGGCAGATAGACTTAAAAGTACAATAATATCTGATAGACCATCAGTTCTTTAATTCTCATATAGACAGCTGAAAGTCAGAATCAGTAAATTCTTTCTTGTGTTTGTGGTAGAAATGAAAGAGGATTTAATTGTTAAGCTGAGAGATGCAAGGATGAGGATGCTGAGTTGATTGAATTGGTCATTTGTATGGTTGTTCTACAAGAATCCTATCAAGACAGAGGTGAATCCCCCATTTCCAAGCATGTGTTCACATTGCAAAACCAATATTTGCATTGCATTTCAGGGAACACTTTTCTTCTCCTTTACCAACCAACAACTCTGAATTGGAGGGGGGATTTGTGTGGTTCTGTGGCAGACATGGCCAAACTGTTAGGAATTGTGGGGAGATGAAGTCCAAAACACCTGCAGGGCTGAAGTTTGCCCATGCCTGTTTTGTGGACTAGAAAGTTGATCTGGTTTTGAAACTTGGACCATATTATGTCTACCACAATAATTCAGTTGGCCTTCCACATATGCTTGTCCTGGGTTTAATGAATATGGTTTTTCTAGAGATTCCTAAAGAAGTGTTCTTGTAGTTGGGTTGTTGCAGGGTTTTCGGGCTGTATGACTGAGAGGGGTAATATGCTATAATTGGAGATATTCTGGGTATTTTAGGCTTGCATGCTGCATAGTTGGGAACAATATAGGGGCCTGGAGCAGGCATGTAACACCTGGTGATGATATGACACCTGTGATAAACAAGACGGGTGACCCAGGGCATGTTGACTCTCTGATTGTTTAGCCTTGATTTATAAGCAGAGTACATGATTACAAACTACACAGTGATTGATAAACAGGGTATATGGCTGCTTCACACCCACTGATAAATAGGGTGCATGGTTCGGCTGCTTACAACTAATTACAACTAATTACTGATACGTGATGATTAACCACAGGACGTAGACTTTGAAACATGATTGTTAAATGTTTGATTGTAAGATTATTGCCTAAGGGTATATAAGGTCTGAGGCAGCGCCATTAAGCGTGCAGGGCTGGCCCTAGGTAATTTTCAAGTGTAAATGAACAGTATTTTGCCAAATAATAATCTATCTATATAAATAAAAATGTAATGTTTGTTTGTGGGATTAACAGAACTCAAAAACCACTGGACGAATTGACACCAAATTTGGACACAAAACACCTAACAACCCAATGTATGTCCTTCACTCAAAAAAATTGATTTTGTCATTTGGGAGTTGTAGTTGCTGGGATTTATAGTTCACCTACAATCAAAGAACATTCTGAACCCCACCAATGATGGAATTGAACCAAACTTGGCACACAGCTCTCCCATGACCAACAGAAAATACTGGAAGGGTTTGGTGGGCAGTGTCCTTTGGTTTGGAGTTGTAGTTCACCTACATCCAGAGATCACTGTGGACTCAAACAATGATGGATATGGACCAAACTTGGCACGAATATTCAATATGCCCAAATGTGAACACCGGTGGAGTTTGGGGAAAATAGACCTTGACATTTGGGAGTTGTAGTTGCTGGGATTTATAGTTCACCTACAATCACAGAACATTCTGAACCCCACCAACGATGGGCCAAACCTCCCACACAGAATCCCATGTGGGCCACAGCAACGCGTGGCAGGGGACAGCTAGTCACGGAATAAATATAACATATTTATGGTAGAACCACTCCAACTGAGGGTTATTTTGACCCTAACAGCTCAGATTCCCCAGCACTTTTATCAAATAGGATTCAGTTGTCACCAACAGACCTTGACCAGCTCCTTTCTTCCCAAAACTCAACCTGTTTGCCTTCAAATTCCCCCGAAATCTCCCCAAAAGTGAAGGGAGGGGAGAGCGCAGGGAAACAGAAAGGGGGGGACACCCATCTTATTGGCGATTTGCGAGGCCTCATTAACATCTCGCTTTAAGTGAATGTTAATGGTAACTAAAGCCTTCTCTCGATAGTTTGAACAAAGCAACCATAAAGCAGTAGGTGGTCACCAGGCAAGGAGGAAGGAGGGAGGGAAGCGGGGGGGGGGGGGGGGGGTTTATACTAGTGTAGATGCACCCAAATGCACTTCCCATTGGATTTCAGTATCCACCAATTTGCCTTTCAGGTGAAAAGACAAATGCAGAGAGTCCTAAGCACTTGAGCTTCCACCTCCATTGGGCAAGACTCCAAATCAATCTGATTTCATTTGGAAGAAAGCCCATTTAATTCCATTGAGACTCATGCTGAAATCTTTCCACGGATTGGATGGAGAAAGAGGCGAGGAAGAAATAGTACTGTAATGCCGTCTATATTGCTATATAATCCGGTGCAAAGCAGATAATCTGGATTTAATATGGCAGCTTAGATTTTATATGGTCCCTATTACCCAGAATTTGATCCTAGATTATCTGGCAATGGAGACGCATAGATTCCATTTTAAAACACTCATATACCCCGGTTTAAAGCACTCTAGACTCATATACTCCGGTCTTCAAAACTGGAGATTCATATACTCCAGTTTAAAACAGTGGAGACTCATATACTCCAGTTTAAAGCACTCTAGACTCTTATACTCTGGTTTAAAACCATGGAGACTCATATACTCCAATTTAGAACAGAGGAGACTCATATACTCCGGTTTAAAACTGGAGACATGCATCTGGTTTAAAAGTCCAAAACACCTGGAGGTCCGAAGTTTGCCTATGCCTGGTCTACATTGACCATATAATGCATTATTTGGCAATGTAGATTATTTGGCAATGGGATCAGATCCTGGGATACAGGGCAGTGTAGATCCAGCCTAACACTGAAAACAAAAATGAACCCTGCTTCCTCCCATGACCAACAGAGAATACTGGAGGGGTTTGGGGAAAACAGACCCTGATATTTGGGAGATACAGTTGTGTGGATTTATAGTTCTCCTTCGATCAAAGAGCATTCTGAACTTCACCAGCAATAGAATTGAACCAAACTTGGCATACAACTGTGCCCCCTCCCCTCCTCATAGGCCTCCTCCAGGGTGTCCAGAGAGTGGCCAAAGAAAGGCAAACTTTTCTGTCCAGGGAGGATGGGATCAGTTACTAAGGGAGGGAAAGGGAGAAGACTTCCCCGGTTCAAGCTCAGCTCACTCTCCCCAAATGTCATAGATCTCTCCCTCTTTCCTTCCCAAAGGCGGGGAGAGGTGCCTTCGGCCCCTGGATGCGTGCTCCCAGGCCTCTTCCCACCCACTTCCCAATACTGGGAGAGAGGCGCCCCAGCATTGGCAAGTGTGTGGGGGAAAGAGGGCTGAAGCACGGCCCCTGGATGCGAACTCCTCGCACACTTGCCAATGCTGGGAGAGGGGCACGCCCAGCATTAGCAACGGGGCACCCCTTGGCAATCGGCGCCCTAAGCAAATGCTTAATTTGCCTAAAAGTTCAGCCGCCCCTGTAAGCGCGGCAGCTTGGTACCAGCATCACGGTTGCGTGTGCTGTCTGTGTTCTTGCTCCTAACTGTTTGGGCTCTGTGTGATCCATAGTGATCTGGCAAGATCCTGCAGGTAGGGACAGCATTCCCTAACATGACCATGTTCTAGAAGCATTGTCTGTTGACGTTTCGCCTGCATCTATGGCAGGCATCCTCAATCTACAACAGCCCAGTGATTTCAGCCAGGAAAGCCTTCAACAATACAGTGTTCTTGTAATTAAAAAATCATTTTTTATTTGGAGTTTTCCCACTTTTACAGGGCTCTGTGTCCCAAACTCCAACAAATGTGAAGAACCTAATGCAATTCCTTGAAGGCTTTTCTTTCTTCCCTTGCAGTCCCAATTCCCAACACCAGGTGGTGCTGCTTTCTTGCATTTTTTGTCATGTGGAATCCTAAGGTCTATTGTTTGGAAAGATTTAACAGTTTTGTACTATAGATCTAGAACTCTCTAATATAGAATTGAAAGTACGTCACCAACCTATAAGTCCCAGCATTCCATAGTATAGTGCAGGCATGGGGAAAGTTCAGCCCTCCAGGTGCTTTGGACTTCAACTCCTACAATTCCTAACAGCCGGTAAGATGGATGGGATTTCTGGGAGTGGAAGTCCAGAACACCAGGAGGGCTGAAGTTTGCCCATGCCTGGTATAGAGCTATGGTAGTTAAAGTGTTAGCAAACTGCTATGACTATGGCAACTAACTTCTGGGCAACTATAATTTCTGAAAAGGTATATAGAAAACTGGGTAAGTTTTGTGAGAATCATCACCAAGGTTATTGCAGATCAGGCATGTAGCCGGGGGGGGGGGGGGCTTGAGGGGCTTCAGCCCCCCCCCCGAAATTCTCATGGTGGTTAGCGAAAAGGCCTTACTGGTGCATTATTTAAACTGTTATGTTTATTCATATCATGATCTGATCACCATACTCAATATATCCCATATGCATGGGGGTATTGGGGTAATGATACAAAAGGTTTGCTAGGCTAGACCCTCTTTCACTCAGACTCAGCCCCCCCCCCCCCGAAACTCAGCCCCCCCGAAACCCCCCCTGAAAAAACCCCCCCCCCCCCCCCGAAACGAAATATTATCACAGATGTCTGTGTGTAAAGAAAGAAAAAATCCACATGCAGATTCATTGCATGTGTCAGTGAAGGCAAGTGATTTCTCTGACTACAATCAGAAGGGTATAATAACAGAGGTTACAGTATACCATTGGGAGCTCTTTACAAACTCTTACTGTGCGTGCTGAAATCTCTGTTTTTCCTGCAGATTGTAGGTACTATGCACTCTGGGAAGGACCATTTGTTTTGCATGTAAGTTTGCAAAGCTGAATTAAGCAATATTTATTTTGCATACTGAAGGACTGTATTTTCTACTATGTTCGAAGAAGCCTTTTATTTTTTCTGCTGGAAAGAGTAAAGTATTTCTTTTGTGCAAGCCTATTGCGACCCTGGTGTTATTTTGTCTTCAATGGAACTGCAGCTGGACCTCAAGTTTAGTGCTGTGGGGGATGGATTGTTTTTCTGACAGTAAACGCAAGAATTTCTACTTACCCTTTGAGGATATTCAGCAGATGGTTAGGACATATAGCAAAATGGGATGATGGATAATCTTAGCATAAAGTGTAGATATGGGTAACTGTGAAATCTGCGTCCACTTTTTTGACCAAAATATTGAGTCTCTGCGCCTCAAATTCACATTGTCTGCCAAGTATGGGCTCAAATAGTAGCCTGCATCATGTCTCAACTGAAGGAGATCCATAGATTCAATGGTTGAGTGGTACATCAACCCAAAGACAAGCTCCTAGGAGGCAATATTATCTTTCTCTTACTCCTTCATTGCCTGTAGTTGGAACTGCCCTCCAAACTCCTCACAAACTCTGTTTGCAACTGTCTTTGCAGAAAAACAGGGGAGGGCGATTGAGCAGGAACTGAAGAATAGTGGAGCTGCTGGGGAAGCTTACTTTCAGATCTGCGATGTTCGCAGCGAAAAAGAAATTCAGGTAGGTGAGAACTGGAAAGGTCTTGGTTTGGGAGAACTTCTTTGTGGTTTAGTGCTTTCAAGTTTCTGGGGATGAGATTGTGTGGCTCACCCAAGGTCACCCAGTGGCTTTCCATGGCCAAAAGGGAATCGAACCCTGGTTTCCAGAGTAATTGTCCATGCCATTACCCAGTGCCAGCTTCTGTTGGGGTGTGCAATTTGGTTAAACCCAGTGCCATTTTCAGTGTTTGGATTTTGGTGTCTCTCCCCTTCCCCACCCTCTGTTTTTCAGGAGGCTCCCAAACTTGAGCAGCCAAAATTCCATTTTTTCAATATGGCAGTCGAAAGATCCTTTTTCATTGTATTGTCAAAGGCTTTCATGGCTGGAGTCACTGGGTTGTTGTAGGTTTTATGGGCTGTATGACCATGTTCTAAAACAGGGGTCCTCAAACTTTTTAAACAGAGGGCCAGGTCACAGTCCCTCAAACTGTTGGAGGGCGAGATCATAATTTGAAAAAAACATGAATTCCTATGCACACTGCACATATCTTATTTGTAGTGCAAAAAACAGTTAAAAACAATACAATAATTAAAATGAAGGACAATTTTAACAAATATAAACTTATTAGTATTTCAATGGGAAGTGTGGGCCTGCTTTTGTTGTTGGTGTTGTTGTGTGCTTTCAAGCCATTTCAGACATAGGTTCACCCTGAGCGAGGGCCAGGTAAATGACGTTGGAGGGCCGTATCTGGCCCCCGGGCCTTAGTTTGAGGACTCCTGTTCTAAAACATGGCCATACAGCCCGAAAAACCTACAACAAACCAGATCCTTTTTCGCTCTGGGAAGATCCGGCCCATTGGCAGCAACGGGGGAACTTCTGAAGCTTTGATTATCTTCAAAGTATGCATTAGGGATGGCTATCCTGACAGTTTTCAGGTGTAAACTTGCATGAATTGTATTTTGTCTTGCTAACCATCTTCCCTGCTTCTTCTCTCCTCTTTTAAAGAATCTGGTTGCTGTGACCATTAAACGTTATGGATCCCTTGACTGCCTGGTGAACAATGTTGGCGTCCGTAAGTCATTTCTAAAATCCTGGCGGGGAAGGACGTTTGGGAACAATTGGGGCCCCTGTTTTTTGGGCCTGGGGAATTTTAGGGATGTGTTAAAGGCCAGGAGTAGGGCTATGAATGAAATGCACAAGTTGAGGTTTTAGTGTTAACTTACTTCTAAGGCCATGATTTATATTTATTTGACAATTAGTAGACATGTTCCTTTAGCCTTTTATTTCTACATTATCATCTATATCTTTTGTGTGATGTAAAATTATGAGAGGATATATCAGTGCCTTTGGAGTTTGCACTCCAGAAATCAATGCAGGACAGACAGCAGAGGGAAGGAAATATGCTATGGAAAGAACACCTAGTTATTTCAGTTAGATGTCTTTAGGCTTAGTGAGATATTAGATGCACTGAAACTTAGGCCCCTTCCACACAGCTGAATAAAATCCCAGATGATCTGCTTTGAACTGGGATATATGGCAGTATGGACTCGGATAGCCCAGTTCAAAGCAGATATCAAGGCAGATGTGGGATTTCTGCCTTGATATTCTGGGTTATACGGCTATGTGGAAGGGCCCTTAGACATAGGGAGGAGGGAGGAAGCTTGTTGTCTACTGCCCTGGGGACCAGGCCGCGGAACAATGGCTTCAAACTACAAGAAAGGAGATTCCACCTGAATATTAGGAAGAACTTCCTGACTGCGAGAGCTGTTCAGCAGTGGAACTCTCTGCCCCGGCGTGTAGTGGAGGCTCCTTTGTAGGCTTTTAAACAGAGGCTGTCAGGGGTGCTTTGAATGCAATTTTCCTGCTTCTTGTCAGGGTACAGGGTGGCCCATGAGGTCTCTTCAAACTCTATGAGTCTATGATTCTATAGGCAGAGTGTTTGCTGAATCTGAGTAGGAAGGTAGAAAGTGGAACTTGATGGTTCTCCAGTCAGATTCTTAGTCGGTTATTGCCACCTTCCCTTTCTTACTCTTCTGAGTGTGCCTTTCGACTTGGTCAAGAAGAACATCTTTTTACATTTGTGGAACCTATCTACAGTAGTTCTTGCATAGTTGCCCTTACAACTAAATCGTCACGATAGGACTTAATCATGATTTCCTTTAGTCCCATAAATAAGTCGTGGGTTAGTGGAATAGTGCCTTCTTTTTTGAAGTACAATAAACAAAGAGACAAGGAATTATTCTGGATCTTACCTGCTGTGAAAACCTCTGCTTTTTTATATCCACCTGCCCTCAGATCCCCCTTACAAAACAGTTGATGATTTCACTGCAGAAGAATTCCGCGACCTCATGGAAGTCAATACTGTCAGCTACTTCTTAGCATCTAAGGTAAGTAATGTCAAGAAATTCACAGGAATGCTGTGAGTTTTCTGGGCTGTACGGCCATGTTCCGGGAGCATTCTCTCCTGACGTTTTGCCCACATCTATGGCAGGCATCCTCAAGGTTGTGAGGTCTGTTGCAAACTAGACAAGTGGAGTTTTATATATCTGTGGAATGCTCAGGATGGAAGAATTCTTGTCTACTTGAGACAAGTGTGAACGTTGATTAACATTGTATGGCCTTGCAGCTTCAAAGCCTGGCTGATTGCTGCCTGAAGTATCCTTTAAGGGGCGTGTTAGCTGGCCCTGATTGTTTCATGTCTGGAATTCCCCTGTTTTCTGAGGGTTCCTCTTTATTTACTGTCCCGATTTTATAATTTTTAAATACCGGTAGCCAGATTTTGTTCATTTTTATGGTTTCCTCCTTTCAGGCTTTGAAGCTCCAAGGCCATTCAGTGCTAATCAAGGTGGTCATTTACAACATTCACACTTGCCCCAAGCAGACAAGAGTACTTTCTCCCACCCTGAGCATTCCACAGATACATAAACACCACTTGCCTAGTTTCCAACAGACCTCACAACCTCAGAGGATGCCTGCCATAGACATGGGCGAAACATCAGGAGAGAGTCATGCAGCTGCACAAGAGTTTCATAATCATCACCATCATCAACACCTGGATGATGTCTCCACACACACACACACATATATCGAAGTACAAGGGAATAAATCACTGAATAATTTAAAACATGACACCCTAAACCTGTCTCACTCTGCCCAGTTATAGAGGTGGGTGAGCTATACATGGATTCAGTGTGGGCCAGTTTCGAATATTGGTATAATCTGTTGGGCAAATAGTCTTATTGACAAAAGACCCTTCCCATTAATGTACAGCAGAGCGACTTATTAGCAGCACCAGTAGCCCAAAGTGATAAAAAGAATAAAAACGTACAAATCAATGTTATATCTTCCATAGGAGGCTTTTCTTTGTAGTAAAATAATATAGTTGCACTATTTACAATAACAAGGTTTCAACAACACAAATAAAGTCCTTTATACTTCCTTCTTATGCAGATAAACAGCTTTACTCTCACGGAGCCTCCTCTCAAACCGGAATTACACAGGACCTTCACTAGTAGCTTTACACACAGCAGCCTTTACACAGGAGGCTTCTCTCACATGGAGGTTTACCTCACACTCCTCATGAGAACACTAGCTTTGGCCCAATGACTCTAACACACTTTGGCCTACTATTTCAGTGCTTGACTCAGGGAGCATACCACCCTCCTGCTGTGTCAGCTCCACTGGCTGCCGAGCACAATTCAAAGTGCTGGTCTTGACCTATATGAAGCCCTCTATGGTTCTGGCCCAGCTTACCTGTCTGAACTCATCTTCCTCTACGTCCTGCCTCGCAGTTTAAGATCACCCGGGGAAGACTTGCTCTAGGTCCCGCCAACCTCACAAGTGCGCTTGGTGGGGACAAGGGGCAGGGCCTCCTTGCTGGTGGCCTCACACCTATGGAACTCGATCCCCAGTGAAATCAGGTTGGCGTCTTCCCTCCTTTCTTTAAGGAAGAAGGTTGAATCATGGTTCTAGGACCAAGCCTTTGGACAGCAAACATGACAGCACTTTGGATCAGACTGGAATTGGCAATATGGATTGCTGACAATGTTTCAATGTGTTTTTAATCTGTTTTTAACTTAATGTTCTATTTACTGTTTTAAATGGATGTTTATTTGTTTATATTTGTATTATTTTGTGGCATCGAATTGTTGCTGGTGTAAGTCGCCCTGAGTCCCCCCTCAGGGGTTGAGAAGGGCAGGTTAGAAATAGTCGAAATAAATAAATAATAAATACATTGACTCACACTTTTGTAATCAAAAACACCCAATTAATTTTTAATATTTCTGACATAATCTTCTTCCATCTCATGTTCTCCTATTTTTTCCATTTGCAGTATGCTCTGCCTTACCTCCGAAAAACAAAAGGGAATATCGTCAATATCTCCAGCATTGTCAATATTATTGGAGATAAGCAATCCATAAGCTATGCTGCATCCAAGGTAGGATGGAACAATAGGACTTAAAGTGAGGGCTAACCCCCCCCCCCAAATTGTTCTAATGTGAGGATTGCTAGCATTTCATGCTTCTGCCGAGAGAAAAGTGGGATATAAATAAATAGATGATGATGATGATGATGATGATGATAATGATGATGATGCATCAACTGTATTTAGTATCACCTTGTTTCAATGTTTTCCCTGTTGGGACAGCTTCAAATGAGGTTCTGCCTCCAAAGGCTGTATAGAAGTATTTCAAATATATGTATAATAAAACAAATCATTCAACTTGTAGGGTGCTGTTACTGCGATGACAAAAACTCTGGCCATTGATGAGAGCAAGTATTCTGTCCGAGTCAACTGGTAAGACTGTTGTTAATAGGGGGCTATCAAGATTCTGGGATCAATGATATTTTGAGAACTCAGTTTTCCTTGAAACATACTAGGACAATGTAATGTCTCATAAATGTTGGGTCATTCACATGCTTTGGTTTTCTGCTCCCAATGTCACTCTGTATTGACCACGCTAGCTGGTGTTTTACTGTCCGAGGTGGAGATTGGCCCATTGCCCTTTCCTATTGGCCAAATTGTAATTCAAAATATCTGGAGTGTCAAAGGCTTCCAACCAAATCCGACTGTTCTCATTTTGGTATTTCAAGAAAACATGATTGGTATTCCCATATATCTGAATTGTGAGCTTCACATGACCTTGAGTAGGCTGAAATGGGCCCATATGAGTTTGACACTTTGGCACTTTAGTTGTGATGAGAAGGCAGCTAATTTTAACTACAGATGGTCTGTGTTTTAAAATGTGTTTTTATTTTATGTGTTAATAGTAGTTATTTTTATACTCATGTACTGTTTATGTTATATACTAGACTTGTAGTGCCTTGTAAGCTGCCTGGGTCCTTTTTGCGAGATGATGGCAGGAAATAAAGTTTATTATTACTATTATTATTATTATTATTATTATTATTATTATTATTATTCTGTTGGGACGTGTTATGCTTCTAGGTATCTTGACACATAGCTCACCATGTGGGGAATGCTTTGCTTCATTTTCTGTGATCTCTTTCCAAACCTATCTTCGCTCCTTTGAAAAAGTTTAAACAATTTGAATTCTAGCATATCACCTGCCAATATCTGGACTCCAATGTGGGAAAAGCTTGCAAGCGAAGCACCTGATCCAGAAGCACTGATCCAGAAAGGCAAAGATGCTCAGGCAAGTCCATGATGGGCCTGGGGCTACTGGATAGGAGGGATTTCTAGTTTATACAAGGAAAACGTGAAGAGGAGTGTGGATTTGCTTATTCATGGATTTGATTGTTACTGGATTTGATTAGTATAGTCTCTCTACATCCTCCACACATGACCTTGGAGGGTGTCTAAGGACAATGCCAGCTCTTTGGCTTAGAAATGGAGATGAGCACCAACCCACCCAGAATTGGACATGACTGGACTTAATGTCAGGGGAAAACCTTTATCTTTACCTTTAGATCCTCCAATATGAATCTATGGTCAGCTTCTGATTGAAAGTGACAAGAATTGTGCTGGAGGACCTCGAAATTCCTAGGGTGGTTTAATCGTATTTTTTTATTTGAGGCTTTCCCAGTTTTGTGGGGGTTCTGTGCCCTAATCCCAGCAAATTTAGAGGTTTGACTGTGGATGTTTTGTCTTGTTTCACTGGGAAGGCATAGGTATTTCAGTTACCATGCTAAATCTAAGCATTATTGTTATTATTATTATTATTATTATTATTATTATTATTTATACCCCGCCACCATCTCCCCAATGGGGACTCGGGGCGGCTTACATGAGGCCAAGCCCAATCAACAGATTGCAACAACATAAAATCAAAAACGCATGCAATAAACAACAACATAATTACATAAAACATATGAATACATTAGAAATCCTTTGGAGCATGCCTTCTAATTTCTGAGGTTTTTTTACAAGCTTATTTTATAGGCTTATGGGTGAGAAACTTGTGGGTGTTATTTATTTTAACTGAAGGCTCTTGGAGGAAGAAAACAAATGGAATAGAGATGTGTGTGCATGTTTGTATGCACTCATGAGAATAAGCATAGAGTATTAATTTTGCACCATCTTCTTTCTTCTCCATTTTGTACATAGCTTTTGGGACGGATGGCGACCACTGCAGAGATTGGCAAGACCGTCCTGTATCTTGCTGCCGATGCCACATTCTGCACAGGAATTGACCTTGTGTTTAGTGGTGGAGCTGAGCTTGGCTATGGTCATAAGAGCCCATTTACTCCTGGTTGTGACTCTAAAAAGTAGTGGAGCCAACCAGGATGGGAGGACTGCAATGGCTACAACAAGGTAGGGTGGGGAGAGCTGTTAGAACACCAACCTGCCTGATTTCCATATTTCCATCCAGGTAGAGGGCTACTTCACAAGGTAGTTCTATCCATCTGTTATAGACCATGATGAAAAGCTGGAGGAGGATCCATGCCTACTTCGAGATCAGGCGTGCACAATCTGTGGCCCTCTAGGAGTTTGGGGACTCCAGCTCCCAGTAGCTCTAACCAGCTTATCCAATGGTCAGGAATTCATGGAATGGAAGCCCAAAAGACCACAGGTTGTGCAGGCCAGTTCTAGATGTTTGTTTGACTATAGCTCCCAGTAGCTAATGAAGCCTATGGAAAGAAAACGCTGAAAGTTGCAGTCCAGCAACATCTGAAGGGCCGTGTGATTCCCATTCTTGCACTAATTATGAAGTGCTTCAGAAGCATGATAAATTCAGATATGCTACCAAGATGAAGGTGTTCTGTCCTAGGGGACTCTTGCTGTCTTTGAAAACAGAATGACAACAGCTGCAGCTTTTCCAATCAATGCATTACCATATAAGATAAGGCTGGGAAACAATGCCTTGTGTTCTTCTCAATCTGTGGTTTCTAGCATTTAGTCCTTCAGGTGTTTTGCACTTCAGCTTCCAGAATTGCTGTCTGTTAGCGAATCTATCCAAAGCTTCTGAGAGCTGAAGTCCAAAACGCCTAGAAGACTAAAGACTGGTAACCACTTCTTCATTTGGGCCTACTTGACTTATGGGAAAATGGATTTCGGAAACATCATGATTCCAGACCTCAATTGTAACAGTTGGGTAACAAGACAACAGGAGAAATATTTCTACTATTTGCATTGTTATTTTGGTTCAAAATCAGTTGCAGGAGCATTATTGGACAAAAAGGTGGTTGTCTTTGTTACTGCTTTAGAAATAATTGAAAACAGGTTCTGCAGCCTAAGACTTATCTCCAGTTAAGTCCTTGATAATACCAGGTACCTATTTTTCACACAGTTCTAGGCAAGGTGAACTAGACGTTGACGGAGAACATTAAAAAGAGAGCTTTGTTCAGTGGAAATGTTTAACTTTTACTTTTTGATCAGTGACCATGAAAGTATAAAAGCACTGGATAAACAGGTCAGAAAATGTTGCCTTTAGTTTTTAGTGCCTAGAATGATTCTTGTTGCTATTAACTACCATCAGATCAATTTCTTCAAGTTGCTCTGACATCAACAACTCTGCCTCAGACATCACTCTAACGTCCAATCAACATTTTAATTCATTTGTTTTTATAAAAAGTTTATAGAACCAGTTCAGCTCTGTTTGTTTTCACAACAATCTTTTGAAGGGAAAGTTACCCAGGGTCACCAGGTTCAGGGTGATTAGGGTAATTCAAATCTCTTTGGCTCCAGTGACACACTAATCAAGTCGTTCACATATCCAGAAGTGGAACAGCTCCTACACCTTTGCGTTAATCCAGTATGGTTTGATGCCAGTACCTCCTCTGTCCAGCAGTCCAACTGTATAGTTGGCCCTTCTTATCTTTTACATCTGGCCACTATTGTTAAGACCACAGCAAATGGTTGAGATAAGTGGAGAACCTCAGATGCTGGTGCTAAATTTGGCCATTACAGAGATCATGTCTAGGCCTTTGGAATTCCCCACATTCTTCCTCTTTAAGACACCAGCATTTTGTGGTTTCCAGCTTTGGTTCAGCTTTTCCCTTTACTCTAAAATTGTGAACTGCCTCCCTCAAGGTTTGATTACCAAGAGGCAAGACCTTTAACTGCAAATGAAGCCAGCCCTTTATATCCATGGATTCAACTATTGCATTGGAGCCCCTGCTGGCACTATGGGTTAAACCCTTGTGTGGCAGGACTGCTGACCGACGAGTCAGCGGTTCGTATCTGGGGAGAGTGGGTTGAGCTCCCTTTATCAGCTCCAGATCCCCATGTGGGCACATGAGAGAAGCCTCCCACAAGGATGGTAAAACATCAAACATCCTCATATAATATTAGAGGGCATTTTTGTAAAACACTGCAGCAACTCTATAACCAAGAAGATCAGAGCAATATGTGATTAACTCCAAAGTTTGTGTAAGGAATTCTGCCTTCTGTATACAGTGCGCTTCCCTCTCCCACTCCGGAAGGGGCAGAGCTCCATATGTTGAATTTCCTGTTGGTAAAATGTGCAAAACTGTTATGAATCACAGCCTATCTGTTGCCTTTTGAATTATAAGTGGGCACATTGAAGTTACACAGCTGGCTCCAAAATGCAAGAATCTAGGGCATGTATGTGATCTTTAAGCCTCAGACATACAAGGTTTTCAAAAAAAATAACCTCAGGAAACAAGTACTTTCTACTTTGTTTTTAAAAACATGTTTATTAACTTTAATTTGAAAAAATAGCAAGTAAAAATTGTATAAAGAAAATGCATGAACATCATAAACACACCTGCCCACCGATACAAATTATAAACCATTGCCAGTGTGTTCAAAGGGCTTCTGCTTCTACTTTTAGTCACCTTTGTAACAAGTAATCAATTTTTAGCTTGAGATTAACCTTGCATTGGGCTATAATTTGCTCTGGGAAAAGAGCAGGAACAGCCATTAATAATGTGTGCAAATAAGAGCAGCAGCCTTAAATTAAGATACCAAAGATTTATGATTACTTACAAACCTGTTTCTTTTTTCAAAAACAGGGACGAAACAAGCCAAATAGTGCCTTGTCATGGATGAGCAAACGTGTTTGCATTGATGTCCAGAAGACTTCAGAATTTCAACTCATGATTGTCACACGCCAGCACTGGAACAAAACCTGCTTTAAGATGTGAAAATCCGATTTAACCATTAATTCAATGGGAACATAATTCAGGAGCTTTTCCTGGGTGCATGTGCAGTGTAGAATAAACAATTTGGCACCACTTTAACTGCCATTGCTCAATGCTACAGAGTGTTGTGAGTTGTAGTTTTTCAAGGTCTTTAACCTTCACTGCCAGAGGGCTCGTGTCTCACCAAACTACAACTCCCATGATTGCATAGCATTGAGACATTGGTGTTAAAGTGGCATCAAACTGCACTAATTCTACAGTATAGATCAGGCATGGGCAAACTTTGGCCTTCCAGGTATTTTGGACTGCAATTCCCACAATTCCTAACAGCTGGTAGATGCATCCCTAACTATATTTTTTTTGTAAACAGCAAGTCCTTTATATCTAACATGCTTTCCCATGGCTGTATTTAATCCAGGAAGGTTTGTTTTCCGCTTGATGCATCCTTTCTGTCTAAACCAATGAATTAAAAAAAATCAATATTGGATGTGTAAGTTTCTCCTTTACTGTTTCAAGTCCTAAGCTTTTGGGAAAGTTATGGGTTTAAACAAACAATACACTCCCCAAATGACGTCTAGAGTTTGCACATGTTCTTGTTCTCCTTCCTTATTATTTGCCATGTGCCTCTGTTGCTGCTGCTAGCTGTGCTTGCATTCCTGTGTGAAGCAAGCAAACACATGTGCTCCTTGAAGAGTGTTCCTATATGAAACTGCCGGCCTTGCCATTGGCTGTCTTGGAGGGCGTGTGTGCAGAGGGAAGCTGTGATTGGCAGCAATTCCCCAATCCTTTAGTGCAGGCGGGTGCCAAGAACAACTACAGTGATGTTTTCTTTTAATTCACAGGTACATACTGACTAATGCCTTAAGCCCACACAAGTAACTTTCTCAACGTCCTTCTCCTTTTATTCTCCCTTGTGCCATAAATGTTTCTGATCGTAGCCCATCCTTCAACATTTTTCCTTGAATGGCCTATTTCTATTTGGTGAGCTTTTGGGGCACTGTTGTAGAGATAAGACAGGCATTTGATCTGTAGCTCATCTGAGAAGTATGAGCTACAGAAGTAGGTTTTAAACATAGACTGGGTGATGATCTGTCAGGAGTGTTTTTAAAGTATTTTTATTGAAAGAGAAAAAAACAATAAAATAAACTATGTATGTATATATACACACACATCTGTCTGTATGTTGATGTCTAATATTTATGTTTTGTTTATCTGCTTTTTTGGTTGCACTTTATGGCATTGAATATTTTCTGCTGTATGTTGTGAGTCCCCATTGGAGAGATAGGGCAGGATAGATATAAAGTATTATTATTGTTATCATCATTATCATCATCATCATCATTATATTATGTGCGTGTATATACACACAACTCTAGAATATTATCTATCTCGTGTGTGTACGTGTGTATATATATATGTGTGTGTGTATACATATAATAGAGGAAGATGAAAACCTTCAGACAGTGCGAGGTCCATAGATTAGACTTTTGGTTAGACAGATTTGTTTTTGTACATGCCTGTGCACTTGTTTTAGCTTTGTGTTTGTTTTGTTATTTGTACAACATATTTAGTTGTAGTGTTGTAATAGTAGTTGCTTGTGAGTAGTCAGGAGTGCTTTAATTATTGGATTATATGGCCCTTATGGTCTCTTCCAACTTTTCAATTCTATGTAGACTCTCAAGCAGCTGGAAAAGAAAATTCAACTAAAATTGCATACTATCTTCACAAAGCTGTTTTTACAATAGAGTAAAATTTATGTTTTACGTTTCCCTTAATATACGTTTAAATTGCAGTATTTCAATATTGATATCAAGTCAATACAGAAGCTATGGTATAGGGTAGAAAATTATAGGCAGTCTGCAAGTTACGAACAAGATAGGTTCTGTAGGTTTGTTCTTAAGTTGAATTTGTTTTTAAGTCAGAACAGGGACATTTTTAAAGTGTAACTCCAGTCAAAAATACATGTATGTTTAGCTTTGGATAGCATAGGAGAGGATTAACACCCCTGTGATATTTGTTTTCTTCTCACTTTCTGTTCCTGTAATAACTGTATTTTGAAAAAAAATAGCTTGTTGTGGAAACTAGGATTGGTGATAAAGCTTCAGTGAAAACACATTTTCCCCATGATAACACTTTCAGGAGTGAATTGCCCTTCTGAGGGGAAGATTACTCTCACTTCCTGTTGTCTCACCCCATTCCCTCGTGGCGCAATGGGTTAAATACTTGTGCTGGATCAGTCAGCAGTTTGAATCCTGGGAGATCAGGTTGTGCTCCCTCTGTCAGCTCCAGCTCCCCATGCGGGGACATGAGGGAAACCTCACACAAGGATAGTAAAACATCAAATATCTGGGCATCCCCTGGGCAATGTCCTTGCAGATGGCAATTTCTTTCACACCAGAAGCAACTTGTAGTTTCTCAAGTTGCTCCTGACACACACAAAAAACCCTGTTCTTAACTATGAGTCGTTTGTAAGTCAGATGGCTAACTTGCAGACTGCTTGTAAGTTGGGCCTCTTTTTAAATAGTAATATTTAACCTAAAATTGCCTTAATCTGGCATCTACCAAACTCCATGGGTGCGGGTTAACTGAGGCACTTCTGCACAGCTGTATAAAATCCACATTGAATTGAATTATCTGGCAGTGTGGATTCAGATAACCCAGTTCAAAGCAGATATTGTGGATTATCTGCCTTGATATTCTGGGCTATATAGCTGTGTGGAAGGACCCTATATCATCATCATTAATGAGACTATTAACCATTATAGTGTTGAGACTAAGTGCCCTTCCACACAGCCACATAACCCAGAATACCAAAGCAGATAACACACAATATCTGCTTTGAAGTGGATTACCTGAGTCCACACTGTCAAATAATCTAGTTCAATTTGGATTTTATACAGCTGTTGTGGAAGGATCCATATTTCCTAAAATGGGTTGATGGCACAATGCTTCCCACACCACATCATGCCATATTATGTTATGCTGACATTTTCACATTATAACATAACTTTGTTATAATTATATATATATATATATATATATATATATATAACATTATGGCCCCACCCACACAGCTGAATAAAATCCCATATTATCTGCTTTGATCTGGATTCTATGGCAGTGTTTACTCAGATAACCCAAGGCCCTGCCACACAGCCCTATATCCCAGAATCTCAAGGCAGAAAATCCCACATTTATCTTAGTGTGGACTCAGATAATCCAGTTCAAAGCAGATAATAAGGGATTTTCTGCCTTGATATTCTGAAATATAGGGCTGTGTTTACTCAGATAATCCAGAGCCCTTCCACACAACCCTATATCTCATAATATCAAGGCAGAAAATCCCACATTTATCTTAGTATGGACTCAGATAATCCAGTTCCAAGCAAATATTATGGGATTTTCTGCCTTGATATTCTGGAGATATAGGGCTGTGTGGCCCTTAGCATGAAGAATAAATATTGGTGACCGCTGGATCTATGTCCAGTTGTTTGACCAAAACACGAAATCTTTGTGCCTCAAATTCACATTGGCCACCAAGTCCAAAACTCGTCATCCGTTGTTCCGTTCCTATTTTCATTGCACTGCCTATTCAAACGCTAGATCCAGGGAAATAATGCTACCCCTCTATTCTGCTTTGGTTGGACCACACCTGGAATATTGTGTCCAATTCTGGGCACCACAATTCAAGAGAGATGTTGACAAGCTGGAATGTGTCCAGAGGAGGGCGACTAAAATGATCAAGGGTCTGGAGAACAAGCCTTATGAGGAGCGGCTTAAGGAGCTGGGCATGTTTAGCCTGAAGAAGAGAAGGCTGAGAGGGGATATGATAGCCATGTATAAATATGTGAGAGGAAGCCACAGGGAGGAGGGAGCAAGCTTGTTTTCTGCTTCCCTGGAGACTAGGACGCGGAACAATGGCTTCAAACTACAAGAGAGGAGATTCCATCTGAACATGAGGAAGAACTTCCTGACTGTGAGAGCCGTTCAGCAGTGGAACTCTCTGCCCCGGAGTGTGGTGGAGGCTCCTTCTTTGGAAGCTTTTAAACAGAGGCTGGATGGCCATCTGTCAGGGGTGATTTGAATGCAATATTCCTGCTTCTTGGCAGGGGGTTGGACTGGATGGCCCATGAGGTCTCTTCCAACTCTTTGATTCTATATATTGTGTGCTATATATGATTCACACACACACACACAAGTATTATAGATTTGAAAGGGACTCCTAAAGATGGACAATTATATGTTGCATGTTCCAGAGTAGGCAAACCAGACAATCTCTACGTCAACACTGTCAAAGAAACATCAAGAAATACTGTTTACTCACAAACATAAAGACATTACATATATTAGAAGGCAGCACTTTCTAATTACTTTATTTTCCATATCACCAGACTGGGCCACAGCAACGCGTGGCAGGGGACCGCTAGTAGTCAATAAGACAGAAATAGTGGCCTGCATCCTGTCAATTGGCCTAAAATAAAGGAGATCCAGTGAATCAAGGGTCCTCATTTCAAGGCAGATATTGTGGGATTGATATTCTGGGTGATATGGCAGTCTGGAAGGGCCCTATGTTACGCTGACATTTTCAAGGCTCTCTCCCAGCTCAAAACAAGACTCCCGGGGTTTGTATCCCAAGCCTGGAGAAGGTAAACAGAGGCGGGGCTGGGGGCGGAACCTTTCTCCGCGGCTCCCGCAGGCCCCTCCCCGCCGGGCCCATTAGGAAGGAACACCCCAGCGGCATGGCAGCGGCGATGAGCGTCCCGAGGGCAGCTCGGCGGGTAAGCCAGCCAGGGGAGTGGGACCAGAGGGGAAGGGGCGGCGCTTCCGGGAGGGATGGCGGAAAGAGCTCCGGGCGGAAACGTGAACCCCCCTCCCCACCTTTTACAGTCACCCCCAGTTCCTGCACTCATTTCCTACATCCTGACATGGGAGGAAAATAAAGAGATATTGTGGGCATCTCGAAACAGATCTGCCTCCACACTGAGGAATTAATGCGCTTTGACACCGCTTAGAATCATAGAATCAAAGAGTTGGAAGAGACCTCATGGGCCATCCAGTCCAACCCCCTGCCAAGAAGCAGGAATATTGCATCCAAATCACCCCTGACAGATGGCCATCCAGCTCTGTTTAAAAGCTTCCAAAGAAGGAGCCTCCACCACACTTGTAGCTTGAACTGTCATGGAATCCAGGGAGTTGTAGTTCTGCAAGGTCTTTAGCCACCCCTTCTGCCAAATAGTGCTGGTGCTTCACCAGACCTCAGGATTCCATAGCATTGAGCCATGGCAGGGTGAAGTGGTGTCAAACTGTGTTAATTCCACAATGTAGATGCACCCAGAGTTTTGCCTCCCAGATCTTACCATTCACGACTTGGCTCCCTTGTAAAACTGTGTTTCTTCTTCTGATAGGCCAGGCATGGGCAAACTTGGGCCCTCCAGGTGTTTTGGACTTCAACTCCCACAATTCCTAACAGCCTACTACAACTCCCAC